AAGATTATAAGTAAAACAAAGGCTAGAAGGACAGTAAGTCGAAATAAAATAAAAGAGATAAAAGAAAAAATAATAAATGAATACCAGAATGGTAAACGGCTACATGCAGAGCTACCTGAAGAGCTTTTAGACCCACACCGACTCTGGTGGCAGAGCAACAACCTGTCCTGCAATCCAGGCAATGGCAGCAAGTGGTATAGGAGCATCTCTTAACTGCTGTTTGCTATAAAATATAGCATAAAATAGGCTACTACTTAATTTTTTGATATAAGCAAACATACAGTTATAGACACAATAATCAAAAACAATACAAAAAACTAAAAACCAAAGATCAATAGACTGGTGAATATACTGACAGCAGAAAACCACAGGGCAAACTAAGCAGTCAGTGCGATAGGAAGAAAGATTAATACTGTTAAACCTTTCCATTCTTTTCTACTCATCACTAGTTAACCCTCAGCTGGCCTTTTTAATACAGGCAAAAAAAAGACAACTTAAAAGTGTTTGTTTAGGGGCATTTATTAAGACTATATCCATCACAAAACAAAGATATCATGTCCATTTGGTCAAATGTTCATCCAAACATGTCCACTTTGTACCCGTTCACCTCGTCTGCCACCGTTTTTCACGTGTTCACCTGCTGTAACGTCACCCTCCTGATAACAGATGGACATCTTTAGCCGCATGAATAGCAAATTAAGATTTAATCTGAAGTGTCATCCAGAGGACAGCGACTGTTTACAGAGCTGCACTGATTCTTTACACTGCTGCAATCTGCAACAGTGATGAGCGGCGAGCGGCTATCACTCCATCAGGTGTACGTGTGCCTGGACACAGAAGAAGACGTGATGACAATCTACTTTATAATTTGAAGAATGCCGTCCAGTATAGGCATGCCAGCATGCTGCATTAAGAGGTGGAGATGTGTTTACGCAGGAGAAGGAATGTCTGGAGGTCTGAGGCCATTTGTGCAAGAAAAATCACTCACAGGAACTTTCCCGGTGGAAACAGTGAGCACATGGACGGTGAAGTTTACAAACTGCACGCTGTTGTACACTTTGTCTGTGAATGATTACTCTGCTGCGGCGGCTTAATGAGTCTCACCTCTGAACTGGGTGAGGAAGCATCCAGGAATGCTTGCTATTCAAAACATCTATGTCACTGTTTATTCACTGGCCTCTGAGATATCTTTAAAGTCCTTACACTTGCACTAAAATGCCTGGAAAGTTACCCATTTATCCCTTAGAACAACGTCTCCATCTCCCGCTGACTGGGCCCGCTTCCTTCCTGCTGGACCTGGCTGTTTGGTTATGGCTAGACTACATGTTTTGGTATCAGCGGGCATGTTTGGACCGTGGTGCTGATAGGCCAGTCTGTCCCCGGTCTATCCCCCTGATCAGCCCAGGTCCCAGCAAACAAAACCAGGAAGCGGAGGAATGTACCGAGACGGCGGCTTTTACTGTAACCACAGCCAGTTGGGACTGGAACTGCACAACAGCAAGCAAAAACACAAAAACAAATGATTTGACACAAAGTCTTATCATGGACGTACAAACAAACAGAAATTTGATATATGTAGTTTAATTTTTTTATTTTTACCTTTGCAAACCTAAGTATTAAGGTTTTACACCTGTTGAAGCCTCTACTGCATGAAGAAGCAAGTGCACGTCCAAATTTACATTGAAACATTCCTCTGCAGCATTTAATAAATGACTTGACTGAATGATGGGGCTTGTGAGCTTGGGGTATTAACTTTTTGACACAAGTTGAAACTTAAGGATTTTTGGACATTGTAGAATCCAACATGACTGCATGATAGATACTATCTAATCATGATGCTTCTGTTGCAAGTCAAAGAAACTGATATGCGGTCTGAAAAATCAAAACGTTCTTTGTTTTTTTTCTTTTTTAATCGTGTACAGCATAGTTCTCTCTCATAATAAAGAGAGGGACCACCCGGCTTGTTATCAGCATGCATCTGTGGTGGTATGGATATGCATGAGAGCCCACAACATGAGCAGCTGAAACCTTTTATCTGCCAAGAAAGGGGAAAAATTTTACTTCAAGCATTCAAGGTACTTTGGTACTCCCAAACATTTACATAATGTGGTCAAAAGAAGAGGTGATGCAGCTCAATAGTAAACATGTCTGCATCCCAACAGGTTCAAAATAAGCATATATTTTGTTCATAAAACAACAAAAAATACAATTTAGTTTCAATATTTGATGTGTTGTTTTGCAAAATGTTCATTTAAATAGTTTGATGTTAGGCAAACATTTCAATTCTATTTGTGACGACATTTTTGGAACTGGGGTTGCACAAATTTTCAAAACATTTTTTAATGTAGGATACATGAAAAGACCTCCACCACCAAGAAGGCAGTAAATAATATACATATACTGTATATGTACATGGAACAACAGTCAAAGTGCAAAGTGCCCCCATCATGGCATAAAAGTGCTACGTGTAGAAACATGTAGTCATGCTTGGGTACATAAACTTCTGCGACAAAAAAACTGATCCTATCTTATTCTTTGACATGAATACGTGACACTTTGTTAAGGAGTTGTGGTTACTGCCCATATGTCTGTGAGACCACACTGAATAGTGTTCGCTGCTTCTCTGCAGATTGTGGCTGTTTGCTCTTATCTGCATTGTGGCTGTATGCTGGTTGTGTGGTTGTCTGTTTATAAAGGTTACTCGTCTGCACATTTTTCTTTAAAAGGCAACACTAGCTGCTAAAGTAAAGCTTTAAATGTACTGTCTCAGCCTGGTTATGTTATTCATCAGCTTTTTAAGTTGTTTGGTCAATGCCCAGTAATCAGTGAATCATGCGTTATGAAACTCTTAACGTGAATGCAAAAACAACAGGTAGGCACACAGTGAGACCTCCACAAACAGTAGCTATCACAGGATCATGATTTACCATCAGCCAGCATGTCAGGTAGAAAAAAACAAGGTGGTAATGTTTCATAAGGTATTATACAAAGCCAAACAATGCAACTGGTGTTATGACAACGGCGTGATTAAGCTGCAATCTCAAACCTCCATCCAGCCCGTATCAGTTCCCTGCGCACACAGCAGACATGCTCCTGTTTTTCCTTTGTTTCTCTTCCTCTCCTGGCTCTCTCCTGTGCTGGAGGAATTCAGGAGGAATGCAGAAAAAGCATCCTGTTTTCATTCCACGCTCTTAGTCAGCTATTTACACTACTTTGTAGTGAACGTCGAGGGGGATCTGAGGGTTCAGACTGACGTCACGGTGAAGAACAAGGATGTAATGCCACCAGATAATGGAGACACAGGTGCATCAACCATCCTGCTTAGCCATAGCTCTAATAACACAATAAACATCCATGCCAATGTTGCTTTATCTAGAATACAAGAAAACAATTTTTATTCACCTGGAACTGACTATGAAATGTGTCACTGCTCCACTTTGCTTCATTATCTGTCATTCTGTAGCCCTCAGGCCCTACTTTCCAAAATGACAGCAGAAAAACCCATCTGAAAGAACGGAAAATGTACACAGGAGGGCCTTAGGGTTAAACACTTGACCTGTAACCTCGGACATCCTCAGATAACTAAAGGCCAAAGAGTCTCCAGCATCCTCAGTAATAAACACTTTCTGAGCACACATCCCTCCAGCAGAAGAGCCTAATCTAGAGTAAACACCAGCGTATGGAGCAACAAGAGGACAGGAGGAACCATATGGAGATAACTTCAGCAGCTTTTATGTTGTTAGAAAAGTCTTACTAATAAACTAAACTGCTTTAATTTGATTAACTTTGGGCTTAATGTTATGCTTGCCTTTAATAGTACTATGAGGAGTTTGTAATTGATTAAGAAACTGATCTAATGCCTCTTTATGTCTCTTAAACGCTAACAAGACAACCCGCACTTATGTTGATAATTCCCCTGTTTTAATTGTAAATGCTTACTACTAATCTGAGGTGTTTGGTATCAGACCAGATGATTGACAGTAGGTTTAAAAAAGGCTGTTTTTGACCAATTTTTAACAGCAATTACACAAGTAAAAACATTTTTCGGTTCAAAAACAACAGGGTTAAGTGGAAGAGACATCTATCAAATTGAAGGAAACAGGCTCAAATTGACCATAAACTGCAACAAGATCTTGGCGTTGGCAGAGTTACGAAACTGGTTGAGTGAGAAGAAAATGCCAGCAAAGAAGATACAGATTGGACGGTCTCGAACAGGTGCTGCTGTTATTTTCTGCATCTAATAAAATTCCAACAAGATAATGTTTATGTTTTGATCTTACTGTGAATCGGAGTGTAATGATTAATGTTAATTTAACAGGAAAAGTCAGCTGATATGACTCTTTGGTATTACCAACCAATGAATCTGTGGGACTTTTTTTCTGAATTAAATCCTTTTAAATCTATAAATCAATTTAAGGTCCAAACTTAATATTGGGTGACTAATACCTTTAGATGGATTCTGGGTAATAATTAGCATAATGTACAACAAGCGGACAATATAGCAAAAATGGATTTCTGATAGGGATGAGCAAGACTCAAAATCATTGGGACTCTACTTGACATCACCAATCACTCATTATGCATTATGTCTTTCTTTATTGTTTGTATCTACTTTTAATATTAGTATTATTATTGTTTTCTGTAAGGCCTTAATTACTTGTTTAATGGTGGCACATCTTCACCTCTTTGCATGTTCATGTGTCACCTTGCAAAGCGAAGGCCAGGACACTCATAGTAGTGGTAGACCACTAGGACCAAGCAGAGGTCTTAAGTGACTTGGACTTTAACTCTGATTCAGATTATGGGGACTAAACCTAACCTAAATTACACAATTTAGACTTGGTTTTTAGCATAGGGGACTCTAGCTGTGTTGTAGTCAAGTCACCAAACCTTGAGTTTGAGTCAAGTCTAAAGGTCTACCATGTGAAAGGTATTATCAATATTACAGGAATGATAAATTGGGTGAAGTGAAACAATAAAGTAACCATTTTGAAACAGAATCATTTGTTGTATTTTTTATTTTCTTATGCGGAGATCAGTGCATCATTCATACAAAATATAAATACATCCCATAATAAGTTAGAGAATAAATAAATGTTCTTTACACACTTATATCCATCATCAGTTTTCTGACAGTAAACATCTGAGCAGGTGAAAATACATCCCATACAGCATTAGGATATGTGAGGATAAGTATTTTCTGAGTGAGTTCAACCCTTCATGTGTCCATCAGTAGACAACAATATAACAGGGTCAAGAAAAAGTGCAGGATGTGGATTAACAGCTTTTGAAGTGCACAACACGAGTTAAGAGTCATAACTCCCCAGGGGTCAATCATAGAGGAATTAAGGGAACATTTGTCAGGAGTGAAAAACAATTGTCGCATTTTTGGCAAGCGGCGCATTATTGAAACCTTCTGGCTTATCTTCAATGAAAACATTAAACAGGACATATGCAACAAACACAGGGGCCAACACAATAGAGCCACTGTAGCTGTTGTGCTAGCAGAAAGTATGCAGTATATGATGCTGACAATGGACCTTGTATAAAGCTAATTGTTTGTTAGATAGATGACCTTCATTTCACTGAGGCATTGTGTGCCAGTGGTGGACAAAGTGCCGTTTTCAAGTACTGCCTGATAATTCAGAAAGCTACATGCTAATTTCCCTAAACATTAGGCAGGAGGACAGATTCTGGCTCTGATACAGAGGAATATAAACTGGACCAAAGGCCAGCAGTGACAGAGTGGAGTAAACAAAGGCAAACAGTTCCCAACCAAAGACGGAGTTGACATGACTCAGTGATTTTAGTTGTCTACTCAAGCGAATATAACTGGAGGGTTTAAAAATATCCCATCCAATGAGTCAATGGCCAAAAAAAAAACAAAAGACCACAGTAGGGACCCATTAGTCTGTCTTGACACGGCTGCTCTATCAGTTTTATAGTCCTTGGTTTTTAATGGATCCTTCCTCTCTCTGCATGTGAGTTCAAAAAAGTTCAGAGCGTTCAAGGACCGACTCCAAACATCCACCCCACCTTGCTTTTGCTGAAGGGCTTCAGTCTTGGTAAGCTGCCAGTCCTTTACAGCTCTGTTTTTTTGATCAAATGCTTAATCCTTTGCACTTGATGTCACGCGTCCACATCCCCAGAGTTGCTACTACTCTGATCTTGTCATGGTAGACAGTTGGACAGGTCTGCGGATGTTGAATCCATTACAGTCGAACTGCTTCTGGTGCTGTCTCAGTCCTTTACCTTCTTGTCCTGCTTGTTGGCAGCCTGTTAACCCCACCAGGATTCTTGCTCAGTGACAGTGTACTTTGTGCAATTGCCATGTTGGTCTTGACCATAGATCTGCAGAGCAACAAAAGGAAAAAAAGATTAGATATATCTTCATATATCTGAAAAATTATGACATATCTTAGACTCCAAAACTGATGCTTGATTTCTTCATGACTTACCTGAAAGAGTCTAGCAGTTTGTTCCTGTTCATGCTTGCAGATTCATCCAGTGGATTCAAGTCTCTTGTCCTTGGATTATCTTGGCTGTGGACAGACAAGGAAGCAGCATTAAAACAAGGACAACACCCTTATGTCTCGAGCAATTAAAGCCCTTCTGGCTAAGATTTTGTTTTGCAGTAGTTCAACTCTTGAAGCTAAATGTTTTAGTGTTGCCAAGCAATTTTCTTGGAATTCTAGCCTAATATATTTTGGATGCCTTATGGGCAGGAATGCAGGGCGAGGCTTGAAAAACATCACTTCAGATATCATCTAGAGATGATGACTTATTCATACTGGTGGACTGATGATGACAATAAACTAAAGACGCAACAAGAATTCCTACGGGTAGAGTAGGAACCAAAACCCTCCAAAAATAGAAGCATTGCTAATAACTGTTGCGACTTCTTTTAAGGTGTTTAAGGAAATGCGGGCCGCTCTCGACAATGTGACTACTACCCCTATCTGCATTATCAAAGACTGAATCACTTTGCTGCCTCTCTGACTGATCCTCGGCATTAAGACAGTGTTAAGGCTTGTCAAACGTGGCTGATGCAGAAGAGAGATACAGAATCTATAATGATACGATCTAGCAACCAAAGGTAGCTACGTGATGAGAAAGCCATGCCATGCCTTAGGTTGATAAAGGATGGTTAGTGCTCACCTTGTGTGGCAGAAGCCCAAGCAGGTCTTATCAGCTGGGTTGCGGCATTCACAACGGTCAGCTGAGCGGCGGCGACGACCAGACTGGGAACTCCCGAGGCCATAAGGAAGGAGTTTACTGTGAAGAAAATGAAACTCTTAAGAACAGCGTTGGTGAAAGGATGAGACAATGTGAATGTGATTAAGGCTGAGAGTTTGAGTTTAGTTTAGGGGACACAAAGCCTGTGAGAGCCTTCATGAGGGAATCAAGTATAACGTTTCTCAGCATAAAAATGCAAAGGCGATGGGTATTTTATCATCTCCAATTCATTTCTGAGAAGCTGGGGAAATCTCTGCACAGATGGAACAGGGTTATAAAAGGAGATTTTTAGGCCCTTGGGTGGCTCTGCTTTGAAAAAGATATGACTGTGTGGTGTAAATCACTGCATTGGCTCAAAACTACTTCCAAGAACCATTGAACGAGTAAATGGTTCATTGCATCCATGAATGCAGATTAAGACTGTTATCCTGCCCCTGTCCTGACTGTTTTAAAATGTTGGTTTGGAATCCAATCAAAATAAGCATATACAGTATTTTTCACAAAACAATACGATTTTTCAGTTAAGCTTTGATACATCGTCTTTGCACTATTTTCAATCAGATTTTATGAGCACTTAAAGAAAGTCCCAACTGCTGTTTAACTGGAGTTGTAAATCACTTAATTTACAGGCAATCTTAGTGTCCCCTCAATGTCCTCTGTGGTCTCACCTTGGAGTGTTGACCCAGATAATATCCAGGTGGCAGAAGTAGATGCATTCTTTATCATCCCAGCTGCTGCAGGAGCAGCGTTTGGTCCTCACGCGGTGTGGATGTTTAGCCTGAGCTGGCAGCTCTTCCCGGTCTGATACAGGAAAACCACAACCTGGTAATCAACAAAGAAGCCAAGATTAAAATGTGCACATTAATGCTTTCTGGCCTTGACTGAGTGAGTGTTTATCACATGTAAACACAAAGAAACCCAAACACTTGTGCAGTTTAATGTGCAGTGATGAATTTCAAATGGGTCAAAGAGGACAAACACCTCTGCAGGTTGAACAAAAAGGGTTTATTAATAATTATTTACTACAAAACCTACGCTAAAAGCAAACATTCTCTGGAAGTTTGAACACAGCTCGTTTCAAACCTTTTGTGTTCATCGTCAAAGAAATTTCTTGAATTTCTTTTCTGTTTTTTTTTTATTTCGTTTGTGCATGAACACAATTTAAACTAAAATTAGTAAAATGCTTTTTCATATAATTAAATTTAAGCTCTTTGTTTGACTTAACAGATGGCTGGATACTGTCTGTATTCAATCAATCAAATACAGCAATGCACTTTGTTACTTTGGCAATGCTTTTCTGACATAAAGACATTTAAATTTTTCTGTATTTCTTCCAAAAAAATTGTGTCTTTTAGACTACGATGCCTCACAAAAATCAGCAAAAATTGTCACAAATATATGAATCGACATAACATCCTACAGAATAGCAAAGTTAGGCAACTTACCCTCTTGCAGAGCCATGCAGATGATGAATAAAACCAAAGTCTTGCACAGGAATGAAGCCATCGTTCTGGATTGTCTGATGATGCTTTAGAGCAGCAGTAGTCACCCTCAGAGAGCTGAAGTTCAAGAAGAAGAAGAAGAGTTGTTTGTGTGGACCCTTCAGAGGAGCAACAGGTGCTTTGTGTTCATGCTGCAGCCAGGACGTCTACTTATACTCACCCCACTGTGAGTAATATCACAGAGGCTCCGCCCACTTCATACTGTCAGTGCAGTTACACAACCCACTCACACTTCACCTGCCCTCACATTCCAGGAGAGACCAAACAATGAGAGCTGTCACTGCCTCCAACAGGCCAAGAGAGGCACGGACAGTTAACAAAGGAGTCATTTCTTTTTTTTCTTTTTTTATAGGTTTATAAAACAGATAAAAATATCCTGATAGACATAACACTTCATTATTGAGTTATGAGTTCAGTTGTCACTAAAACAGAAGTGATACAATCTGATTTTTTTCCCTTAAGTGACTTATTTATGGTTTAATTCTCACTCCCTACTGAACTCTCCATCTCTCATTCCAACTGCCCGTGCATTTGTGAAAGGAAAAGTGATTGCTCTTGCATGAATAAAGAGATAAGTAATGTATGTACATTTGTATAATTTACACACTTGGACTGCTAAGCTGTAGTATGAACTGAAACTTCAAAGTGTTAAACATCACTCCCCCAAATCTCCCCCAAAATTGGGATTAATATGTTTTATATTAGGACAAGTACTTCGCAGAATTTCCCTCATAGAATATAATGTGTCCAGTTGCATCACATATCACATACATGATATATAAGACATTCAATAATGTCCCGACATTATATCTGAAACAGACACCATATGAGGCTGGAGTATTACCAGGCCTGTGTCATCTCATTACTCTGTCAATAAGCTGGAAAAAAACTTTGAGATGACATCAGGATTGACTTTCATTATTTATATTTGAAGGATATCTTACATTGCTAAAAGTATCTGACTTATTGTAAGTTGTTTTAGCGACGGAAATATAGTAGAGATAAGTTATGTGCTACATGTGAATTTTTTCAATGCTGTAGTTTGACATCTGATTTGGATTTGCTCCTCAGAGAAGGGTTTTGATGTTTATGAAACAGAATGAACTTCACATAGATGCCTTTGTATGATTACTAAAGTAAGCAAGACAATCAACAATAAAAAAGACTGACATGTTAAAAGGCTGAAACTGACATAAGAGGAGTATTTGTCAGCTCAACTTCTGCATTCAATACACACGTGGACAAAATCGTTGGTACGCCTCGGTTAATAAAAGAAAACCCCACAATGGTCACAGAAATAACTTGAATCTGACAACATGCTTGTCTATAATTTTCTTTCTAATCTCCTGAGACAACTCTTTCCTTTGCTTCCTCTGGTCCATGCTGAGTGTGGTACACATCACGTCACCAAACAGCACAGTGACGACCTGTAGCCCTATATATAGGCCTAACGACTGATTACAAGATTGAAGACACCTGTGATGCTAATTAGTGGACACACCTTGAATTAAAATGTCCCTTTGGTCTTTTCTAGGAGTACCGTCATTTTTGTCCAGACCTGTTTAATGAGTTTATTTTTTTAAATAATTCTGTTGAACGACGGTTCAAAATCAATGTCTGACTTTCATTGGCAAATTTCACAGAATATTTATTTATTGTTACTTTTGTCAGATTCAAGTTATTTCTGTGACCATTGTGGGTTTTTCTTTGATTAACTGAAGAGTACCAACAATTTTGTCCACGTGTGTATTCAAACTTAATTAACCATTTGACAATGAAAAGTCAGCAGGATGAGATTTTTTTGTCATGGTTGTAATTAAAGAATTTATAAATCTAAATAGTATGGTAAAGAAAAGACAAGAACAATTATGAGGGTGTTTGACCTGAAAAATGCACAAATTCTACAATGGTAAAGTGAGGGCACTACATGCTCTGTGTTTTCTCTCTTTTTGTTCCACAGATGTCAGAAACCTCAGGATGAGACTGAAGCCTGCAGAGGAAGAGATGAGTGGCAGCGGACAGAGGTTTGCGTGAGCCACACAGCTGATACGAGGATGATGAAGTCAAGGAATGCTGTCGGCACCCCCTGCAGGAAGATGAGGTCATGGCACGACGGCTGCCCACACACTCCTCTGCTGTCACACAAACAGCATCTCATCATGTAACAGGCTCTGACCTTCGTAAAGAGATACACAGCCGCCTGCCACATCAGCTCCATGCATATGCCACCATGCATGAAACACACACACACATACACACATACATCCCTGTCAGTCTGAATGGCCTATCTGTCACCGGTGACAAACACAAACACAGAGGATCCGACCACAGCCCAGCCGCCTACAGACTGTGTCACTGTGTCATGTCAGAAACCGACCAAAGCGCTGCTTGTTTTATCAGCTGGAGCTTTGTATTAACTTCATAATAAACAAACTTTCACTTAACAATGTTGAATGAAAAGTAATGAAGCAGGATGATACGGGGAGGAGTGGTGACAGAGAATGAACCTCAGAGATATCATCATGACCACCTAAATTCATCTTGTTTCATTTCCTTGACTGAACAGAATACATTCTGGTGGGGGGTTGACAAGGAAATACGAGTTTATATGATATCAAATAGACTATGATAACTACAGTATAAAATGTAGTTATAGAGCTCATGTTCATATTATGAATACTAATCTTCACTTTGGGGATGCTTCATGCTCCTATGAAGCTTTTGTGGGTTGACATGATTTTAGAGCACCTTATGGATAAAGTCTAAGAAACTATCCGTGTGATCTGAATCCACAGTGTGTGATTTTGTGTATGCAAGAAATGCGAGGCTGCATGATAGATAAGCTAGATTTTAAAAGCTAGAAATAAGGGCTCACTTGTCATACTATAATATTGAGCCAGCATCAAGCAGGGTTCAAATCTAAGAGTCCTATTTTACATGAGGTTGCAAATATTTTCAAATTACTCTGTAGCTTTATAAGTTACTATAACAGCTGAGTCAACAATCAAAGTTCAGACCAGAGGTAGATGATTGATGAAGTCATATGAGGCAGAGATGACATGAATGCAAATGCTGTTCACACCATACTGAAACCATACTACTCCATACCATAACACAAATTACAATATGCTCAAATACAATCATATTTCTAACATACTGTAGTACACAATATGTTTAAGTACAATATAGTTTACATAAACAATGTATTTTTTCTTTCATTTATCTTTTATAAATAATGTTTCTATGCAAAGTTCACTCAGGGATCTGCAGGATCATTGTGCTTCCTGATTTCAGGCCTTTTTTCATGAAGATGAAAGTATACGTTGGTTTCACTCTCCTAGCGCCATAAATGGTATTCAGTCTTACAAAGGAAGAAGCCAGATCATTAACAAAAACAGCAACAGGAAGAAGCACAATCACTGAGCTCTAGCCATAAAAGTTTGGAAAATCTTTCAGATGATGAGGAATTTTACATCAGCGTTGGTGGAAAACCAGGTGATGAAAAGAGTCACTGAATGAGACAGGAAAAAACATGCATGCAGAGTTTATGAGGGTTGTCATGAGGCGGAAATGCCAAGCGAATGTCACAGTGCAGACAGAGAAAAGCATTTGACCAACAATTTGTTACAGTGAGGGAGGAGTAAAAGCCTCCAGAGCAAATATTTGTCCTTTTTTGAGGAATGGGCTCAATGGAAGAATGACCCTCCCCCGTCGTTTCCTTTTTCCTCTTGTCGGTTTCCCGTGTTGCTTTCAGTGACTCTGCAATCGTAGTGAGGAACATGTGCTCTTATCTATTTCCCATTCCCGGCTCCTGAGGGCGACAGAGGAATGTGAGGCAGCAGCGTGACAAACAGAGGAGCCGTGATCGCAGAATCATTTCAAATTCCTCTGAGATGACGACTATGAATGTGTGACACAATAACACACAGAAATATTTACACGTTCAGGACAGAGAGAAAAAATGTTTACTGAGGACACTCTGCTCATGGAATGAAGAAACAAGGACATGAAATGGCAAAACACGTGCAAACTGTTTCACAAGAGGCAGAAGTTTATCAGCTCTTATCAAGATATGTAGAAAAAAACATGCAAGAGCTTAGATGTGATGTTTGTGAGCCCCCACTGTTGACTGGTTCTTGAACCTTTATGACAATAGATGTAAAACAGCCTAAAAAGAAAATTAAACTACTTTTTTTTCCCTTTTTTTAAGTTTCTGTCGTTAATTTATATCATGGCTGGCTGCTCTGCCGACAAATGCAGACTTCTGCAGTGATTTTTTTTTTTTTTCATTTACACTCAAGGAAAGGACAAAAACATTTTTTTTACTTGTGTTGTAGAGCTACTCGTTGCCTTAAACGCTTCAGATCAACTCAAAAATCTGCCTTTCCGAATCTACCTGAGAGATCTTTGATGTTTTTGTTTGGGATAGTGTTGTGTCTTTCGCGAACGATTCGTTCAAAAGAACCGAATCTTTTAAGTGAACGTACTGAACCGAAACACTTCCTCAAGTGATTCGTTCTTTTTTCACTTCAGTTGAGCTGAAGCTTATCCCCCGGGAGAGCTACACAATCTTCGTACGCCCATAGGTTGTATCAAGTGTCAATCATAGAAATCATGAACCCCCTAATAGCTTTTAGAGGACTTCAGCACAAACCAGTCTTACAGTAACTACATGTCAACAGAAAAAATTATATTCTGTGAAATAAATTTCTTAAGTTTGTCCACAGCTCCATAGGGATTGTTGGCGGAGGTTTATGACCTATACTGCAGCCCGTCACCAGAGGGTGCTGTTCTTGCGGTGGCTTCACCCAGCGAGGAGGCAGACTCTGTCCATTCTACAGACAGTCTGTGATACAAAATTCCTTATAGAAGCTTAAATTTATGTGTGTCACCAGGTGAGTTGTTCCTGTTACTCTAGATATTTTGCAGCTACATGCTTTAAATTTGTAGCATATGAGTCTAACAAAATCAACTTAAGGAGCAGATTGTACACCATGTATTCTTGGCTGCACCCACACTATGGAATTTAAACAATATTTTGAGGCTGTATTAAAAAAAAAAAGGCATAAACATTTTTAATGGGAGCACTACAGTATTTATACTTCTAATTATTTGACCATGAGTATCTTTACTTTGACTTAAGTATTGACTTTGTGTAATTTGGCCACCCCTCTTGAGGCTAGTGTGTGTTATGGTGTGTTTGGTCCCTGTTACTGAGGGCTATTGTCTGAAATGTTTTTACCTTCCCTCTGAAATTCTCCTGAAATGTTTACCACTGTGAACTGGGCGATCTTTTACTCCTAGGGAACCTTATCCCAGCCTTTCATTGAATATTATATTTGGTTAACATTTGGGCGTCATCACATCATCAGCCTCGAGCTCTTGTTGTTTCTGTTGCCGGGGAAATCTCACCATCAGAAACAGGGAGAGTCCTCTGTTGACTGATCATAGAGAAAGTGAATCACACCTGATACTCTTGATGATTATCTACCGTGACCGTGAAATAGAAACAGAAAATAAACGCCTCATTCCTCATCTCTTTGAATTTACCTGGTTTTCCCTGCTGCTATGTGTGTCATCACATTCAGAGGAAAAGTGCGTCTGTTTTCAGGCCGTTCCCTTCACTTTGTGATCTCATCTTTTCCTGTAAATAGGCAGCATGATTCTTGGACTTACCGTTGCTTTCTTCTGCCCCCAGGTGGTTAAAAGTGGCACTGTCTGATCTAGAACACAAAGTCAAGCTGCTTTGTGTTCAACATCAACAAAGATATGAGAAAAAAGTTCAGATACCTGCAGAACAGACCCAACACAGGCAATGAAACCTTTTAAATACGATGGGAAATTTGTGTTTTCTAGTCTTAGACATGAACAGAAAGTGCTTTCTGCAGCCACAAGATGGTGCCACATCCATCAGCGGGAAGATCTGTCGCTCTCAGAACCTGACAAAATGAGAAGAGAGAATATCTGTTGATTTGATATGAGAATCTCTCGTTAAAACCTTGATGTTAGATCAAAACTGTGCAGAGAAAGATCTGATCTGTTGTATTGTTTGGGTCTGTCTCTGTTACTTCTAAATTACCTAACATTAACCATGTGCTTTTGCAAGAGGTTAGACCAGAACAGCTGAAATAATGCAGTCACCCAATGTAAGCTGTTACCAAATAAATCAATGTGAATATTTCAGAGCCACAACCGAGACGTGTTTGTTTAGGACATACTGACTATATTTCAGATTTAACACACTGACACCAAAACAAAGACATTCCAGTGTTATGCAAGAGGCTTATGTGGGACCATCGTGTGAAACGACAAGCTCGACAGGAAAGCACCATAAATAAAATGCTAATTACTTTCATTTTGTGTTATTAGGATCTTACATAAATAAGACCAATGTGACTAAAACTACGGAGGCGTGAGGCAGTCACTCGAACCAGAAAATAGCTCTTCTGTTTTTTTCTGGATGAAGTGGGTGATATTCAGGAATTACATGAAAGAACTATTACATGTTGATCACTATTGAGTTTAATTAATCATTGAGTTTTATTTTGTTTTGGATTTGAGACACACAGAGATGCTCACATCTTAAGGTAACATGGATGGTAATGTTAGTAGTTTTTCTACAGTCATGGAGTTTTGCGTTATTTTAGACGTTATGATTGTTTGAATCTGCCGGACTTTGAAGAGTCTCTCAGGGACTGGCTCAGCTGATTCATATCTGAAATGAGATGATGCATTCATGCTTGTGTTGACTGAGTTGGTGCTCCTTTTATTGTTCCTGTAAAGTCTAGAAATCTGAAACAAGTAACTTCAAAAAAATGTGAATATTTTCTAAACAACCATAACAGAGTAGAAAATACAACAGTATTTCAGTCAGGGCCACCGTTGAAAATGGAATTCATTACTTGCATGAAATGGTATTATTTGGTGGTATGGCTCTGCTATGAGAGCTCCCTATCCCTACATCAGGTATGAAGGCCAGCAGCACCAAATACCAGACACTAAAACCCTGAAAGCAGTCAGGCTGACTGACTATGTAGTCGCTTAAGTAACAAAAAGGCACTTGCAGAGAAGACTTCATAATCATGACAGGCAACTTCGGTGCCGTACCTTGTCTAATCAGAGAAAAGCTGACAGGATTTCTTTTTAATATTTCTTGTAACTTTAACATAACTTAACTTAGCGTAACTTAAGTGAAAGAATATGTCTGAATATGAATCGTTGTGTCTCACATTTCTATTCTAGATCTGATAACCCACTAACATGTGCTGGTTCTGGCTGAAGCTTTGTGTTCGGTCATTGGCTCAGCTATAATAATCATTGGGAAGAGCATTAGCCTAAAAACAAAAAAAAGTGCCTGTTTTTGAGAGTGTTACTGTTATTGAATTTTAAAGGAGGTTTTCAAACAGCCATTCATTTCCATTCATGTCCATACCTTATCATGGTGGCTGTGGCTCAGTTGGTACATTTGGTTGTCACTCAATCGGAAAGCTGGTGGTTTGATCTCAACTCCTGCCGCCCACATGCTGAGACGTCCTGAGGCAATGTCCTTGCTTGGCCAAATGTGTGTAAATAGGATCAGTTAATACTGATGGGTACTTTCCACAGCATCCTCTGCCATCAGCGTGTCAAAGTGGCACACATGGATGGATGTGCATGCTTTGTAAGGACGGTCAATCAACGTTTTACCTCATTAGGCACTGAAAACGTTGAAATCCATGGTGCTGATCAGTAATTTGATACATAACTATAAAATATTGCTATGTTGCCTATCCATACTACACCACAGGGAAGTTTATTAACATGAGAACAGATGTCTGCATGTGTTTTCAATTCTCAAGAAGAACCTCACAAGCTTTGCCTGAACCTGTCGGCCGACTCTGTTGTCATATTAAGACGGTGTTGAAGGGTAGAAAGTTAGAAAAGTGTTTTTAGATTATGAAGTTACAGCTATTTTCTCTTCCAGGAACAAATGGGAAGCTTTTATGTTTACAGCCTCAACATAGCAGTTTGTGCTCACCCCTTCACTGAGGACTGGATTTGTGTTTCAACTGTTTGTGAAACCTGAGGCTGTTCCAGGTGTAAAGATCTTCAATGAAGGCTCGCTAGCAGTATGTCATGTCACAACAGCAGCAAATGCAACAGCTAACACTAAGCTATGATAGGGAGTAACACCCATAATCTGTGTCTGACTTATTACTGAAAAAGCAGCCAAAACTAAATGTTTCAGGCAGAGACTGAGATATTTTCAGCATAGTTTTTCGGGTTTCTAAAGAATTACAGATTTTAATTCAGTCTATGCTTTTACTTACACTCTTACTTACTAGGGATGTCCCGATCTGATGTTGATATCGGGTATTGGTCCGATATCAGCAAAAAAAACAAATATTGGATTATAACGGCCTGCATCTAAAATCTGTGATATCGGCAATTCCAATACAAGCAGTCCATTCCAGACTCCGCTCCAGCACCTCCAGCTAGCAGCGCCAGTATTTTTCGTCAAAGTCTGAAAAAGACGTTACAGATGAGTGCAAAACTTGTCATGCACAAGTTTGTGCCAATATCGGACCAATATCGGTATCGGCCAATACTGAAGGCAACAATATCGGTATCGTATCGGAAGTAAAAAAAAGTTGTATCGGGAAACACCCCTAATAATTACTAATTTATGTTTGAAAAAGAGAATGTGTGTTTGTTGACAAAGACCAAAAACGAAACTCAAGAATGACATAAAAAGACGGTTTTAATATAAATCTGTAAAAATGAGAAGTTTAATGGTAAACATGAAAATGACAGAGTGATTGTATCATTTATAAAAGCACCAACACAAAAATACATGTATCTGTATATGAAAAAAACGGCACCGTAGCTACCATGTACGTGAAACAGGTTTCCTCTGGGTATCAAATTTTTTTTTTTTTTTTGTCAGTGCACTGCAAATGTCTTGATCTGAAACTTCTTTTCTGAAGGACGCTAGAAAAGGAGGTGATCGTAACCCTGCTTCTTGAAACACAAACAAAGACGACAACAACTAACGAAAACAAAACGGACAAATCATATTCATCACAGCCTTTAAAAATGACATTTCAAACCACAATCTCGACATAAAATTGCACTTTAAAATACTGTTCGGGGTGAATAAATATTTGTAGTACCTTTCTATATCCATTTTGGTAATACAGTACATTTACACAGCAATAGTATATTAGAGCTGTCGGAGAGGATAAGAGGGAAACTGATTAAAACTTTGTCTATTTTCATTCCAGCTGCTCTTGCATATTGTACAGAACTTGCATAATAGCACATAAATAAATTAACACCGATGACATCAAACAAGAGGGTAAAAAAAGACTTACAAAACATACTGCATATCTAACATAGTGTCTATATATATTATTCATATAATTACATAACAGCGTCATTCAGAAGCGGTGCTGAAGTGCTCTTGCCTTTTGTCTCCTCTGTCTCTAAACCAGTGCTATGTGCTAACAACAGCCTCTGGTTTTCTAGACTACAAATCTTTTGCACTTTCCCTTCAGGCTCTTCCTCCTATCACAGCTGTGTCTGGGAGGAAGGAGCCTGTTTTTGGCCTTAGGTGGTTTTGGGGTAAACACACCTGTCTGTAAAATGTGCGTCTGTGTCTACCTTCTGATGCTTCATCTCTGTCCCAGCACTCTTAGGGCCTTGGCTCTTTCTGGGCAGTAAAGTGTCCAGTAAGCTGCTCCTGGACGTCCCCTCTAACGCCTTGAGGTCCAGCGGTTTGGCTAGGCTGCTAGGTGACATCTCTTTGAGAGTATCCTGTCGCTGCAGCAGAGAAAACCTCCCCTTTGTCGTGTCACTTAGTCTCCAGGATGCCCCTATCCCCGCAGTTGTAACTGCTGTAGGGCTGGTCACCAGGCTGTACAGAGGGAGGGGGGACCTGGGCTGAATCATGTGAATCCCCCCAATAGGGATGAGGAGGCTCGGGGACCTGCTGGGCTGCTGGGAGTGCAGAGGAAGGTGACTCAGGAGGTTGAGGGCTCCCCGAGGCCGATGCAGGGGGATGTGGGTCAGACCAACCTCATCCACAGACTACAACAAAACAAGACAGAATGAAGTCTGAATGAAAAGGAGGTCAACAGCAAACTGGAAAAAATAAATAAATAAAGGGCGGAAAAAAAACTAACTTTTCAGAGCAGCAGCAACCATTTACAGTCAGTGTTTGTATGGATCAATAGAAATGACTACACAAAAAAATATGGTTTTGGCTTAAACTTCAGCCAAGGTCCAATATTCAATATTAGCATCACATTTAATGTCATATTTAAATCATGATTTAGAGATACACACTTATAACCCAGAGATTGCTGTCATCAGCTAACAACCCAGGGTTTGCTGATTTCTTGTTCTTCTCAAATCTACAAAAATAGTATTAGGGCCACAAGAAGAGAAAAAAATTATTAAAGGTGGAATTTTTTTAAATTTCTATTTCGAGATTAAAGTCAAAATGTCAAGATTAAAGCAGAATTTTCAAGATTAAAGTCGAAATTTTAAAAAGTCAAAATGAACAAAATCAAAATTATGAGGTTAAACTTGAATTTTCAAAATTAAAGTTGAACCGTAGAAAGTCAGAATTTAAAAAAAATCAAAAATTTCGAGATTAAAGTCAAAATTTAAAAAATAAAAAATAAAAAATTTGAGATTTAAGCCAAAATTTAAAAAGTCGAAATGAAAAAGGTAGAAATTACGAAATTAAAGTTGACATTTTAGTCGAAATAAAAAAAATCAAAATTTGGAGATTAAAGTAAAAATTTAAAAAATTACAACTTTTATCTCGAAATCTTCTCCTTCTTGAAAAATTTTGATTTTTTTGATCCCAAAATTTTGACTTTAATCTCCTTCCTGTTATTATTGTTTCTGTACTTATGTGGCCCTAATTCTCTTGCGTACAAATCCCACCTTCTTGCAAAAGAAAACAAGCAACTCAAAAAAAGCCAGACACCCAACAAATAAAAACAAAAAATACCCTGCAGAGAATATGAATCCCCATCTCCTCATATGAGACCCGTATCAATAAGAGGAGGAAATAATGAGGTTGCACTATCAAACAACCACAAGTTTGAAAAACACATTTTTTTCCCTTTAATTAAATTACCGCGAGCTCAAATATTCAAACAGGTAGTTTTTATCCACATGTGGTTAATGATTGGTCTGTTTCTCATTTTATCACTGGCTGCCCAGAGAAAACACGCCCTGTCTATTTGGGATCCCTATTGCAATATGTCCAGGTTTTAGAGCTGTAGGTTGATTTGAGTGATATAAAACAAGAGTGCCTCCTCTTTTCCGAAAAATGCACAACTTTAAAATAACCTCTTGTGCACCCGCCTATCTATATTTGTTCTACATGTTGACTTACTGGGATTTAGCTGAGCCACACAAGATTAGCTCTGCGGGCAAAAGCTGATTTATTTAAAACTGTGGACTAAACCAACAGAGGTGGATGGAGTCACAGGTGAGTGAATACTGCGGTTTGTGCAAAACCCACAAAATTTTACCCAGCATTTATTTTATCTTTGACAGAAAACAGCATCATGACAGATTCAGGCTGAGATAAAAACAACAGTTTCACTTATGTAAGATGGAGAAGATGCTTGGAAAGATGTTATGTCACCTTGTTTTGTTCCAGCAAAAGCTAAAGTGACTCACCAGTCTCGCTGCAGACAGCCGGTCTCTTGGGTGAAGACAGGCGTGACATTGAGCAGAGGTGTTTGCCAGTAAACCTGGAGGCCTGGGGGACTCAGATCCATGGGACTGGGTTATTGTAGGAGAAAGACCTCTGAGAGGGGAGACTGGAATCAGAGGGGAGGGGGAGACATAACAACTAGATGGGGAGAGAGAAGAAGAAGAGGGAAGCGGGGACAGGGACATGTGAGGCCTTGGTGATGGGCTGCGAGGTGGAGACGGCTCCTTTGGTGGAATCAGGGTTTGAGTGCTTGGAGAGTGTGGGCCTCCTGGGGTTAAAGATGCTGAAGCATCAAGGCGTCTGCGGGCGAACAGGGCCCTCCTGACACTAGCAGAGCTTCTCTGGATTGAATCTTTGTGGGGAAGTGGGTTGGACTGTTGGGGTTCACTTTCCCTTGGTTGGTGGTCCGAATGAGTTTTCTCTCTGTTAGATGAAGCAGTGTGAGAACCTTCAGCCACCTTGGTCCTGTTATCTTCATCACATCTGCGGATTGTGTTCTTTGCGTTGTCATCTTCCTCTTGTCCGCTTTTTCCTGAATCAGAGGACTTGGGATCTTTTTGAGTGTGTGGCTGAACAGTCGGTTCTTCACAGACTCCTATAAGACACCAAAGTTTCTTTAAAAACATTACGAACTTCCTCTCACATTTTCAATAGTGCTTCAAAGGCCTGTCAAATTATCAGATTTTCACCTCACTATATGGTTAATTTCAAAATAAAACACCACAATCAGTCATATTTAAAAAAGGCAAGACAACAGTAGAGAAACAAATTATTTCTTAAACTTGACTTATACATACAATTAACCTCTCATCATCTATTCAAAATGATGTTCAAATTAATGACTTATCCACATCACCACCATTCCCTGGACCTATATTTTTTAAAGATGATATTACCTTGCGCAGGGTCTCTAAAGGTTTCAACAAGTCAAATTTAAGACTTTTTAAGACTTTTTAAAGACCATAATGAATACAATTTAAGACCCATTTAACATCTACATAAATAAAGTACAAAAGATATGAAAGGAAATCAAAACATTTTACATTACTTCAAATCAGTCTTTATTCCTATGGCATTTTATTAATTTGTAAGTAGTGTTAAGACATCTTTAAGGCCTTTCAAAATTGTATTTAGAAATTTTTTTTGTGAGATTTTAAGAGAATTTTAGACATTTAAAGGCCACATATTCAAATTTTGGGATTTTAGTTATTATAAGACTTATCAAGACCCTGCAGGTACCCTGTTATGAAGCTACTGTGTGGTATGATTTCATTTTGACATTTTTTCTGTCTTAAGTTGAGCTTGCTTCATTTACAACGTAAAAAAAATGATGCTTTCATTTATAAGTCTACTACTTTCTGGTAGTTCTTAAATTATAGAGCTGAAGAAAAACAGTTAAAAGAACTGGTTAGTAACCTTTGGAAACACAAGCTATCAAAATAATTTATTGAACTTGGAATTAAATTTAAATGTCAGTTTACATAAATTTGATTATACATTGTGGTACATAATTTTACAGATTAATTATTGTCATTATTTTAATACCTCTCCTAACTTTTGACTGTGGAAATGCAAATCATAGGGAACAAAGCCCAACTAATTTTGACTGAATGTCTAAAATGCAGCTATGTGGAAGGATGTGAACCCCCTAAATACCTAAAGATACCTCAGGGAAGTACTTAACACTATTTCAGAATGACTTTAAAAGTCGTAATTTTTTTCCTGAAATAGATTTAGGATGAGAAGCTCAAAAAGTAGAAATTATGCTATCTAAGTAACCTCAGTGTACGTTACATTTGCCTGTCCCTAAAAAGCAACTACGCTCGTGATTTTGAATGTTACTGTAAATATCTTGCCATCCTGGTACTAAAAGTCAAATACAAAGAACTTAAAAAAGTTGCAGCAGCACAGCTTAAAAAGGGAGAGGAGTAAAAACAAATGTGTTCAATCAGTCAAACTCCCTAGAAAAACTGTGCTCATGCTTGATTCATGGTGACAAACCATGCAAATACCACTTATTGAACCATTACTCTGAATCTTACCTTTGGCTTTGAAAGAAACACTTGATTGTTTGGAGGTGTACAGTAACGAAGTGCTGATGCCAGGGATGCACTTTTGTTGAACACAGTTGTCACACTGGCTCTTCTCTCCACCTCCACTCTGACTGGTAGCTTGCTTCACATTTGATCTGTGGGTGTGAAGAGAGCAAGAGGTTTCAGTTTCATCCTCAGAGCGTTGCCCTGTCACTTGTCTATTGATGCTGCTCCTCTGAGGATGATGGTCACAATCAATAAGAGTGTAACTGGAGCTGACTGACAGGCTGCAGGCCCTGTAGCACCTGTAAGCAGCTTTCAGTGCTTGTATTTATCCAGCGTGAGTGCGCTATCTGTTTGGCCTCTGCTACACAGGGAGCTCACACTGTGGCAGCTGGACCCGGGGTCCACCCCGCCACGCACACTGAGGGTCCCTCAGCGAGGCGCCCACTTCAGCTTACACAGAGCAGCTTTCATAAGCCAAGACCAGACCCCCTCCAACCCCTAACCCCCACCTTTCTGCCTTACAACCCATCACAGCTCACACCACCTCCGAGTCTAAACAAGGGGGGAGCCTGCAATGTGGCCCAAGGTCCTGGGGTTTGATGCAGCATGCCAATAAAAACAGGCGCCAGAGGGAGGGAAACCCTGGCCCTGACCAGCTGCTGCTCCAAATAAGCAAGAAAAAACACAAAATGAAAACACATTCCTATGACAAACAATCATCCTGATTTTAATCTGACCTTTTTTCAGCTACTTTCACATGGCTGGAAATACTGGGTGTCATAAATGGTGTCTCTAACGCTCTTGAAAAACTTTTAGGTGAATGAAAGAGGCCCACTTTGCCCTTCTACATAAACATTTTAAAGTAACCAAAGCTTTTTATGAACTTGCATTCTCACTGACGATTTAAATCCAGGAGCCCTTGCCTTTACTCACAACAAAAGGAAAAGGAGGTGATGTTCAACGGCATGGCTGCATCAGTTCTGTCCTTTTGTCCCTCAGACAGACTGTTCAGACGGAGAGAAGCGAGCTAGCAGGCGCGAGGATGACTCACTCCTTTAGGAAGAGTGTGATGAGAGTCAACATGACTCACAACAGGGATTTGTTCACAGACACACTCCCAAACCAAAAAGAGACACACAGATGGCACCTCTCCGCACTCTCCTGCGTCTCCTCGCAGCAGTGTTTATTTCGGATGAGAATCAGAAGTACAGAGCCTGTCCGGTTTGATCTCGGAACAAATTAATTTGAGAAATGGCGGAACTAAACTTATACCTAACAGGTCTGCAAAGAGAGTTTTACTAATCTGGTAGTCAATGAGTCATTCATGTTATCTTTTTTTACTACATGGTTGTGCCAAAGCCTCGATTCTTGATTCTGATTTGTTGTCACACAGGAGCCGTTTAAATGGTCTGTTATTTCTTCACAGCACACCACTGTTAAGAGGGATATACAGCGATTGCAGCGATCAACTGTATCAAGATCATTTTTGACAGGAAATTAATGATTTGCATTCAGTAAGCTATATTTGACAGTATGGCTCTGTTGTTAGAGTTTTCTGACCTTCTACGAGGCAGGGAGGGCACAGCGCCCTTCTGTTTCATAAGCATTAGGGATGCACCGATCTGCTTTTTTCACCTCTGATACCGATAAAGATATCTACAGCCGATACCGACCCAATTCCGATACAGAAAGGTCGCACCGAATTACCCTTTGTTGTAACCTAAAATTTTACCACTGCCTCTCAGAACGTTTACTGCGCAGGTATTGCAAATGGCCGTTGAGTTTGTTCAAGATAGCAGACCACTTTGCTCGGCTCCATTTTGAAAACAATGTGGGCATCCGCTCAGCGTGTTTACTTGTGGATGCCACTCACCGTGTATAGCATAGAGTTAGACTGAATAGATCAGCCCCTATGCATCGGGCCCATTGTCACAATACCCAATCTAGAATTTTCTTCAGTATTGGGATCGATACAAATATCAAATATTGGATTGGTGCATCCCTAATGTGCATATCTGAAAAGCTAAGGCGGGGAGAGCAGCAGCAAAGACCCTGTGGCAGGCATCAGTAATAATACATATGATACTGGTAAACTCAGACAGTATAAAAGGGAGGAGCTGGGGTAGCAGTAGTATTCTTATTAGGTTTTGAATATAAAACTCTATATTATTACTGTGATCTCTTATCAACAGTCAAGCTAGATATAACATTACACATATTAAACACATATCACAATGTCTAAACCTCAGTGTTTCTGTTGACTCTGCAGCAATGAATGGAATAAAAAAGGCATTTAACACCAAAAGACTGTGATGAAGAAAGATTTCAGACTGTTAAAGCCTTATGTAAGCGTTAGATAAACTGTGGAATATAATTTAGCACATAATGGGGACTTGATTTTGTCCTCCATCTTTTCAGTTTAGAGTAATTAAGAATGGATCTTTCAGCCAGAACAAGCAGGAGGGATAACAGCAAGTATAAGCTCTGTCAATGATTACACAGGAGCCTGAGAATGGTTTGAAGACAGATTTGAAAAACATGCGGGATTATCCTTTAAACTCTCTAAAAAAATGCTTAATCTTTAATAAAACTGACAGTACACCTTTTGCCATTTTCTGATATAGTTTGTTCTGTGTATCATGTGCTTGTTTCGCATTAAAACGCGCTGCTGCTCTCTTTGAATGGCTGTGATGGTTGGTGTAAATGAATCTCTGCAGGCGCAAAAGGAAGCTAGGTAGTTTCCTGGCTTCAGCTCTTTAACAGACGGGCTCTGTTGGTGTAGGCAGCCAACCCTTGGCCCCTCCATCAAGGTGGATAGACACAGTTTCCACAACTTACCACGATATGTGACGCAAGATATAAACATAGCAAGCAATTACGTAAGTCGGATCGTAATGGATACAGACAGGTTTTTTTTTGGTTCTTGTACATCTCACAGTGCTGAGAAGCCCTGAGTTCAGACTCACCCTGTCTCTGGGATGTAAACACTTGGTAGTTTTGTGTCTCTGGAGCACAAGAGTATATCGTCCTCCTTTTCCTCCTTGTCCTTCTCCTCTTTCCTGTTCGAGCTGTTGTCACCTGCAGACCACTGCCCCCTCTTGGATCCTTCCTGGTCTCTGCAGCACGACTGGCTTTTGTAAACCTACACTCGAAAGAAACATGGGCAAATTCACCAACCCTGCTCCAGCATGCCCAGGGAGAAAAAATTGGGAATTCTCATTGAAAGTTTTGTTTAATATCAACTGTTAATGCACATTAAGACAACCATGATAATGTCTACAATTCAATCTTGAGATTCTAACCCAACTCATGCAGTACTCTCAAACTAGTTAACGGGGCAAAAGGCCTAGTAGTGGCTTGCTTTTCTTGCACGGTCCGAGAGTAGACCATGTGTCAATTATTCATGACTTCCTAACTTTGAGCACCATTTATTTAAATGCAATACCCTGTTGTCATTTTGCATGTAGGGATGGGCGATATGGGCAAAAAAATTTATCATGATAAGATTTGCCATTCTAGCGATAACAATAAAAGTCCTGATAAAATTTTTTATAATTCCAGTCTATAGTTTTGACTCATTATGTCTTGAGAACACCAGTTGGAGTAGCCAAATAAGATACTTAAGCAGAAGTTTGAGTGGTAGGTTATGGAGAAAACTAATGACAGAGTGAACAGCAACAGATCCACTGTCCAATGTCAGTCATAACTGACTGCGCTCATCTAAGCCCCAATCTTGAAGGAAATCCCTCATGCGGAGCCAAATTTAGTAACGAGCTTTTCAAAAATGTCTTCTTCATAACCTTCAGCCATGTGTGTTTGTTATTCTGCTCTGTGTGGGCTATGGCTGTCACTCACGCTCACATATTCAACTTGCATTTATCGTATCTATCAGGAGATGGCAAATATCTATCATGGAGGTTTTTTCTGATGGTATATTGTGAACAATAATTTATCGCCCATCCCTTGTCGCACGCCATCGACCATCTCTCATGGTATATTTATTACAAGGTGTTATTGCAAAATTGACACTGCTTCAGAAACCAATGGGTGAAATCACTGAGGTTACATCCATGTTTCTACACACTTCGGTATGATACTTGTTATGTGCAGTGAAGCCTAAAAAAAGCAAAAAGAAAACCGTGGAAAACAGAGAGAAAAATTTGGTAGGGCCAACCACGTCTACCAGATTGGGCTGCAATGGTGCTCACAAGATGTAGTCTGGCCTCTGTATCCTTCTCGGTTTTGATTGATATTTTAAAAAATGAAATTTTCAAGAATCTCTTATTTTGGTAATTTTAAATACAAATATAAAGACAACTGTGATGGTGTTGGTATTGAGCTTACCTCAGTGGAGCACGGTCTTCTCTTATTCCCTTGCTCCATTTCCTCTGCCCCCCTAACTGACATGGGTGATGTAGTGTAGATGGTGGGGCTGAGCCTCTGTTTACTGTGCAGCAGAGAGAGAGCCGTTTTGCTGGACAGGCCAGGTGGGTTGGGGTCATAGCTGCTGGTGGACCATGATGAATACACTGAGGGCTTCTGTTCATCCAGAGTCGATGGGTTTGGTTTTATGTAGTTCAAATAACACCAGCTATTACAGGTGCTGGATAGCAGACTGGGGAATGAAGGTACAACATGCATGGCAGGAGGGCAAACACTGGGGAGACATGTCTGAATTTCCCCTTTGAATTCCTGATTGCAGGTGTCCACCAGTGTCTCGTCAACAAACCCCACCTCCCTCTCCTCTTCTTCTTTTACCCGTTTCTGCTGCTGCCGTGACTCAATAGGGATCTCTATACTGTTCGAAGGAGAAAGCATGCGCTTATTGCCTCCAGAGCCTGATATCCTCAGGCCATCGTCAGACCACAACTGAAGGTCTGAACTTGGAGATCGATTGTCTCTGTAATCACCTGTTGGGATACTTAAATTTTGTGGATCAGAATTCAGCTTCTCCGGAGATCTGGAGGAGGTGGACTGAGACAGCGTGGTGTAAATGGCACATGCTAGGGTGAGAGTGTCTGTTTGGAGGCGCACTGCTACTGCTGGAGATGTGACCGGTCTTAGTATTTCTGGACTGCAAGTGATGCGGGGGGCGGAGTGCTGGATGTGGGAGTGAGTAACTCGAACTTCTAGATTATCATCATGACAGAAAGGAATCTCTAGTTTAAGTCCTGTAGACAAGGGGAGGTAATGAGCTCGGGCAGCCCCAGATGGTCCATGTGTGGCATAGGGCTGTGGTGCTAAAGGAGGGGGCTCCCCTGCACAGATGTTTGGGGCCTCCTCTTTTAAAGGATCTGCAGACTGGGTGAAAGAGTATTCTGTGCCGCCTGTCAGCTGAATATTCTGACTGAGCTTCCATTTACAGAACCTCTCTTTACATTGTGATTTCACTTGATTATGCGTCGCTGTGTCCCCTGACGATGGGGAAGTCGATGATCCACTGCCGAACACAGAAGTTGGGCTTCTCTGAGAACATGGTCTTGGGCTGGCATGTTCAGGACTATGACTACTTTTGGTACACTTCTCCTCCTCCTCTTCCTCCTCGTCTGGATCTTGAACAGTAGTATGTCTCATGAGGAGGCATTTTCTTCGATCCCTCCAACCAACTGCTGTGCGTTCAGGGGATAGACAACTGTAGTCAAAAGACTTGCTCCGGGTCTCTGCCATTAGGACACTTGGTTGTGGGTCATGGGGGGCCTGTTCAGATGCTGAGCGCCTCATTTCTCTGTGCTGATGCACTCCAGGAACTGTTAACATATGAGGAGCCCTTGATCTCCTCAGTGGTGTCGACGTTGCTGTCTCTACATCTGGTCTGCTTGATTCCTCAAAGGATGTAGAACGACTAGATGCATAAGATGTACTACTGTCCTGGCTTGGACTGTGGGGCATGGATATGGAGTCAAAACTGGAGTCACCAGAGGACTGGGCTGCCTCAGCTAGACGTAAGCGCTTTTTCTTTGGGGGAAGCTTTTCAATGGGAAGTTGGGCCAATGAGGGGCTTCTCTGTGGCCACTGAAACTCATCAGGTTTCTCTGACTGTTTCACCTGGGAGCATGTCTCTGTTTCTGTTCCCGTGTTCATATTAGAATCCTCTGTGACCAGTATTTCTGGAACCTGCACGCTGAGTTGGCGGACCAGCTTCCTGGTTGACGGTTTTGTCGTTTGTTGTTGGGGTTGCACCTGTGGAACCAGTTGGTATTCTTCAGACACTGGAGAGTTTTTCGCTGTCTCCGTGCCCTGATTCTCATTGCACATTGATTCCTGTTTTTCAAATGAACTAGTGTGTTGTATTACAGAACAGGTTTGCAGCGTAGGTCTTCTGGGGCCCTCGTGGGTTGAATTACCTTCATCTTTATGTCTACCTGACAAGAGGGCAGGAGAAGGTGATGTAGGAGAAGAAGGGTCATCAAATTCAAAACTCTCTTCTTTCCGTCTTTTGCGCAGTGCTGAAGCTCCTGCTCTGAATGTGTGGTTGCTCAACTGAGAGCACTCCATTTGACTTATTACAACCTCATTTCTAGGATGGTGTACAAGGCAAAGATTTTGCTTGTGTCTTTTGTAACCTTCCCAGTCTTTACATCCAATGCCACAGGCCTCACACTCATATGGCTGTGGATGACTTTGCTTGTGGTCAGGCACAGTGGTTAAACTATCAGAATAAAATGAATGAGAGGCGTCGTGTTCCTCTTTTGTGAGCTCAGAACCAAGCGGGATTTCAATAGCAGGCTGCCGTCTAAGCATCCCATAGTGACGGGATCCATGTGGTCTTTCATCAAAGGATTGACTTGGGCAATATTTACTTGAGGTGTCTAAAGTGCTTGCTGCAGACGGCATTGAATGACTTCTTATCAGAGAGGTATTGGATGTTTGGCCGGCTGGGTGCTCCACATTGACAGATTGATGCTGAAACTTTTCACATGGAACTCCCATGGTGATGGAGCCACTGGTTTTGTAGCCCAGATCTCCAGCTTTGGGGCTATGAATGAGAGGTTCTTTCAGAGTTGAACTCTTTTGAGACTCTGAACTGTTCTTTCTCGAGAGTGAAAATCTCCTTGGTTTTACACTGTCAATTTTACTTGTGTCCACCACTGCTTCGTTGATAGTGATAAGTTTTGTGATGTGGTCTATAACCTGTTTCTTCGGGACTGTGAAAGGGATGCTTTTGTCCTCCTGACCAGAAGACTGCTGGTTATGGTGCCGAGCCATCCTCTGTAGGTGTCCGAGACGTCCATACTTGCCAAGGATGATCTCCGCATAGCTTTTGGCACTTGTGTTAGGGGGGCTGTCCTGTGACTGCTCTGTACTTTCAGAGCGAGAGAAATATCCTGATTCTGTACTTCCTTTACTCCCTAGAATTAGAGGTGAAGTCTTTTCAAAAGATGAGTCATGGAGGCCATGCTTTCCTCTACTTAGACGCAGAGCTAGTCTCTTCTTAACTGCGTAGGAGTCATCGCTTCCTCCAGTACAATCTTTGGCTCTGTCTGTTTCATGACTTTTGATTGAGGCTACACTGCCTTGTCTTTCTGTGAGGGAAGATGCTGATGATGGCTGTCTGCTTTCATCTTCTGACTCAGTGGCCGGCTCCTCTAAAGATCTCCCTGTTTCCCCAAGTGCCAGGCCTGCCTTAACCCTGTGCGTATGTGATTTCCGGTGTTTGTACAGGTTACTTTTAGTCTTAAAAGAGAAGCCGCATGGGGCACAAGGATATGGTCTTTCACCTGTGTGGGAGCGAATGTGTTTCTGCAGGACACTGGGCTTTGCACATGCACGACCACAGTAGGTGCAGACATATTTTCCTGGCCGCTGAGGCTTGCGCTCACGTTTCTGTTTTGGCGTGCCTTCTTGGGTTTCTGGTTTAGGCTGGGATGGCCCACCTGCTGAAGATGGTGGGACTCTTGTTCCTTGTTTTGTTGCCTCATGTTTGGGTTCCGGCGCTGTATCCGAGTCAATGCTCTGCCTCTGATGTCGTAGACGTTTACGTTCATGATGCTGTCTTCTAGACTGTTTGGTTTGCTGTACTGTGCCATGAGGCTTTCGAGAGCCAGTTTGCTGTTCCTCGCTAGACTTGGGGGGTGACTTAGACTGGGAGCCTTGGGGAGGAGACTCTGGCTGATGATGCTCTTGCCCACCGGACTGCTCCCCAGTCGTCAGGCAACTATGCAAGGCCTCCATAAAATAAGAAAATGGCCTCCTGTAGACAAGTGGGATGTGTCTGCCTATGCCAGGCTACAGAGTTCAAGCCAAATCATTAACTGGATAATGGGCTTAAAGTGCAAGAATCCTATCAAGTTGTATCCACTCTGGTTGACTGACGTGACTCATACTCCTCACTTGTTTTCTTAGACTTCGCTGCCTGACAGCAGAGTGATGCCATCAAATGCAGAAGCAGGTTATAAAAGAGTGCAGCTGTAGGATGTCATTTACTGTGCAGGAAGTCCTCCTCTGCCTTGTTGATTTCAAGTTTCCCATCATGAAGCATTCAGTCCTGCTGCCACTCGCTCTGATGCTGCACTGGATTCTTCAGTCTTCTAAAAATACAGATCTGCAAAGACAAACAACTCATTATATAGACCAGCACATACATTTCAACTTTTAGATAACCTCCTGACCCCCTTGCTTGCTTAGTATGGATATTTATGCTTCGTGTGTTACATAATCCCTGTATGTGTCATAACATTCAGCTTTGCTTCCCTCTGGCTGCCGAATGCTTTAAAGAAGAATGGTTTATGTAATATTTCTGTACAAAAATATATCAGCAAGCAGCCGGTAAAAATGATGATTCCGTTAACCTTCCTAGAGAAGGAGAGAGAGAAAAAAGAGAGAGAGAAAGAGAGAGGAAATTTGTCCAATGACTGTGACAGGAACACTCTCGTAACAGCATAACTTGAATTTGCTGTGCTCCACAAACACTTCTAATCAACCATGCATTACTTCTTACAAATCTGTGAACCACAGTTTCTCTCTGCTGGACAGCAGTACATATCCCACCCACTCTCTTAAAATGACAAGGATCTTTCTGCAGCAAGAAGGACTCAATAGAAATCTTAAAAAAAGACAGACTTCACTGAGGAACATGAGATATGAGTGTGGGATATGAATTTAGTAAAGAATTACGAATAAAATGATGCATTTTGGTCTTTTTTGGGTCTGATTTTGAATCACCTGAGGTGAAGTTTTGCTGCAGAATTAAGTTACACTTGGATTACATGAGGGACAGTGGCATGCAAACCTGAGAGTCAGTTTCTTTACACGCCTAGTTATTGTAAGTCGAACTATAGATTTATTTGTTAATTTTATTGGACTATTTTCTTTGTTAGCACAAAGTTAGAGCCCATTTCTTGGTTAGAGCCCAAGTTCTATGTTGGCTATGTCTGGTGAACTTGACCAGAACAATATGTGATACGCAAAGGTATTTGGATGTTAGCCTGTAACGAAAACTCTGCTGTTTGATACAACTATTTTTTCCCAGTTGAGTGTTTTCTTATCATTGGATTAGTTGGCAAGAAATTATTTGGGCAACTATGCAACTAGCCTCTTCAGAGCATCCCTATTTGTAGTAGTAGTAGGATCAGAACTTAGACTCAAGTCCAACTCAGTTCCTGATTTTTAGGACTCATGACTTCACTCCGCATTCAGAAGGACTCAGGAGATGGATGGGATTACATTAACTTTTTATTAACAAAATAACTTATTCAATTTCTTGCATTACCCCCAAAGCAGTGCTACCAAGATGAGATGCTTTTAAGTGCCTACATAGACTTCCAATTATGTTACACTACCATTTGTATACTTAGCATTGATGTTAACCTCTAACTGGACTCAACCACCAGATCCAGATGTTTGGTTAGATAGAATTCACACAAATAGCAGGTATTGTTGAGTTTACGGTGATCTTACTGCAGCAAAATCAGTGAATCCGTCTCTCTGTTAGGAGGGTTGCAGTGAACAGCTAATGCCAAACACATGGTGTTGTAACTTCATTGATAATTTAATATCTCCAGATACGCTGACAGAATTGAGCAGAATCTCAGTTGGAAATTAAACTGAGCTTCTGCCTCACACAAAGTTTATCAATGATTTATAATAAATAATATAAATAATATTAGTAATTGATAATGATGCTAAAAATGAGGATTCAACTTTGACTGAGACTCAGGGGATGGGGTCTCTGCTCTGATTTTTACCCCGGTAACCCAGACTCAAGCAGTTGAGACTTGCGACAGTATCCGTCACATTTATGCACATCTGAATATTTGTATGTTTCATAACTGTTTCTTTTTTTCATCAAATGGTTAAAAAGGTCTGGCCAAATAACTTGCAAGGGGTGACTGTTGGCAATGGGAACACACACACAAGGTGACTCAATGATACTGAAGAAAACTCCCAGTGATTTTTTTGTGCCAGCATACTGAAACAGTAAACAACATTGCCCACGTACTGACCAGCTGGTTTCTACACCCACATACTGGTGGAAGACGGCAGAGCTGTTGGATTTGGTCCAAATTACTGAGAACAGGTTGATAACTGTCTTCGGTTAAACTTGTCGGAAGAGTTTATGTGGCAAACGAAAACTGGACCCATTTAACTTTGTTTTATAACAAAATAAAGTCATGACATATAGTTTTATTGCATTCAATGTACTTAAGAGGAAATCACTAACATGCCATAGGTCTCACTGTCTAGTGGTGTGACTACGAGAACAGTTGTCTATGCAAATCCTAAAATTGTATCTAACGGCTCAGACTGCGAGACATCACAAAAACATTACAGTCCGCCTGGGGGTGAGGGTGTCTGAAGTGAGATGTCAGACACGGCGCTATTAGTACAACACTAGCCTCCTAAAACCATGTGACGTTTTTAAGATTTTGTACGGCATCTGTTCATTTACACTTGCAAGACTCGCACTTATCCCCGAGTTAACTAAGGACTGTTCATTTGCACCATGAGGGGTGTAAATGAACCTCTAATAGCAAATGCAGGATTTTTTTCTTAACCCTTTCTCTGCAGGGATCTTGTTTTCCCCTCTGCTGTGGGGTTTTAACCTCAGCGGTTCTCAAGTTGAACAGTTGCAGGGCACTTCTAATATAAACAGCTCCAGATGTTTTCTTTACACTGATAAGCAGCTCTTATTTAGAAACAGAAAAATCCTATCAGGTCTGCCATAATGATCATAAAATATTGCTAAATGAATATTAATATAAAATAGTAATGATAAAAAAATCACAGGATTGTAGGAATCATGCACAAAATAATGATTTTCTGCAGTCCTGCACTCATAATTAAGAAAATCCCGCACACATAATAGCCTATAAATTTTTACAGTGACCTAGTATGACGTATAATGTTTCATGTCTCACTTCAGTTCATTGCACAAGTGTTCTGTAAATAGAGGTGACTGTCTGTCAATGGACCTCTTTGAACAAACTTTGCATTCTATGATTAAAATGTCTCATTAGCTTCCACTCGTTTTATAATCGGAGTTCACTCTCTGTCCATCACTCGTCCCTTTTAGCTGCTCAGTGACTGTTCTCAGCTAATTTGTGAGGGATTGCTAATGTTAGCCAAACTGAACTGTGACTGTAGCCCGTTGTTGTCAACTGAACTGTGACTGTAGCCCGTTGTTGTCAACTGCTGTGGATTATTGAAGGCTAGCTGTTTGTTGGAAAGTGATTAGTTTTTAATTCTAACAACACAGCCCACTGAGCAATAGACGGTTATTAGACTTTTAGTTAGATTTCTAGTTTTTTTTAGACCTAATTTCAACTGTCTAGATTCTGTATTTTTTTTAATGGAATTTAGACGTTGCATTTTAACCCATTATTCGATAACTATTTATTTCAAAAAGCAACTGTGAGTTGCATAACTGATCTCCAAGTACTTAACCAAAATAATTATGATAACTGTTGAGCAATATACAGTGTAGTATAGATATAGCCTCGATTTAGACTTGGTCTAAATCTAAAAATCTAAAACTTTCATTTTTAGACCTGTGGTAGCCTGACTTTAGACCTGTCGTCTAGGCTACATTTAGAAATCTATTAGACCTCTTTTAGACCAAAAAGCTCAGTGGGAGGGAGTTTTTTGTTGCTTAAATGAGCCAGTGTTAGCTGTTCATCACCTCATAAACACACAGTTTGCTAATAAAGATGCTTTTGATTAAAATAAAAAAAATCTAATTTTCATCAGGATAAGACATTTAATTCATCAGTTACCTTAGTAACTGATGAAGTACCTTAGTTACCTAAGTATCCAATAAATACTATCATTATAACAGTGATACCAGTAATCTCAATTGAACTTTAGAAACAGAAATAAGATGAATACACAAGTATCAGAATTGACACTAAAATGCTATAACTTACAGAATATCTGACAGTAGTTAGCAAAAGAGAAAGAAGGGAGCAGTCCCAGATATCCTGAGAAAAATTCAATGACCCGATGCTGTTAGGTGCTTCAGCTTACATGTGTTTGCATTGATTTGAGTCTGTTTCACAACCTGCTAAAAACTCATCACAGCATGTTAAAGCATGGAAATAACCTCATTTCCACCTTCAGCATTTATAAATCCCCCTATGGGAAGAATTTGTGGGGTGGGGGATTCCCCCCATTGATAAAAAAAAATGCTCTCTCCATCTACGTGCTACACAATGACATCATTTCTTACACTGTTTTTGGATTTCATGAAAAAAAGAGATCACAACACCTCTTTTTCTGGAAATCCAACATATTCTGATGCCCCATGGAAATTTTGACAAATGTATATGCTGATCAGGCTGTTAAATATTATTCTTTTCATGATTTTGTTCCACAAAATGCTTTGGGAGAGTTAAAGTGCACTTTTTAATAATAGTGAAGCTCTAGGTTTAAAATAATACTAAACCTCGTGTCTCTTATCACATCTGGGCTCTCCATGTGTCTGTCTGCCATAAACCCAAGCCAATAATTATGTAACGTAATCGTTGCAGGTTATATATTTGCAGTGTGGGCACACAGTCGTAGTTACTCTCTGCAGAGTGTGCTCAAATCTGAAGGTACTGGAACACATCACCCCAGGTACACAAAAAAACTCTCTTATATAAATTTGTGAAATGCTGCGTCCATTCAGACTCGGCACAGACAGAGAATATTGTATAAATGGCTTTTTAAAAATCTTGTCAATTTCCTCTTCTCACACTAATGGGCACCCAGCGGTGGTTCCTATGGTAACGGCCCTAAACCATGTGGTAGCAGATGGAAGGAGAGCTGGAGGGCTAAATTTATCTTCCAGCATCCTCACTGACTACAGAGAGAAGGAGAGAGCGAGGCAGGCGAAGGTGCCTCCCTCCTAGAAACTGAGGCTTTTTTAAGGAGAGATCGGTACACATCTCAAAGGAAAATCAATACTTTGGGAGTCTTGTATCCGTACTACACTTTTACTCCCAGATTCTTTTCAGGAGAAACCAAAAAGAAGGACCGCAAACTGAACACGGGGGTGACGAAAAGACACAAAACCGGCTTCTATATAAAACTAAACCACATTGTTCTCAACAGCTCAACCACAGAAACAGTTTTAAACATTCACGTCCTATTTCCTTTAAAGACTGACCCAACAGGAAAACACTCCTGAAAAAAAGGTGCAGTTTTCTCAAAGGTACACGCAGCAAGTTTGTGAGTAGAAGTATTACTGTTAAATCTCTACATTAGATAAGGACTTTTAAGGCCTTAAATTGTTATTTGTGGTTGTTGTGATGTCATTTCCAGGGTTATTTTGTTGTGCATCATATCCTGACAATCTGTAAAACCTAAGCTTAAGCGTTATGTAATTTCATACTCCATCGTCATTGATAAAAGCACTGCTAGTGTGTCATAGTCAAACAATGTAAAACCTGAGCATCTTTTGATCAATCAGATTTTGCCCAAAAAAAAAAAAACAAGCACAGAATATTGATACAAAAATAATCTAAAGGTGTGAACATAAATATTAGATTTGTCAGTTCTGAACAAGTTTACTTTTATGTGCAAATTTAAAACATGGTTTACTCGTATCATCTGTAACACATGTCCTCATTGGTCTCCTGTAGTGAACTCATTTCCTGAAGTATCCTCAAATGCTTGCTAGCTACCCCCCAAATCCAGACAACCTCAGCTAAAATGTTATGTAAGTTCTCTGAGTCGTGATTGAGCCACCATATTTTTATTTTAGATCAATTTAAACAGGATTATGCGCACAATAGCAGCCGCCCCCCCTGCCTTTGTGCGGTGTCACCCCATTTTACACCTTATGTAATGGCATGTCATGGCGTCTGGAATGCACAAGGTTGCGTAAAAGATTGGATGAAATGTTAAAATTATAGTTCAGTGGGTTTAACTAAAAAAGATGTCCTGGATCTGTCTGATGAAGGTCTGTTTGTCATGGGTTTAAGAAAGCAAATGAATGATTGCTAAAGTCTGTTTCCATTCAAAGCTAGCAGAAGTCTGTGATTGGGCAGTGGTCGACAAAAACTTAGTTACTTGTGGTGAAGCTTAGAAACCCATTTACACTTTATTACTTCCAGGATTGGATCTCTAAATATAATAAGAAGAATAACAGACGCAACCAGCTATCAAAAAGAAATGGCAACTCGCAACCGATAAATCTGTTCAAAACCATTTAAACTGGAATAAAACAAATGTTCAGTAACAAACCTTGACATACTTTTTTGGGTTGCACAGTGTTTTGTTTTTTTTCTGATGCGATGAAATATGTGCAAATTTTTAAAATCAAATCATTCTTTATTTCAGGAATATCAATGACGGTCATGAGTGCTGGATATTGTCATCCTTCTATGCTGTAGCCATCATTGCCTCATCTCCACGACCTGCCTGATCTGAGTGACATCTGCCCAGTGTTGTTCTATGTTCAGTCACTTAACATAGAGGTACAGCAGTACTACCTGGGCTGTGTACAGACATATGATGACTTTTGAGAGGACTTGGTCATAATTCTATATTAAGTTTTTTCTGTTTTCATGGAGACAGCAGAAATAGAGACTTAACTTAGCTTGACTTCATCAATACACTGCAATTAATGTCATACTCAATAGATCTCGACGTTGTTTACGATTGCAGCTTGCTCAAGACGGCTTTCAAAAATATCTGTATGGACCTGGTCTGACAAATTACATGCAGAACTACAGTTTATCGACTCATGATTTGGATTTTAGAAAAGAAAAGAAAATTTATCAGCTGACATCAGTTCCAGAAATACTGTGTAAGAGGAACATTTGTAGAGATTTAGTGGATGTAAAAGTACAAGATTTGTCTTGACATGTCACAGTAAAAAATAATATTCAAGTTTTCTCAAAAAAAGGAACTAAAGCAGAATACTCAAGTAAATGTACTTTGTTACAGTGCACTGTTGGGTATTACATCTAATATCCCGTGTGTAGAAGCAGCAGCCCTTGAGGTGGCAGCCTGGGGTTCAACTGCCACCCTCAGCCTTCACACTATGTCACTCTCACTCTCTCTCACTCTCTCTTTCTAGTGTGTTTCCAACTCTGTCCGCTGTCCTTTCTGTCTAAAAATGCTTGAAAAGGCTCGACAAACAAGACTGGGAAATTGAGAAAACAGAAAGACTTTGACTGGATAAAACACAAACAAAAAGAGGGTTTCAGTCCTGACTTATTTCTTCCACAGCTTCATCTGGTGGACTAGCAGCATCACACACTCTTATCTGTTGTGGGTCTCCAACACAATGTCAGCTGAGGGTTAGCAACGCTGTCAAGTCAGACAGCGCAGCTTCATCAGCAGCCTGAGAGCGGCGCTCTCCAGGGAGACGAAGGAGAGGAGAGGAGGAGAGCCCTCTGGGAGTGAGTGCATACACAGCCAGTTCTCTATCTGTGTTTATATGTGTGTGTGTGTGTAAGTGTGCGAGTGTGTGTGTGTTTGCTCCTCGGGAGTGCTCCCCTGTCAGTCCACAGGAGGACATGCCAAGCATAGGAGGCTGGATGCACAACACAGGGAGCTCATTCACTCCCAGTCTGAGCTGTGAGCTGCTTTAACACTGCCCACGAACCTCTCTCACTATATGCACTCCTCATTCACACACACAGACACACAAACACCCTCACACTGCAGAGGCTGCACTGTCTGCATATGTTTAAAAACAGCAAAAATACTTTTCCTGAAAAATCACTTCGCTCAAGATTTCATAAATGATTATAGTTGTTTTTTCCAACACTCACCACTCTCCTCATTCATGCAGTTAGCTTTTTTCAATAACAAAGAGCTGAATGGAGAAACCCCCCCCCGTCCTCACAACACATCACGTCATTCACACCGGCTCACACATGTCAAAATCACTGCACGACAAAAGGAAAAAAAATATCAATGGCTCTTTTTTACCTGGTAGCAGGTGGTGCCGTCCTCCGATTGTGAATGACTGGAAGCGGGGGAGAGCGGAGAGAGAAGCAGAGAGAGAGAGATGAAGGGAAGGAGAGAGAGAGAGAGAGAGGGAGAGAGAGCGAAAAGGATGAATGAGAGTGACGGAGACGAGAGAGGGGTAATCGTGTCTCTGCTCTACGTGCACTGGGCTGACAAACAGGTAGCTGAGTATATTATGCGTATGAATGAGGAGGAGGGGACACTCTCTCTCTCTCTCTCTCTCTTTCTCTGTCTATCTCCACCTCTTTCAAACCCCCTCCACCCTCTTTTAGTGTCTTTCTCTCAGGTCAAAGTGAAGTAGCAGGTCCTTATTTGGAAGTTGACGTAAGCCTGTGTTTCTTTTGGCAGCGGTCGAGGGCTGCACAGCTGGCAAAGCAGTGAGAGGAAGAGGGGCAGGGGGGGAGCGGTCGGTGTTTTAATTTGGGAGGGAAGAGGCGGGTGGAGGGAGGTTACTTCATATTTCTTAAAGACAATTTACCCATTCAGATCTCATTTTTCCAGCATAGGTGGAGGAGTATTGCTGAGAAAACCCTGGACATTTTGGAAACATATAAAGACCCACATGGGGGGAAAAAATGGCACAAGGATCCAGTTTTTCAGAGCAGCTCTGGAGTATGTCCACACACCACGGCGCAGCGTTCGCGCTCCTGCCAGGGGTCCTGCTGAAACGAGTCCAGGCAGCTCTGACATCACACTCACAAGCTCTTTTTATGCCATGGGTTTTTCCCCCCTCGGCCAACTGGCTTTTCAGCAGCATGCCGACATGTGAAGCACTGAGGGAATACCAGCCGGTGGGCTAAAGTCAGGCGGTCAGCCGCTCATCTGGCTGGGCGTGAAAAGAGGAAGTTAAGTGGGGTATGGAAGTGAGCCCAGGGAGTCCATCCTGCAGCCGGCACAACAGAGTCCCCTTGTGATTAGGCTCCAAATTTGAAAAAAATGTTTGTAAAAGCCAGATCTGAAATTCAGATTTCTGGACTTCAACTGATGTGCATTTCCCTGTCAATGAACCTGCAAAGCACATCAGTCATGAGAGTTACTCCCCAAATGTTTTGAGGCAGGATTCAAACTCAAAGGAGTGCATGCCATGAAAAGCGACCGATAAAGCCACATACATCTTCCTACATCGTCTGGTTGCTTTTTCAAACACCCCCGACATTCCTGTGCACCCACTGTCCAACAGATTGTCAGTGATGACTCATTAAGATCAAGAAGAAACTTTGTGAATGAAACGAAACAAACCAAAAAAACAGCACATCTGCAAAGAAGTTGGTGGTGGCTCAGCTTGAACTCACATTGGATATCACAAATCTTTTAAAGAGCATTGAAGGAGCACTGATTTCAAGTATTGTGATATTGATTTGAGGCCATCATTTTGTCCATGTCAATACGCAGTGTCAAAAAATAAATAAAAGTTGGTTTTGGATGTGTCTAGGTAGGCTATGGTCTCATGTCCCTTTAAGACGCTGTCCTACATCGGAGTCATGACTCCACCACATCCAGTTTGTAACAAAGAGGGAAAGACAGGTGAGGAGATGGAGGACGGTTCAAAAGTCTAGATGTGCATAGATGTTGTAGCTGTCACAAAACGTAAGAAACGGGGAGGGCTAATGTTGGCATATTTTGCCATATTGCAGCCACAGGTGGAAAGAAGAGAGCTTTGTTGCACTGCCAAGTAAGGAGGCAAGTGTGTGTGAGTGTGAGTGTGTGTGTGTGTTAGTAAAGTAAAGGTACAGAGTGAGCATGAGGAGGGAGGTGGTTCCACTTTAATAAGAGGTAACAAGCAGGGGTGGGAATCACTAGTCACCCCACAATATGATATTATCACGATCCGTGGGCCACGATACGATATTGTTGCGATTTTTAACATTGTATTGCAATACAATATATTGCGATTCATACAATTTTTTCAACTGTTTAGCTAATTCAGCATTGGTCTTTCCTTTATGTTTGTCTTATTTACGCTGTATTTTATTTTCATGTAACGCATCTTGCAAACTAGGGTTGGGACAATATGCTTTTCTCCCAATTCGATTCTTCTACGATGTTTTGGATGCCGATTTGATTTAAATTGCAGTTCTACGATAGCAGCGATTTTCTCTATTTTCAGTCTGCATTTTTAACACCAGTACTACTGACTATTCCAGGAACCATATTTCCTTAAAGAATACACATCACAGGTAAGTCAGTTTTTTAGATTTATTATTAAATTTAGAAAAAAAACGAATTTTGAACATAAAAATCAATTTAAAAATTGTAAAACAGAAAATCGCGATTACTTATGTGAATCGATTTTTTCTCCCACCCCTATTGCAAACCTTATATTTATTTGTCGTTCTAACTTTCTCCTGCTCTATGATGTCACCTCTGCCAATCTCACTGGACAAACTATTGATTCTATTTTTTGATTTTCATAGATTTAACTTCATATTAGCAATTAATTTGAAAAATGGATATTTGGCAAATGAGACGATACGATATATCACCAGACAAAATATCACGATACCATGCTGTATCGATTTTTTTCTCCCACCCCTAGTAACAAGCTGTCTTTTAATCAAACTAAGACGCTACATTAAAGATACAACCACAATTTTTCAGCTGCATGTCAGCGCAATGTGAGCAACAGTGCTCTACAGTGATATTACTACCTGATCTTCCTAAAAATTGCTAAAGTGGGTTTTACGCATGAGTTCCTTCTTCAAAACAGTTCATGAATGAGGCCCGAGTGTGCTTTTTAAATCAAATGTGATCAATTGATCACAGTTCTTGCAACATTCCCAGCTGAGTGTGTATGACATTAAATATTATCTTTAACGCGGTGAGATAGAAGACACTTAAGTTATTATGCGATTCTTACTTTCGCTTCCCTGACATTTATAACAAATTACTGTTTATTGAGGCATAAAAGTGCTGAAAATAACGATGGTTTTAGCTTTCAACACATTTTGGTTTGTTGTTATATTATTTTAGAGTGACATGTAGGCTAATATTGGCTCAGTAAATCGGTCTTACTCCACTTGTCAGCCTTTTTGGAGGTGACAGAGCTGCCAGTGTTAAGCTCTTTCACAGGGGAGGTGTGCCTCTGTGCAGCTGGGATTTGTCTGGATGGCCTTGTCACAGTGTGAACATCATGCTACCAAACACACTCCTATCAACACGGATATTTCTCTTTGTTAGGAATGTAGGGCGACGAAGGGCTGGAAACAAAAAGATAATGTCTGTCAATACCATCCTCTGCTGTGATTTTACTTTGTACCTCGAGCTACACAAAACATTTACATTGAGCAGGGCTGAATAGAAATGATGGGCTATTTTAAAGATGCAGATGTAGAGGGTGAATATGTCTGGTTTTAGAAAGTGAATAACAGCACACACAAAAAAGCTTTTCTGAAATTGAATTTTTGTGCCTGTATTGTCCCGATCAGACTTATTGTATAGTAATCACCAACAGTAAAAGCTACTTTACCCTTTTATTTACAACAGCGATTACTGTCCATTTTGGAAACAACTTTCAATTTGAAACATGACAAAAGCATTTGTGCGCATAAACATCAGTATTCAAGGATGTCAATGCTTAAAACAGGTCAAGCTCTTTGCAGTAAAGCCTTGTGTTTTTATTTTGTAACAGCCTTCTCATCAATCATGTAACATCAAAACACTGATCTTCATCAGAACATATTTTCGAGGGATGAGGTTGGACAAATAACCTTTAGCCCAACAGAGGGTTCAAGGAAAGGTCTGAGGGCAAATCAGGCTGTTAAAGCTTCTAGCTGCATGGAAAAACACTAACACTCACAGCTTGATGGCTTATTCTTGATGGCTACTGTAAGGAAAGCTCTGGAACTAACACTTGAAGGTTGTTGTCCTTGGTTTGTACAATGGAAGCACCATTTCATTTTACAGACCTCTTATTTATAATGGAGCACATAAGGTTTGAACCAGGAGATAAAAAACAGCAGCAATGAAGACGATCCTGTGCCCTTACTCTCGGCTTGAAACCTGTTTAAAACGGCTCTGTTAGGTACTACAGTCTTTATCAGAAGATAATTCACTGTTCCTCTAAGAGTTTGCATTTTCCTGTGCCGATGCCCGATAATTCAACTTGAGACTTGGAAAAAAAAATGCTCCAATTTACATCATCTAGACAAGATTTTTGTCAGTTTTTCAAAAAGTCAGCTTTGTTTGAATATCAAACAACTGAATTTTGCAGTCATGGTAGTGATGGCCTTTGGCAAGGGACTGGCCATAAAAAAGGTCATAATTCAGGGTTTTTGAACAACTGCGGTCTCACGTCTCATTGGTGGTGCCTCCTCCACTGCTCCTACCAGCAAAAAAAATTGTTGTTGTTGACGAGTATGACAACTGCGTCGTACAAAAGTGATACACAGCCCTGGCTTTGTCTTTTATGACGGTGTATTCCGATAGTGTAGAATAACATCCGCACATTAATATACTGAGGTCAAGAGTGCATTGATTCAAGGTCACGATGAGACCATCCTCTGCTGGATCATACGACGTCATCACTTTGAGTTGATTGCTGGGTCAACCAAAGCGAATTGCGATAAGATGCTGTTTTAATCCTACCCATTTAAGGGAAAATATTAGGGCTGAAACGATTCCTCGAATACCTCGAGTACCTTGATTACAAATATGATCGAGGAATTTTCTCTGCCTCGAGTACTCGTTTATAAGCTCAAATCGTCACTGTTTCGCACAGATTCTTTTGAAGGTGACACAAAGTGCTTATGTCACCACGGCAGAAGGAGGAATAAGTGCTGTTTAGGTTTTGCGGGGGCGGAGAAAATAAATGATGAGACGGGCTTTTCTTGCAGTGTTGCCAAACTAGCAACTTGAACGACTTTTCGGACCCCCCTGGCGAATTATTGCGTAGTGAGTTTGACTGAGAAATTATGCAAATTAGGCGATAACATCATCTAGCGACTTCTAGCTACTTTTACAACAGCCACTAGCGACTTTCCTTACTGCGGAGCTGGCGGCACTGTTTCTTGTGCAGAGCTCCAGTAGCTCATTAGCACTTAGCCTGGGAGTTGTTAGCAGAGACAGCGCTGCTCTGCACACTTCTCTTCACGCTAGCTTGTAGCCTAACATTGCTGGTGTCGTAGCAGAAGCAGGTAACATAGGAGCTATTCAACACTCGGACACCAATTCCCTTAGGGGCATGATGAAAATTAATATTATATTTAGCTTTCTTACGAGCATTGCAATCCGCTAACGCACACGCTTGTTTCGCAATTGTCCTCTATTTCTCCGAGTCTGGCCTTTATTGCGGGGCTATAGGAAATCTAACTTTATGTGAGTCTGCCGTTTGGGTCCAATTACTCGAGTAATCGATGGAATATTCGGTCGAATACTCGATTACTAAAATATTCGATAGCTGCAGCTCTAGAAAATATGTATCATGCGTGGTACTAGTTTTAAGCTGCTCTACCTTGTTTAAGCTGCTGTGCTTTTATGAAACAACAAGAAAAAAATGGGATCACTCTGTTTATAAAAGCTCTTTGGGAACAACACTGGCACTCTTTCATAACAAAGCTGCTGATTTGGGGAAAGTTAGGGACATGGACTCTGAATGTTAGCAGATACAACACATGATGAGACAAAGGTTTTAACAAAGTCAAATAGACATAGAGTAGACATCAATGGAGCGACCATTTGGCAGATTTAGGACTCATAAGGACTTACTCTCTAAATGAGAATGTAGAAATGTTAAGCTAGATCTGTGGAACATCACAAAGAGGGGAAAAAAGGAGTCATAGCTACATGGGAAGTAATTTTAAATTCCAATCTTTGAGGAAACTAACCCAGAGCAAGTTAGGTGTGTAGATGAAGTTGCCATAGTGATCTAGCCAATCAAAACGCAGCTTCCTATGATTGCCAATGGGGGCTTTATCCTCGGGTTAGTTTGTGCCGAGGTGTCACTGACTCCATCCTGTGGCGCCAGAGAGGAGGTTCCACCTGTCAAAGGATCCTCCTTCACATATGGTCTTTAAGGCACCAAATACAGAAGAATGTGTCACTGCTGCTGCCCCCTGCAGTCTGGGTGGTCCTGATAAACGCGAAATTTTGCTCCAGCGTGTTTGATGTGTAATGCTGCTATAAAAGTGCTTACTGCAGGTTTAGAAAACATAAAGAGGGCCTCTTTTATGTTCAGTGTGTGTACCTGGTGATAAAAAAGTAGTGTGTCTGGATCTTCAAGGCTACCTTTCTGCCGTTCTGTGTGTCTACATGTGTAAATCCAGCCAAAATACTAACACAGAATCATAACCACAGGTCCCCTTGCCTCCCTCCAGACAACCAGCAAACACATGCGCCTCTCAACCTCAACCTGCCCTCACGGCCACAAAAACAGCAGTTTGACCAACACGATGGAGAGCAAAGAGAAATAAAAATCTAAGAAGTTAAGTGTCTGCGTGAAAAAAGACTCCACTTGCTGAATGAACTGCCTTCCAAACAGAAGACCATGTTGACAGATGTTGTGCAGATCCCAGCTGTGGTGGGTGGTGCAGTTTAAAACCCCGCTACCAAATGTTCCAAAAACATACTTATTCCATGTATGTACAAATGTGCCTTTATGGACCAAAGACGCCCACATGTGTACTCAAGGTGTAAAAATTAGAATTTTAGCTTTACACCACAGCACTGTGACCAGAGCCTCTCACCGGGAGACTCCCAAATTTATATTTCATGAGTGGACAGCAAAACTTTTTCTGGGTCAAAGAAAGGGATTGAATTGAAAGCGTGCAAAGTTCGTATGAGAATTAGAGCTTTAAATTATTCTGGCTACTTTCATTTGGAACCATTTTGGAATCGACCAGTCAAGAGTTGAAAGAGCAGGCTGAAGACTTTCTCTTATGATTGAACTATGAGTTTGGGCTGGCCCAAGCAACTTCAGTGTTAATTTTGCTCTTTTTAGCGATTCAGATCATTTAGCTCTGCAAGAACCGACCTCCTCTGCTCCCAAACGGCTCTCAGAAGCTAGTTTCAAGAGCAGAGTCCATGTTGTTGGACTTAAGGGTGCTGACCCTCATCCCAGCCACTTTGCACTGGGCTGTAAAACTCCACAATGCCAGCTGGAGGTCTGAGTATGGGACAGCGAGTAGCAATGCTCCTTTTACTATGTACCTGCGGTAACTCTCGGTTTTGACAATTACCGATGTCATTTTGCCCATATCAATATATTCGGTGTCATAAATATAAATAAATAAAAGTTGGTTTTGGATGTGCTGTTCTACGTCGGAGTGAAGAGATGGAGGACAGTTCAAAAGTTGTAGCGACTGGAGCGGCGGCTGAAGTAGACAAAGGTAATATAATATGGGAGGGGGTGAGCAGCTTGTGGAGTAGTTATCGTCCATTCATCATTATCAAGGTGAACTGCTCAATATATTGTGATATTGATTTAAGGCCATATCGCATCTTTTCTCCTTGTACTTTCATTTATTACTTACAGTTTTATTTGAAGTTTTTTTTTAAATCTCTTTATCTTCTTAGATTGCATAACCTGCTAGTGCAAATACAAGACCCAGTGTTTTAAACATAACATAAATAAATTTTCTTTTAACTCTTTTTAATGCATACAAAATTTTATCTACTGTAATATTTGGCATTGCTCTTTTTCTGTTGAATTTCAGACTTTGAAATGAGACATGCACCAGATTACCTTATACCCTGCAAACAATGTATATCTAAAATCACAGCTGGACACTAAAGAATAAACCAAACAGGCACTATATCAGTTTGATGCAACTTCTGGAAGCTGTACCATAATTATCCGCCATTGAAATTCTGACAGAAAACAGTAAGATCAGATGAGATTGGGTGTTTAAAATGTGATTGTGAACGATTTTCAGATAAATGTCAAATCTATAGTTATTCGAAGTGAACAGATGTTAACCATGGGCCACCAAAGCATAAGCGGTACTTTGATAGTTTTAGTCAATCATGCTCCGCATACTGATCTGCACGGGTGGTCCACCACCAAAGACCAATACTGAGCCAGGAAAAACCCTGCTTACACTGCCCTGGACGCTGCCAGATACTGGTTGGTGTTTCTGCACTTCTTTGGTCAGCAGTGCAGGATGATGGTTGAAAAATAAAAAAATAAAAGTCAATGTATAAATGATATTTTACATCATTTGTTGTGATCACTGGAGAGTGGAAAAAAAGGAGTTTCCTTCTCTGCAGTGTAAACTTAGCTGAACTTAACATACATCCAGAAGGTAAAGCGGGGATAATCACCCTATAAATAAACAGGTTTTCTATTCATAATTACAGACACAGACTCACTGACATATTCATTTACAGAAAACTGAGGGAAGCATGTGCTCTATTAAGAGCGACAACAAACTAAATCAGGCACAAGGAAAGTTGCACAAAGAACCATACAATGGGTCTCATTGTGCAAGACAAGAGAAAACAAGTTGAAAATAGAGGAAATGCTAAATATAGGAAAAAGCGTGCCGCCACCTGCTATATTTGTCCCCACATCTAAGTAAAGCTGTGTCTGCGAGGGTTTGTGGCGTCAGGGTGAATGTAGGTTTCGGTAAGGCTGCAGCCTGAAACTGACACTGTTTGCCTACAGTCATCCCTATCACGATGACAAAGGGATACTATTAAAAGGCTACACCTACAACCGAATCAATAGCAAACACCTCCTATGACTAAGCGGATCAATATTTCTGGACTTCTCACTTCCTAGTGACGCAGTGAGTTGTAAAAGCATCCACAAATATGAAGTTATATAGATCTCAAGGATTTTAAGCTTCACATTTTGGCTCCTACATGCTGAATCCATGAAAAAGCAATGACATAAGTTTAGACACACAAGCGTCACCAGAGCAGTGTTTCTGTTGCACAAAGCTTTAACCAACTATTTCATCATGACAACAATGGAAAATAATTTTATGAATAATTAAATTAATGAGTAATCAAAACATCTCTGAATGACAGCACACCACTTTGACACTGGTTGGACATTTTGTTTGCAATTCTGCATTTTTCTTGATGTGTAACAGTAGGGCTGGGCAATATGGCCTGAGATCAATATCACGATATATTTTGCAGTTCACCTCGATAATGATAAATGGATGATAACTACTCCACAATCTGCTCAACCCCTCCCACATTAACTTTGTCCACTTAGCCGCCACTCCAGCCACTACAACTTTTGAACCATCCTCCATCATCTCACCTGTCTTTCCCTCTTTGTTACGGACTGGATGGGGTGGAGTCACATCTCCAACATAGGACAGCGTCTTAAAGGGATATGAGACCAAAGCCTACCTACACACATCCAAAACAAACGCTTATTTATTTTTTTGGCACTGAGTACATCGATATGGGCAAAATGTTGGTTATTGATGTAAATTTCGGTATCAGTAAATTTTTGGTTTATCGCCCAGCCCTATGTAACAGTATTATTCCTTAAAAAAACAAAACAAAAATATCTCTGTACTTCAGTGTCTTAAAGTCATAAAACCAATGCTATTTTTTTTTTTTTTTTATGACACTGAATATACCGATATGGGCAAAATGACGTTGGTTATTGTCGTAAATTTCAGTATCAGTAAATTTTCGGTTTATCACCCAGCCCTATGTAACAGTATTATTCCTCAAAAAAAACAAAACAAAATAAAAATACCTCTGTACTTCACTGTCTTAAAGTCAAAAAACCAATGCTTATATATGTATCATTTCACACTGAGTAAACTAATATGGGCAAAATGACGTTGGTTATTGTCGTAGATTTCGGTATCAGTAAATTTTTGGTTTATCGCCCAGCCCAATAACAGTATTATTCCTTAAAAAACAAAACAAAACAAAAAATCTCTGTACTTCACTGTCTTAAAGTCATAAATTTAACCCCAGTGGTGTAGCAGCTCAACATTTATTCAAATATTACATCTTCAAGCCCAGATCAAACAGTACATTTCATAGTATTCATTTGATTCCCACATCAAGACAATAGCAATGATTGATAAATACTGTTGACTTCTGAGAATGAAATGACCTATTACGCATAGATGAGACAGCTGCACATCAACAAATCCACCCCTTCCATCAGTCAACAAAACTCCATCTGCTGATGAAAACACTTGGTAACACTTAATGACCTTCGAAGAAGCTGATAAGTGAAATTCGGACTGAAGAGAAGGCAGACAATGCTTTTTAACATGGAACTGCCTCAAAGTCAGTGTTCAAGGTTGCAGTTTTTCCTCAAACATTTGGGTGCATTTTTGGAGCTGCAGCTATCAGAAAGGTTTATCAAAACTGTACTACATGCTTCCTACAGGTAGTCATACACCCAAAATACTTAAATTTAGTTTTCAAAGCTTTGTTTAAGCCATACTGGTCAAAACGTACAGCTGCTTTTTCTTTATGATGATTACAAACTAGGGCTGGGTGATAAACGGAAAATATATCGATACCTAAAGTTATGACAATAACCAACGTCATTTTGCCCATGTCAATATATTCAGTGTCAAATAAATAAATAAATAAAAGTTGGTTTTGGATGTGTGTAGGTTGGCTATGGTCTCATGTCCCTTTAAGACACTGTCCTAAGTCATGACTCCACCCCATCCAGTCCTTAACAAAGAGGGAAAGACAGGTAAGGAGATGGAGGATGGTTCAAAAGTTGTAGCGGCTGGAGCAGCACCATAAGTAGACAAAGTTAATGTGGGAGGGGGTGAGCAGCTTGTGGAGTAGTTATTGGCTATTTATTCTTAACAAGGTGAACTGCTCAATAAATTGTGATATTGATTTGAGGCCATATCGCCCAGCCCTATAACAAACCACTTTGACCTGGCAGGTCTTTAACCAATTCACTGAGGCAGGTATCGCGATCACTCTGTGTCACTGATATTTAAAACACATATATTCCAATAAATCAATAGGTAATTTTTCATGTAATGCTCATACAACTGAATATTTATAAGCTGTGGGGAGTTTGACAGTTTTACTTAGAATCAACAGGTGTGTTTTTGTGCAAAATTTGTTGAATAATGGACTTATTCTTTTGCCCACATTTACCGAAACAAAGCAATTTGCTTTAATGATGAGAAATTCTCCTCTAATGTGAACGACAAACTAATAAACTGTTCAGAGATTGGAGCGTACACTTTTGAAAAAATGCTTTTTGGTGTGAGAAATGAGTCAGAGAGGATAAAAAGTATTGTAATTATCTTTATTTAGAGCTAAATAAAATAGCCAGATTTGTAGAAACAACAAATTAATGAACTTAAAATAAATGTTTATGACTGAGCTCTGGTTTCTTTGGTAGTTTTAAGTAGATATTAATGGCGCCAATTTTTTTGGCCTCATTTCCAAGTGCTACTTAGCAATTCTTGGCCTTGGTAAGAAGAGATCGGGACGAGGTTGATATGCTGTAAAGATGCATTAAACCAAATCACCATCAATTTAAGAGCAGCAAGAGTGCAGTCAGGGAGGAAAGCCAAATCAGGAAGCTAATGGAAACTGGTGAATAGTTGAAAGCAACCACATGCGAAGTCTTCACAGGAACCTGAACGTGTGCAGTCGGCAGTAACTGAGTATAATCTGATATCTCAAATGGATCAATACTAACACTGTAGAGCATGGTGCATCTGGTGGCGCCGTGTGCATTGGTCAAGCGGAGCGTTAAAAAGTACCAACCTCAACCGAATTTAATTCAAGCAAGGGTTACGAAAACGATAACCATAAACCACTTATTTTGAGAGCTGAGATGCCAATTTTCATACAAATTTAGCTCAGATCAAACTTTTTAAATACCTTTTTTTTTTTTAAACTGGATTTTCAAGGCTAACCAATCTGCATGTATCACAAGGTGATGTAATGCAGAGAGAGGGAAGCCATATGTTCTCTTATTTCACCAACAGTGAATCAACAGACAGGGATGAGGCTGGCTGCCAAAGAGGAGGCCTGTCCAAGAATCTATATCATCCACACAGAGAGACAGGAGAAGCTAGTGTTACTGTGGACAGACGTAATATTTTGACACGTACTCACAATGCAAAGCAATAATCAGAACCAGGCCGCAAGTGACACTAAGGTTTACCTATAGGGAACCAGCTTAGTCAGCAGTATCTGCGTTCGGAGCGAGCGGCGCTGCAGTCTCTATCAGGAGAGCATCACGGGCAACAAGCCTACTGTGGTACAAATGGCGGAAAAGACACACAACTGCTGTTGCATAATAGCGAGGCCTGCCTGTGTGTTCAGTCTCTGTGCTTGGAGAAAACACAACCTTGATCGGCGATGACAATGTCAACCAGAGAGAGCACAGAAGAGGAGGGGACACACATTGCTCTGTGAACCTCAGCGTGATACAGGCCGTGTGACCCTGACATACTTTCTGATGATAAAGAACACCGTGCAGCGTTTGCACTTGGCCACTCTAAATGAAAGCTGCTTGAACCAATACAGGGTTCCTCCTCTTTCCCAGACATCAGTTTCAAGGACAACTTAGCTGGTATGACATCATACCTATACATTGATATGTTTCTTTCTGTGAGGGTCTGATTAACTCTTACAAGCTCAAAATGATGACAAATCCATGATAGAATAAATCATCGGTCACATCCTTTCCCTGCAACTCAGCGTTCTCAATAGGGCTGGGAGAAAAAATCACAAGTATCGCGATTTTTTGTTTTACAATTTTGAAATCAATTTTAATGTTATGATCTTTTTTTTTTTTTTTCAAATTTATAGGCATGGTTGACAATTTGAGAAGCAGTTGAAAAAAACTGAGCCCAGTGAGACCCTGAGTGAGATGTGTATTTTTGGGGAAATATGGGTCCTGGAGTAGTCAGTAGACAATCATAATCATTCAACTGTTTCACTGCAGACTAAAGATCGAGAAAATTGACAATATCGTAGAATTGCATTTTAAATCGAATCTGCATCCAAAAAATCGTAAAAGAATCAAATTGGGAGAAAAGCATATCATTCTCAATCAGCTGATGTGCTATTGATGACTGAGCTTTACTTCTTGGCCTGCCTGAACTAACACTAGATTTAAGGTTAAGCCAAGTTCTCTTGATAAATAACCAGTTTAAAACACTTTTATAATGGTGCTGTGAGACCCAGCAACAAAAGCTACACCTCTCTTGTCATCATACAGCCTGTTTTACTACAACAGTGTAGCACTGCACTGATAGCAAAGAAAAAAAGCAAATAGTGCCACTCACCAGTTTTCAGTAGGTGTTTGAATTGCTCACGGTTTGGCTGCCATTCATAGTTTCAACCACTATGTCCTATTCATTATCAAACTCTCCCAACAATGACTAACACACATTTGGAACAAGCACTCAGAGCCTGAGTTGAATCACAAATCTTCAACCTTTGCATGTGAATCGAGTAAGCTAGTTTCATAATCAAAGCAAACGTGCTGACCAATTTAACACGTTCAACTTTTCAAAAGTCAAAAGTCTCAACACCAAATGAGAACTGCAGTAAGCAGCCAGCTGTGACTTTTTTGTTTGTTTTAAAGTTAGGAGATTGCTTAAATAAATTTTCCAGGACAGCATAAGCTTTTCCAGGACATTTTGCTTTTCCCCCCTCTTTTCAAGATCAATATGCAGAATTTTCTTTAAACTGATTTCAGAGCAGGTTATGTTCAGGATAAGTTATCCTGGTGATCTACTCTGGTAAGAAATGAACCAGTTTCACAAAGATCATTGTTTACACTCAGATGAGCATCATAGGACAGTTGGGGTTGGGAGACAACGTCATCAGGTATTATCTACCGTCATAAGCCGATATCTGTTGAAGGGAATAATAAAAGCTCAACTGTCGTCAGCACAGACTGTTTCTCCTGCATGCAAACAAAACGTCACCGGTCAACTGAACTCGAAATATGAACAGAAATTTGAATGTTTCCGCTTTCTAAATCTTGTCCCTCGCCCACAAATATCTGTTCATGGGGATTAAGTTCAATCTGACCAGAATAGATTGATTGTTCCTATTATGTCATCGCTTCATAGAAAAGATTATGTTCAAATACAATTTTAGTATTGTGTAAATTATGTTTGAGGGGATCAGGAGGACTAAGTTGGACATGCAGGTACACATCACGTCATCATACGTGTGTGTGTATCCAGTATTTGTGAATGAGAGGTGCAGATGTCCGGCCTTCTGCCTGACAGGTTGCTCCCTCAGTGGGGGGTCACTCAAACCAGAGGCCCATCCACCTCGCAGAGCAGCCCAAGCTGGGTCCATACGCGCACCTCCAGGGTCACTGATGGCATCCAACCCCTTTCATGCACACGCTTGGTTCCCATGCACCACACACACACTCTCACACTGCATGTAATCACGACACTTAACACCCACACATAAGGTGTTCACAGTGCACACGTGCAGGTGCTCGTGCCAACATGCTTTCCTGTGCACAATGCGTAGGTGAGGACGTAAACACAAACTGGCGAGCGCATCCTTTCATTAACAAGGACGAGAGTCAATTTCCGCTCCTGCCGTCCTCGACCGGGTGCCGGCAGGGAGGAAATCTGTTCACTTACAGCAGTTGTGACATTTAAGCTTGTGTCTCTGCGGCTGAGGGAAGTCCTAAAGATTGATGACCAGGGGCACCTTAGGGTCCCCTGCTGCATGACTAGCTGTGATGTTGTCACCACTATCCGTGGATGTGTGTGTATATGCACCGCACACCCTATTTTCGCATGTGTGCTAGACACATCTTAAATCATAAACACAAGGTTTTGCACGTGGAGTCTATGATTTATTACTCCTGTACTCACTTAGTGTTAAAAAAAATTTGGGTTTTTTTGCAGGTTGGAGAAAGAGAACATGAAGTTTGATGATGTACTGCATTGGGAAGTGATTTGTTCCAATGAGAGCAATGCAAGTTCAGCATTATGTATGGTAACCACTGTAGGGCGTGGACGGTCATTTCCTGCTCCTTACTGAAGCTGGAGCGGATGTTCAGGATTGATGTTGTGATGTTCTGAGCAGGAGGAGACTCAGACTCGCAAAATGACTCCCTAGTTTGAAATGAATACAAGAGCTCTATATACATAAACTGTTAGTCAAATATCAATCACTTCTTCATTGAAGGAATACGATTGGTGATTAATCGAGACGTTTTTCCAGTGAACCATTAAAGCTTTGAATTTGATTATTTCTGCAAATCATGATTGAGAACTCATGTTTATACAATTTAGAAATGAACAATCAGATTTAAAAAAAATATGAAAAAAGTCACAAGATGCAGCCATAGAGTGTGTAAAAAGGCAGACATTATAACAAATCCCCATAAGTATAAAACATCCGACTGATTGGAGTAAAGGTCATTGAGCCAGCTCCCATGTTAACAGATGGGACATGGGTCAGTCTTTAAAAATCACAGGTCAAATAAATTTCTCTGAGACATAATTTCTGTTGTTATATTTGATTCATATCATACTGGTTTATGTTATATTAGCGATTCAACAATATTATACTAATATTTTTCTATATTTCAAAAAAGGACAAGAATTTATACAAGATAAATTTAGTGTGTTGAGTGAATAAAAAATCCCTAAAACTTAATATCTAATATAAAATTTCTGTCAATGCTGAGAATTATGTTAAATCTGGGTCCCAAGCCTTATGATGGTAATTTATAGGTGTCTATAAGTGTAGATGCTAAAGTATTGATGGGAAGATGAAGCCTTATAAATGCTAAATCCGAGTTACCTCTGAAGTCAGATGTCGGAGCTGAAAATGACGTCACACTTGAGTTCCCAGCGTTTCAGTTACCAGTTTGGAGAAAAGCAAAATCTGAGGCCTGAAACAAGATGGCTACATCTACGAAAGTTATTTTAGCGCCTTATATCTGGACAAGGCAAGTGCTAAAATATCTTTCGTAGATGTAGCCATCTTGTTTCTGCCTCCGATTTTGCTTTTTACTTTTTTTGCTTTCATTTTTTACCAATTGCACAATGTAAATACAAAACTTATTATATGGTCAAGCTGACTTCTGTAATTTTAGGCCCTCTTCCACTCTGCTCCTATGTGTTGTCTCTCAGGAAACTCCCTGGATTTTGTGGTCTTTCAGCCTTTTCATAAAACACTCATAAAGCCTACATGAATACAGATGGTTTATATTTTTGTCTGCAAATACCAAATTCGCCAGGTCATCTATGAATCATGATACACGTTCACAATCCAGAAGAACATAAAATTTAAATGCCTCTTTCCCTGTGACCTGGAAACCCACAATGTGGCTCAAGGGGTGTGTGTGTGTGAGGCTGCTCTCCACGAACGAGAATCTGAATACAGTAAAAACTCATTCGACTCAGGTATTCAAAGTCATCTTTATAATCCGCTCTGTCCTCAAGGAGTAGTTTAGCACGGCTCACTTCTGAAAGACAGCCGGACTTGAAAGAGTTTTGCTTCCTCACCTGAAGACTGTTTCTCAAAAGCTTAGATTATTTGTCGACTTGGCATATCCTCCCTCCTCTAAGTGCCTGGAAGAGTGATACAGACAGCATAAGTGAAGCTCCAGGGATACAGCTGCCCTCACATTTGACCTGCTACCAAGGACACTGTACTGACTGACATGTGAGGGATGAGGCGCCCGTCACTGGTCACTCCGTCAGAACAGCATCATGAATATCAATGTTGTCCTCTTCGCCTCTACTGCCCTTGTCTGAACACAGGAACCTTTGAAAGGACCATAGCAAAAAAACCACACGTGTGCCATTTTATAATGCAACATCATGCAGAGGGACCTCAGGACGCACTCTGAAATTCTGAGCACAGCGTTAATGTTTACTGTATCACCGCTGTGCGTGTTATGGGCTGGACGGGGTTAACTCTCAGATTGGTTGCCTTTTGAACGTCACGCTTGTAGCCGCCATCCAAAAAATCACCACACCTCACGTTCTGGCTACACTAGCAAACATAGTGAAGGCCATTTGGGCTTTAGGCCTATCAGTGCCACAATGAGGCCACTATGTGCCCACTTTAGCACCCATGAAACATCAGTATTGATATATGACTGTAACCCACTGGGATCCATAACAAACTTAGAGGTTTTATAGCAAGGATAATGGCTATGATGATGGTTTGGTTTATGCTTGATAGACTGGGAGACACATAATGAGCTGGGTCAGCTATTCTGGGTCAATGTTTTGGCAAAATGCACCACAGACCACATCAGCAGGATTTGCGTCTTCACTTTACACATCTCCTTACCTGTGATTCTGAACAGCACTAAATGGACCCAATCTGGACACAATGAAAAGAGCTGCCAGATGCCATTCAAATGGTTGCAATATATTGCACTACAGTAAACAGATATCCCAATCAGAAGGCGTTTTACATATACAAGATCACCAGATGCTGTTAAACATCATGACTTCTCTGCTATGGACGAGACTTTGGCAGCAAAAGAAGTAATCACCATTTATTCATCAGGTTGCATGACTTAGACTAGCAAGCACCACAAACTGAGAATCTAACTTGAACATCACTGAAACAAAAGAACAAAATTTGACTATTGTTTGTTAGAGGAGAAAGAAAATATCCCAAACTCTTAGAAAAATGAAAAAAGATTTTGAATACTCTCTTGAGATACTAAGTCTTGGAGGACTACCAGTTGCCGGTGCATGGATTTGATTAAGAAAAATAAAAAGAATCAGACTCATGCTGAGTTATTTCTTCATAAAGTTGAACTGTGATGTATTTATGGAATGCGTATATATTATGTGTATTATGTTGTATAAAAATGCTGATCTGACTGCACTGATCAGTGGTGGGAATTGCAGGATAACTTGAAATACAAAGCACAATGTTACAGTACAAAATAATACAGTAATATAATACAATACCATACAGTATGATAGGATAGTAAGGATAAGATGCGGTAGAATGCAAAGCCAGGCGGTGCAGTGATATATGACACAATGCAATAAGATAAGACTGAGTTTGTCCTGATCATCAGCAACTAGATCATAGAGGGGACTGGCATTTTTAGCCAATTTTGAGCCAATCATCTCTCCCCAGTTATTTATATCAGCTATCACTGAGCACAATTTGCAAGCAGCAAATTTGCAAGGTGCAAACGTAGTATTCTGGGTTCGCCTATACCAGCAATGACATAAACTTAACTCCAACTTAAAAACACAAAAACAAGTGCAAAGCCAGCTCAATTACAACATCTGCTTTGAAGACCCTTTGGTCTCTCACCAGAGACACATGGTTCAAAAGCAAAGGGGAGTCATTTACATAGCATTAGCAATCTATTTTGTTTACTTTAATAATTTCTGTGGACTAAAAAAGTTAGCAGTTCAGTTATCGAGGCAAATACAAGTATTGGATCAGGGCTTGGTGTGGGCAAGCTCGTATCACTCTACGGTATACTGTATGTAGTAGGGGTGGGAATCACTAGTGGCCCCATGATACAATATTATCATCACGATACTTGGGCCATGATACGATATTATCACGATACGATATTATCACGATACTTGGGTCACGATATGATATTATCACGAAACTTGGGCCACGATACGATATTATCACAATACTTGGGCCATAATGCGATACTATCACGATACTTGGGCCACGATACGATATTATCACGATACTCGGGCCAGGATACGATATTATTGCGATTTTTAACATTTTGTAATTTGAGTATTGCGATTTAATATATTGCGATTTATACAATTTTTTTAACTGTTTAGCTACTTCAGCATTTGTCTTTCCCTTATGTTTGTCTTATTTACGCTGTATTTTATTTTCCTGTCGCACTTCTTGCAAACCTTATATGTGTTGTACCAACTTTATTCTGCTCTATGACGTCACCTCTGCCAACCTCACTGGACAAACAGTTGATTTTATTTTTCCATTATCATAGATTTGATTTTATATTAGCATAAATTGGAAAAAACGATACTTGGTAAATGAGACGATAGGATATATCACCAGATAAAATATCGCGATACCATGCTGTATCGATTTTTTCTCCCACCCCTAATATGTAGACAAAGTTATTCAATATGATACTATGAAATAGTATTAAATGCAGTGAGAAAACCACCATAAAGGCAGCCCTCTAATGGCATCATCATGGTTACAACACCTCTTTTCAGATCCGAAGACCACATCATGATGTTTAAAAGGATTTTGCATAAATGGTTGGAGGGCTCCTTTAAATGTATAACTTAAAGTACATCAGAGAGACTTATGACATTGACAGAAGAGTGTGTAAAACCTGACACACATAGGTTCCGTATTTCCTTTACAAGCCATCCTACAAACACAACATGACAGGAGCTGCCACCCGTACATCATCTGGATGAGTGATTGCTGCTCTACAGGTACTGAATACCTAACCTGGCTGCTGGAACATGCAGGGGATTGTTATTATGTCCCTTTACCGAAGTGAAGGACAGCTCCAAGAGGTGAACACTGATAACAAACAGCTTCAGTCACAGTCACTGGACTTTTGCACTGTGCCTTTCAGGAGGGGAACTCCTTGTTCAGGACTCAGTCTGACACAAGAATGCTAAAAATCTGACCCCCTGTGCAGCAGACTGAGACAGCGTGACGTGAAAACACAGTGAGAGGCAGCCTCAGGTTCCAGTCAAAGGATGAGAGAGCGCCTACAAACAGTCCAAATCCTTACTGTAAATATGCAAAGATGACTCTAGCCTGAGTCAGTGTCTGCTTCGCTTTGTGTCTACAAAACTACTTCTATACATAACATTATTTTTTCTCTTAGCAAGATCCTTTTCCAAGAATAATAATATATGATCATATATGAGATAATGAGTTATGGGATTTGAATGTGGTCAAATATGGTTGGCGTAATGATGTTTATCAACTCCTGATAACTGATACCTTCCAAGTTGAATTCCCCATTGTTTGTATTACACTGCTGAACAGTATGATGGGATTTATTACTCTGCTTCATGTCTGACTTTAAAAAAACTAAATACCTCCACACCACCGATGTTTTCGTGCCAGTGTTGTCGACATTGTCATCATCTGTTAGGTTGCGTGTAGCTGCAGTCTGCTACTTCAGCACATAATTGGTTCAGGAAGAAGCGGACCTGAGGCAACTCCCCTTTTCCTTTGCTATTCGTACAGTTTACTAAACATGGCAGAATGCCGGTTAATGAAAAGTATACTGACCATGTTTTATATTGATATTGAGGAAAATTAACTTTTGATATCGTTATCGTTTTATCGCCCAGCCCTAGCAGTAGAACATTATGGCATTATGGTCATCGGTCAGAGATACAGCACCGGCTAGTGGCATCAATAACAGCAAAACTCTAATATATTGGGCATCCCTATTGAAGCGACACTGTGTTAAGGGCGCAGTCATAATGTAAAAATGCATCTTTAAAAAAATCGAACTTCAATTAAACATTAAAATACTCAAATAAATTGAGCTCATTTTTAAATCTATCACACAGAAAGATCCACCAGCCTCCATTGCTCCTGTTATTATTCTTCTGTTGTTGTTTTTTGAATTTGAATATGTCTACTTTTGTGATTGTCAGTAGGGAAAAAAAAGCTAATTCGTGGTTATATACATCCCGCTGACTTTGAAGTAAATGGATCAATAGACTAACAGACAGTGAAAAGACTCATTTCAGCCTTGTTTGGGAGTCGACAACTGATCATATTGATCTGTATACCCAGACAGCCATAGCCTACTGTTGGTCTACACAGACATGTTTGAGGGTTAATGCTCAATCCTATGATAAACACATCACATTCACAAGGAGGGAGACCAAATAAAGACGCTGTTGTTGCATCGAGTGTTTTTGCAGCAGAGCGATGTTGCAAGCCAGAGCTGTCCTCAGATGCCCTCTAATCCAGAAAAGCATCATTTCAATGAGGAGTGTTTTGGAGCTGCAGACTTGATCCACCCAGTAGCCTGTTTTCTTTCTCTTTGTAGCAACATCCTCATATCTATTTTCATTTTTAGGTCAATCGAGATAGAAAGAGTAAAGGCACAGAAATCCACGATAATATATAGGAGGTAAGAGCTTATCCATTTTGGACTCTATCCTAACAAACAAATCACCCCACCAATTTAAGCTCGGTGTGATTATGTAATATTATCGACGGGGTTTTGAGCCACACACGCTCGCTGAATGAGAACAAAAACGACAATAACAACAACAAAATCTGCCCTGATCGCCACTGTTTCACACGCATGATGTCATTTTGGATTCCTTGGAAGCAGGTTATGCAGAAATGTCCGAGCAGCAGGGAGGCGTTACGCAGCCAGGCAGCGGGTTTCGTTTTCTGTTGCATGTGGGGGGACGGCGACGCCAAAACCCGATGCATAAATCACAAGTTTTAGTCTGAAGGAAGATTTAAGACTGTACATACGATTTTTTTCTTTAAGAGTTGTTGGCTTTTAAAAAGGCTTCATGTGTGGTAAATTCGGCTGTCATTAACCCAGTTTGATCATGTGTCTTACTATGTTTTTTCTTTTTTTTTTTTTTTTTTACTAAATAAGGAGGAGGAAAAAATAAGAGGAACAGACTCGCTAGTTGTTAGATGACACAGTAAATAAATAAGTAATTTGTAAAATTACCTCATCTGAGTGGGCATGCGCGCCTGCACACGTATATGAGAAATAAATCAAAATGTCAGATTTCTTGAATGGACTTTGGTTACCTACAAAAAACGGCGCATAGCACTAACAGATCCCAGCACAACACGACAAAATGCAAAATAAATGATTCAACACACCCGAATAAAACAGTCTTGTTCCAGGATATCATATTGATCAAGCCCACTGTATGCAAAAAGCCCATGAAAGCACAACATGCAAATAATGTGTCGCTTGTGAGCAGCGGTTGCATCAGTACTACTAGATAACAGGACTAATACAATACTTCGGCAACGCAGAGCAAGACTAGTCTAATTTTTATACATTGAATCAGGCAGTTCTGCTGTTACTATCAACGTAAAGCTAGAAGTATTATCAAAACCAAAAGGGGAAACAACTTTCAAAATAAAATAACATCGCAAACCTGGCAACCTTAAACCTAACAATGTCGTTGAAGAAGTTTTCCACTACATATATATTTTTATATTTATTTTGGCACCACATCTGTCTTCGAAAACGTTTAACTTCGCCGAATATCTACTGCACGTTTTTTACTGGGTGTGAATTTCTCCACTTCCGGTCTCAGCGTGTCTGATACTTGCTAGCTTGACGCAGCTCGGCACCTCCTACCTCTCACAGACAATGAATGAAGCAAGCTTGGGGATAGACTAACGTTAGCCCAGGACTGATTTAGGTAGCTTAACACCCTTCGTACGTGTACGCCAAAACATCCCACAAACTGGACAACACCCTCTTCGAGCTGTGGAGTAGCTTCCCACCTTCATGTTAGCTGCCTTTATCTTCCGCAGAAATAGCGTCAGGGAAAAAACGTGATGGGCAAGAATATCAGTCCGAGCCGTACCGTGTCAAATTTGAGAGCAAACAAAGCTACCAAACATATTAAACCACTAACAACAAAGCATTACTGACACAGCACAATGAGCGGACATTACCTGCAGGATGCTCAACTTCACTTCTCTGCGGTGCTGCCACAGCTCCACAAGCTGTGTCAAGTCATCCAACGTGCGTCATCGCAGTACAGGAAGTGGAAGTGTATTCCTTTCAAAATAAAATCGTAAACTATGAGAGTCAGGGCGTCGACAAGATTTGTAGCTCTTGAGACGGAAAAATCCTGTCTGAGAGTGTACTTTGTTAACTTCTATACTTGTCTGGCTTTTTCATAGTCAATTACAATAAATATTTCGATGTCATGGCTAAATTTTTTAGACCATGACTCCTTCAACGCCTGCTTCTTTCAAGGCTAACTGTTAAATTTGACACCGGAAACGCTTCGTTTCATTTCATAGAGTTTGATTCTGACATCTTCAGCAACACCTCTTACAGTAGCCCAGATAAATGTAATTATACAACAGTTAGTTCTGACTAAGTAATCGGATTGGACAAGATGTATTCCGTAATATCAAGAATAATATCACTTTTTTTTTTCACTTTGTATGAACCCAGCTTAGCAAGGTGTTAATAGCTTTCTAGCAATTTCTTCAATTTTATTTTATTTATCTAATTATTCAACTAATTTGTTTATTCATTATTATTATTATTATTATTATTATTATTATTATTTTATCCTTTTAGTTATTTACATTGATATTTTCTTTTCTTTTCTTTTCTTTATTTTTTATGGGATGTAGGTAAGAATTGGCCTATGGGGTTTGTTCTGGGATGGGGGCGGGTTTGGGTGAAATTTGTAGTTCTATTGTTGTTATTGAAGTTGCATACTGTTTATGAAAATATGTTAATAAAATAAATAAATTGTTAAAAAAAACAACTTTATAGCAATTGATGTTGTTGTTTTGTTTTGGGTTTTTTTTTTAATAAAATGTCCTTAAATCAGGATTGTTAGGTTCCTTTGTGGCAGATGTCTGAGTCAGAAGAGCGGCAAAATTACCTCAGGAATGAAATTGTCCTTCACATTTGAGTTTACTCCTACGACTATATTTTTCTACAACCATTTTACAAATATGTCCAGAAACTTATCACATACAATTTAAAAATGACAGACTAGTGTACCACAAAGGTTTTCTACCACCGAGTCTTTTGTTGATATGTTAACTCACTCTCAGAAGTAAACTTAAGTGTTCAAATGAGGTCTGTCTGTGAGTTCTTTGGCCAATTCTTGGTAAAAAAAAAAAATGTGTCAGTTATACAACTTATCAAACTCTAAAAGGTATCAAGCATAAACTAATTAGTTTCTATGACAGATTCGATATTTTTTTGTAACTTGTCAGCTCTTGTCTTTAGGCAGTCTGTAGAACAGCTCACCAGAGCTGCTGTCATGTTGTTTTTACACCGGTTTTTGTGTTGTACTTTGGTAAAACACCACAGAAAAAAACACATACTGGTCATACTTTGGGTACTTTTCTGTTCCTTTAACTGGAGATGTAAGTCAAGCAGATGAGAGATCAGGCATGGCAATCACTGTATCTGTAAAGATGTTGCAAGATGCAAGATGTTTATAGTATCCTGAGACTAAACTAAGTCATTTTAATACAACAGAAGCAAAAATAAACAATGAATCAAACATAGAGGGCCAGATATGATTTGAGTACACAATATATGATTCTTGATGTGGTCTGTGTGAGATGATCAATCTGCGTGACTAATAGGGATTTGTAAAACTGCATGTTACAGACCTTCAGCTTGTTTTTACCTGGTTGCTGGGTGCTTTGAGCCCCTGGGGAGGAGGCTTGCAATCCCTGTTAATGACCATGATGCTGATGATGATGACGATGATGCTGATGATAATGGTAAAGGGACAGGAATACCAAACCGCAACAGGCAGAGGCGTGTTATCAGCCCCCATGAGATTGGTCCTAAAACTGTCTTATGCAACTGATCGGAGCTTCATTCAGCATTATGCAACAGCATTAGATCAGCCTGCTGCTCACAGCTGGGCCGGGGACTACCACTGTCACTGTCAGCCAAACAATGTGGGTCACATCATAACTTCAGGCATGCAGCTTCTGCTCAGATACGGTCTGAGGGTGTGAAGAGAGAGCCAAGGTGTAGCAAGGGATTAAATGTCCCTCTATCTCATGTCATTAGCATCTGAATGTTCAGTGAAACATGCAGGAGCAGGATGAATCCTCAGGGGGAAATTGGACCAATGACAGATTACTGACATAACCATCCGGTCACTGGGCCAAATTAGCCCGCTTCATGTTGTTTATGTCAACAATCAGCTTAGAGAAGACATACTCTCAAACACCATTATGACTCTAATCTAAGGTATTTGCGTTGTTAGCTATGTGTTCATAGGGATTTACAACCATTACTTACAGTGGCCTTAGACAATGCAGAAAGTGCTTCATTAAACACCCCAGAAATATGCGAATATATTTAAATTTTGAAAAACATCATGAAAAAAAACCCTCATAAGATATAAATACAATTTTTTTTACAACTGCAAAATAAGAGTCATTGAAAATATTTTGTTTTAGTGAATTGTTGGGCATCTAATGTAATATTTCAATGTTTTGTTAATTTTTTCAGTGTTTTTTTTTTTTTTTTCAGTTTCTTTTTTTGTTTCATGAAATGTTTTTTTTTTTTTACATTAAACAAAGGTTTTTGAATTTTAGTATTTTCCAGTAATCCAGCTCCAGCTTCTTATATTTTACGACACACTTTGTGCATTTCATGAGATGCTATTTCATTTTGTGAATTTTTTGTTGTGTTTTCATAAATTAATTTTGCATTTGTTAAATGTGTTTTTACATACATTTTTTATCAACAAAGAGAAAAAATCACAATCTAAAAACTGTAGATGTTATTAGGCTGCCACTGGCCTAAAGGTCTGAGTGTGCCCCATGTATGTGATAGCCTCTCTCCTGCATGTCAGTGCTCTATCCCTGCCCTATCTAACGTCCTGTCCTCTAAATTTAGGCCAAAGAGCTCAACAGTAAATCTTTAAAAAGTAGATATTATGTAAAAGTGGGACTGAATCGTGCTTTGGCATTTGCTCCGTAAATCTCTTGTCCTGTGTTTTCCATTGAGAAAAAAAATGAAGTATTACTTTTATCCTCTGGTTTCACAATGGTGCCCCCATGTTCTGCATTAATTCCACAGATTATCATCACTAGTGCCGTTATCAGTCTAGGTAGGTAGATGGAGACCTTATTCCGTGTCAGCCAATCAAATCTTACATAAAAGAGTTACGTCAGCGTTTTGTCATCAGCATACATAACCTCACTTTTAATACGGAGTCCCTCCCAGCTAAAAACTAAATCTCTCAAGTGAAATCACCAACAACTCAACAGGAAATGACAATTCCAGCACAAACAGTAACAAACTGTCAAAGTAAATTCATAGTGTCTCAAAGGCTCAAAGACATAATCTGTCCTCCAAGATTATTTCTTCTGTAGCAGTTCTGATCATGTTTCTGAGTGAACAAAAAGTACTTCATGTTCTACCTGTGTGGGTTGTGGGAAATGAAAGGACAAAAAAAACTTTCAAAGCTCCTGTGAGGAGTTTTTAGCTGGTTATGAAATCAACTGTGTTAATGACACCAGGGAAAACCAGATTACACATTTCATATCACACAGCTAACCAGACTCCAGCAGAGAAGGAAAGGAAGGAAAAGAACTGTGCAGAACGGTGCGAGGGGTGTGAAAACATATAAGAAGATGCAGAAAAGAGATGACAACATAATTGAAAACAAAAAATGAATAAATGAATTAAATGAAAATACAACCTGTAGCACAAAGTTTCGGAAAGGTGCTGCTGCATCTGTCAGTGATACATGCTCGGAAAAAAAGTTGGATGAAGTTGAGACTTTTTTATTCCCACTTTTTATATACTTCTGAAAAAGCAGTTGACAGGTCACAACATTTTTTTTTTATCATCTGTAAAATTGCACCAAGATAATAGTTTGTACTCTTTCTTAAGCCCCAAACTCTTCTACCTTTACAATGAAATTCACTATCCAGGTACACACCATGGACAGAATCCAGATGATAATTATCTATTGACTGTAATAACGGTGTGATTCTGATAGTAATGATGAACTGCTCAGTTTGGGGAAGCTTATTAGAAAAGAAAGAAAGAAAGAAAGAAAGAAAGAAAGAAAGAAAGGTGTGAATTTTTTTGATTTTTATTTTTGTACAACTTATATTTTAAGTTTTGTTTCATTGAAATTTTGATTTTATTATACTTATTTGTTTTTTTAAACATTTCACAAGTTCGTCAAAATTTTGTTTTCCCTGTCCAAACTTTTTGAAATATGAGATATAAAATGAGCAGATATTGTACAGATATATTTTTGAAAGTAAATGTAGGGTTTTGTGAAAGGCTATTACTGTTTGTTGTGTACACTAAGTTTGTTTGAGTTAAGATTACTTCTACATCTAAAATCTTGATTATACACAAGTCTTTTTGGTTAAGGTTAAAATTAAAGACATTGAAAATATGTTAAGGACGCGATTCTCAAATCTGTGTGTTTAAATTTGCATCACTCCACTTTACGGTTTATGCTTTACATCAGACGTACTCAAAATGAATGACATTAATCACATTATGTCACACCTACACCCACATACTGCATCTAATGAAAGAAACGACCTGGCTGTAATGTGAAGACCCATTTTCTCCAGATGTGTATTAAAGTATCTTTTCCACACAGTTTATGTTCATCAGGCACATAAATTGGTCATGTTCGCATTGAGATATTAGAAAATAAGCTGGGGCATTTCATAAAATTTTCAAAATTTTCACAATATACTAAGTTAGGACATAAAAATTAGCAGTGTTCCTCGTCGTGTTAGAAGTATATCATCTTAGAAACACCAGACATCTAAACATCACTTCACAGATAGTTTGTCGTTCTTTACCCAAACAAGTAAATGAACATGTGAGGTGCAATGATGTGTTGTGTTCAGCCGCCTGCTTATGGTGATCTTGTGATAGGGGAAAACACATTCCCTTAGCCTGCTTGCCAAATGTGTGTGTGTGTGTGTGTGTGTGTGTTGCACTGGGGAATCCTTCATCCTAGGAGCACAATAAATCACATTTCAGCAGGATCAGGTGATTAATGAGGAGAAGGTTGTGAAGTCCCTGCTGAATGTACTTGAAGACATCTTGTCGGCTGTTTGTGGACTGAGCCCAGACCGATTCACCTAATAGTTTGAAAAAATAAAAAACACCAAGTAAAATACAGTGTCAATATCCTCACACAACATCTACCCAGATCAATTCTGTGATGAAGTTCAGTGTGGCCTGCAAGAATAGTATCGTTTGAAGGACAGCAGCCCCATCTACAGGACAGAAACATTTCCTACATTTCTTTTACACAGTTTGTGAGTTTGACAGATTCTACCTGGATCAGTTTAGTTGCTGAACTCAAACCAGGGTTTTTGTATAATCATGCACTTGAGAGCATATTCAAGTACACTACAAAAAGTGATATAATACGTGAAAAAAGTCAACATTTTGGTGTTTGCTCTCTTTACGTTGTTTTCAAGTAAATGATTCAAATCACTAGTGAATAGTCAATAACTGTTATCAACATACAGTATCCCGTAATGTTTTGTGATTGGGGTTTTATTTGGGAGAGCAGTATGAAGAAGTTGGTGTGATAATAGGGAAATGGATAATATAAAGTCTGATTAGACATAGATACCAAACCTTGTGAAGGGACACAGGGAGTTTTGTAGAAGTTGGTTAGAAAGGCTACAGTGATAAAGCGAGGTCAGGATGAAGTTCAACCCTGGAAATCTCTGATAATGGTTGCCAGATACTTTTAAAAGAACTGGGACGATCCTCTCTGAACCTTCTCAATAATGTATAGTGCAGTTTGGCATGATCAAAACTAGGCATAAGGACTGTTTTATTGATACAAAATACTGCTCATTTTTACATCTGAACTATTCTTTTTAAATAAATGCTGGGAATGGTTCCTGAACCAACCATGTGGGTTTGGAAGTGTAATGGGTTGTTGTGTTTTTCTCCTTGAAAATAAAAGAAAAAAATGATTTAAAAATAAAGAAAAGATGAAATGCTTCCTTCACACAGATTCAAGACAATAAGGATGTCATCTTTATTGATTGAAATAGGAATATATATATAAAAGTTTATGAAAAATCAGCTTCACACACCGAAGGGAATAGCTCAAAAATATTCAAAAGGTATCAATAATCCCCCCTGAAAAGCAACTATCATAAAAAGGCACTTTGGATATAAAACTGGGCACTGAAACCAATCGGTGCAATAACAATGAAAAAGTTCAATCTCAAATTATTAAGAAGTAAAAGTCAAACAAAATCAAAGTACAAACAACAAAAGCAGACACTGTGAACTGCCTGAATTAAACTGCATTTGGTCCTGGGATTTAGTGCTTATTTGTAACAGTGAAGGAAAAAACAGACAAAGTGACCTGAGCTGGGAAAGCTTGAACGTCAATTAAAGCTCAACTGAAATAATCCTGCCTTATAAAAAATGGCAAACGCAACTCAACCTGAAACTTACACAGCTCCATATCAAAAAACAAAGTTTTACTGTTTTATCTTTTCAACTCGAGATTGTACATGTGTCAGCGGATTCAGTGTCTTCATTTAAAGCTTTAGCTATCTTTCTTCAAGGTGCAAACAGAGAGAGGTAAGCAATATAATTATACGCTGGACTTCACTGTGTGTCTAGTTGAAGTCTCGGTCAGGGAGAACCAGTGGGGCCACCAGAGTCCACAGGTAGAGCCCCAAGCCAATCCAGCTGGAGCAGATCTTCACCCACACCGCTGGCATGGTTGTCCGCATGGCCTTGTAGTCGGTATCAGGCCTGACGAGTCGAGAACAGAGTCACGCATGGGTAACAAAACGAAAACTGGTGTGTTTGAAGCTGAGAGCAACAGAGAGCGGATACTCACTTGTACCAGTTGGTGAGGGTCATCATGATGTAGAGCGAGGCCAGAAAGAGGCTGAAGTGGAAGAAGGAGTAGCTGTAGGTGACTCCGTCCTCCTCGTTGTCCACAGCTCGTCTGACCCCGTCGTCTCCTGTGGACTCCTCGGCGGCGGTCAGACCCTGGCCTTCCTCGGTCTGCATCAGCTTGTTCACCTGGGAGTTGTTGGAGGAGCGGATGCTGTGGAGGGTGAGAGTAAGAGAAGTTATCTCTACAAACTATGTTTACATGAGCCTCAGAAACATCTGCATCAGGATCTGTTTTCTGGTATTTAAAATCCAAACAACTTCAGTTTAGAAGACCAACAGTAATGGTAACGTACCTGGCATACAGAGTACAGAACAAGAAGATGATCAGTCCCACAATGCCCTGTGCGTCCCACCACTGAGCGCCTACAGGGGCCAGGGTGGGATTGGGAACCCCTGGAGGAGGGGTTGGAGCGCTGGGCTGGACCAAACTCAACAGGCTAGGGTTGCACTGCTTGTCTGAGGTCAAAAACACAATCATCTTTTCTACAGCTCCTGTTCACTACAGCTTAAGTAACTACGATGGGGTGGCTGTGACATACAAATGAGTATAAAAAAGGAAGAATCAGTTTGACCAGTTAAGCTGACTTACTGGGGTTGTTGGTCATGGCTGACCAGGTGATGTACATGGTGTAGAGGGAGATGATGGAGGCCTGGAGCAGACCTGAGCTAGGCTGAGCCTCCTGTCGACACATGAGGTGAGTCAGAAGAGGAACGGAAAAACAACATTTTTCATAGTTGCGTTAAAATTACACACATAAAAAGGAAGGTAGAGCATCAAATTAAGTTATACAGCACCATTAAATAAATCACTAGTTATTTCAGTCTAATGAAAATCAGTCCTTTTTAGTGTTACCTGAACTTTGGGCAGAACAGCCACAACGGACACAATGATGCAGAAGAGGAAGTTAAGGCTGATGAAGACTTTGTGCTCAGTGCAGTCGTCGGGCTGGGTGTAATACACGTAGAAGAGAACGACGGCGGTAAAAGCCAGGGCGAAGCAAGAGATGGTCACAAAAAGGAGAGCTGAGAGAAGAGAACAAAGAATGAGGAGTCACCAGACACAGATTGAAGAGAAAAAAATCATTCATCATTATTAACTTACCAGTTTCATAAAGGGAAAATCTCTCTAACATGACATGATTAAAATAAGACATTCTGATTATATATCCCTATTTCTGTGACTCTATTAGGGCTGTCTCTGACTCAGATACTTGATGAGTGAACCTGATTTAGCTGTTCAATACCTGTTTTTACTCTACTTTCACTCCATACTACTTCAGTTTTCATCCGCTTTGATAACAAAAAATAAATAAATAATGGCCATGAAGTGATTTAAAATAAATGTACACACTATTTGACTTCTACTTTATCACTTTATCTGGACAGCAATCGCTCAGCTCGTGAGACCACTGTTTGCAACTCCAGCGAAAAGCTTGTAGTAAATCCTAACATTATGATTATCAGAGAAATACAGATTTTTATTTTTTTTCTACATTTTTCAGGCTTCAATCTTCATGTTTGTTTCCTTCAAGAAAAATTAACAACTATGAGATCATCTTGAGACTCTGTTTCCAGCCTTGCAATGCGAGGTCTTGGGGTCTTTCGGGTACTACTTGGTCATAAAGGGTTTTTTTTTGTTGTTGTTTCAATAGGATACCTGCAAACCAGCACTTAGTATTTCCTTCCTCAGCCTTTTCCAGCCAGGACTGGTTCCAGGAGTGGGCAAAGTCTATCAGCAGGATCAGCTGGATGAGGATGAAGATGAAAGAGCCCACCACGCCAAAGTAGTACCACACTGTAAACAAAAAGGAGAATTTAGGATATTTGCTCTCAGAAGTCACTATATGATGTTTGATGCTGATCCTTATGTTGTTTTTTTATTTTCAGGAGTTCTATGAATATGTTCAAGTGGTACAAACTGCAGCGTGTGCTTCAAACCTGTAGTGAAGTCGCCATCTGGGATGAAGAAAGCTCCCACAGTTATGCCAACAAGAACCAGGAACTTAAAGAACCAGAATCTGTGAAGACAAAAGACAAATTGTACAGAGGACTCTTTTGTTAAAAGGTGCAATTCATGTGTTTTGCCACCAGAGTGCAGCTTGATGTCACGAACAATATCCAAGGTGGTGTTGCAGTACAAACCCGTTTTGGATGGCAGCTCGGGGGTCCTTGCTGCTGCGCACTCGGATCATGATGATGGAGAAGAGGAAGAAGAAGCAGGCCATGGCGAAGCACATGCGGTAGACCGATTTGTAGCCCACGATGATGTTGCAGTTCACCTTACCAGATATGTAGGAACCATCGACACAGAAACCCGGAATCTGAAAGCGGCAAAGCAAGAATAAGAAGTTATAAAAACAATGAGGGAAGACAGCCTGGTTAACTGGAACGTTTGTCGGTTTTTAAATGAGACTTCTGATCAACAATAATAAACACAGGGCTGTTCATGATCCTGAACCAAGGGAACTGCTCTGTCAGTCAATGTTTACACTCAGCTCTGTGCGTTGTAAACAAACCAACTTGCCAACTGTTCTGGTTTATCAATGTGCAGCATTCAAGGTTTAAATGCATTGATCTCCTTTTAATGTTTATGGGTAAAAACCACAAACAAAGTTAATGTCTCTGTTTTGTCTGTTGACAAGCTGCTGAATTCATAAAGTAATGTGTTTTTCCAGTTCTGTTAAACTTGTTTTTCTGTTTGTTTGTCAACTTGAGCTCCAGGTGTGAGTTCAGGGTCTCTAGAGTGGTAAGCTATTCTATGTTACGCATAAGTTGAAAATAATAACTGAATTACAGTGAATGTAAAAAGTCTACACACCCGTTTAAATGCCGGGTTTTCATGATGTAAGAAAATGACGGCAAGATAAATAACTTTACAACATTTTACACCTTTATTATGACCTATAACCTGTACAATGCAATTAAAAAAAACAAACTGAAACCTTCAAACGGGAAAAATGTAAAATAAAAAATAACCTGGTTGCATAAATATGCACACCCTTAAACTAGTACTTTGTTGCAGCACCTTTGGCTTTTATTACAGCACTCAGTCTTTCTGGGTAGGAGTCTATCAGTGTGGCACATCTTGATGTGGAAATATTTGCCCACTCTTCTTTGCAAAACCGCCCCAAATCTGACAGATTGCGAGGGCATCTCCTGTGCACAGCCCTCTTCAGATCACCCCACAAATGTTCGATGGGATTCAGGTCTGGGCTCTGGCTGGGCCATTCCAAAGTCTCAATCTTATTCCAGTGAAGCCATTCTTTTGTTGATTTAGATGTGTGCTTTGGGTCATTGTTGTGCTGTAAGATGAAGTTCCTCTTCATCTTCAGCTTTCTCACAGAAGGCTGAAGGTTTTGTGCCAACACTGACTGGTATTTGGAACTGTTCATGATTCCCTACACTTTGACTAAGGCACCAGTTCCAGCTGAAGAAAAACAGCCCCAAAACATGATGCTGCCATGGCCATGCTTCACTGTGGGTATGGTGTTATTTTGGTGATGAGCAGTGTTGATTTTGTGTCAAATATACCTTTTGCAATGATGCCCAAAAAGCTCAACTTTGGTTTCATCAGACCAAAAGACATTTTCCCACATGTGTTTGGGAGATTTCAGATGTCTTTTTGCTAAATTAAGCCAGGCTTTGATGTTTTTCTTTGTAAGATTTCTTGCCACCCTACCCCATAGCCCAGACATGAAGACAGCAGGAGATTGTTGTAGAACAGCTGAACTTTATTTGGGGTTGATCAGACGCACTTTAATTGGTGACAGGTGTGTGCTGACTCCAATTTAACGAGTTTGAATGTTATTGGTTAAATCTGAACGCAGCCACATTCCCACTTATTAAAGGCTGTGCACACTTATGCAACCACATGATCTCAGTTGTTTATTTTAACTTCACCTCCCTGAAAGATTTCTGTTTGTTTTTCAATTGTGTTGTACAGGTTATAGGTCACATTAAAGGTAGAAAAAGTTGTGAAATTATTTATCTTGATGTAATTTTTTTACATGACAAAAACTTGGCAGTTGAACAGGGGTGTGTAGACTTTTTATATCCACTGTACATATCCTGCTAAACCCTTAAAGACTGCAATAAAGAGCTCTTTCAAATGGGGACTGAAATTGTGATTTCCAAAATAACAAAGAGTCGAAGCCTCTTGAGTCTGCCTTCCTGCTCTACACGATTGCTGTTGCTGGGTTACAGCCTTGTGAAACAAATCAAAATCATTATTTTTTCTTTGGTTTAAAAATGTCATGAAGGTTGAAAAAAACTTATACAATACCCGAGCCTTATACAGGAGCTGCATGCAGGCCATTAAATGTGATCTATCATGTCTTATCTGATGTACCTTTTCAAGACGTTCCTCCATGCCAGGAAGGATCATAATGACCGAGACCATAGTCCCAAGCAGCAGCAGGAAGGAGAAGGCCAGACGGCTCATGGTGGAGTTGTACGTTGACGGGCAGCATGATGACAGGAGGCAGGGAGCCGAGCCGCACAGACAGGACGCCTGCAGAGATGAGGGAGAGAATCACAGAGGCCTTCATGAGATTCATATTTTATGAAAGTCAAGGGCTGGCCTTTGTGGTGTGTGATAATCAAGGTAGTGTATGCATGGGTTCTCATGACAAAACATAACAAACAACACTGGATCTGCTGTCAGGGAAACCATCTCTCTCTAGAGATGCGGAGAATAATGATGATTTAAAGCGGCAGCAATCAGACTTGTGATTAGAGCAGTCACCATCGCAAATCTCTCCCTGTCTGTGTCTGATCCAGCGTTGTGAACATGATCACAGAGGATTCCTGCATGATTCAGATGCACAGCGCTGAGAGGTGTGTGTGTGTGTGAAGCGTTGAGGCAGACACTGCAGCTGAGATCAGCCACCCTTCACTAAATCTGCTTCATAGTACATGAGCCTTGGGTGTAAACAGCTCAGCAGTTGTGACGGGGTGAATCCAGTTTCAATGCTTCAAACTGGCGGCACTATCTGGACAACAAACACCTCTTACACAAACCTTAATCCTGATAAGTCAGGATAAAGTCAAGATAAGCGGTCACAAATTGGTTATTTCTATATGTTGGAGAGACCTGATGATAATATTGGGGTTTTTACATGTGTGGCTAAGCTTGCCATCACCAGTTTCTCTATCTCTATGATATATCTCCCATTAAAGTAAGTCTGATATCACTTTAATGCAGCTCCTCCCAAGACGTGACTGCTAAACTTGTGATTTCAAGCAGAACATAAAATCATCATGTTTTACTGCACAACATATTTTTTCAACCACTGGTGCTAAACGTTTTTCATTTTTCTTTATTGCTTTTTTCAATACAGTTTTAATTTTTCTCAATATCTTTTTTATGACATCTCTATGTTCTGTGTCCCTACCATGTATCTGAAAGTGTTATGGAAACAAACATGGCTATTATCAGTGACCTTCTTTCCAGTTTTTGATCAGGTTTTTGATCAGAAGTTGAAGAAGCAGCGGGCTGATCTTCCAAATAAAAGGCGCGGTATGTGACCTAAATTCCTGTGTCACACTAACCAGTCTTCATTCCTTTTGCTGCAAAACTTTAAATGTAGGTGAACCAGTGACGTGAGCCTGACCGAATTATTCATTCCTTTATTCATTCATTAATCAGTCACTGGGTTTGTTATTGTAAAGCAGAGAACAGGCTTTTGAGGCAGATATCTGGAGCGAATGATAATACTGGCGATGATGTTTCAATGCGAGAGGTGGTGAAAGGCAGGTAGGGGAGAGTGGGTTAAGTTGAGCCACCCCCAAAATATGAAAAATGGCTCATCTTACCCCACTCTCCCCTATATAGTTTTGTTGACCTGAGTGTGTGCTCACTCATGAAAACCAGAGTGACTTGAACAATGTTCACTTGTGGTTTACAACCTAAATTCTGAAGGAGTTTGGACGCTGTAAAAAATGCTCATAAAAACTGAATTTGATGGTAAAATCACTGCACATGTATCAGAATCAGACTGATAGTGATGGTGAAGTAGGGCAGCAGCATTGCAGTGATTGGCTACCTGCTCCAGAGGGCGTGACGTAAACCCCAGAGTAAAAACCCGGAAATTGCGCCGTTTTAAAAAACAGCGCAGAGAAACACAAGTTTTAGGCAAAGTGCTGTTTCTACCCCATAAAACTGCTTGAACGAAGTAACTCTAAAATATCACTGTACAATTAATCCCGTCAACGATAACAGACAGCAGAGAGACGATAATGACCCACTCGGTAATCTGGCACTTCACTGACCCCCTGAAGAAAGTCTTCTATTAACAGTCTAGCGATGTTAGGTAGTTATTCTTTAGGCTCTTTCACAAAGGTGCGCAATTCTGGCACGTTTTAAAGTTTTATTTTTAGCGTTTTTTGAAAAAACATTTCAATAAAAGACTATAAATTGAAAGACGTAAAACGTTGCTTTCCTCAGGGCAATGCCGTACCTAATATAAGTGACTTATGAGCAAAATCTAAACATGTAACTTCTAATAGTTTAATTATATTATGCTTGTTTATGGGAAAAAAGTAAAATGTCGGATTTTATGAAGTTTCGATCTTATGACGTCACCATGGACTACTGTTGACCGACGGAAAACACACACGAGCTGAAATTGTACAAAAATGAGAGAAATATTTAACAGCGTTTCTCATACGTCAACAACACAACAAAACGCATGTACTCACGCAACTGGCGAGGGAACTCAGTGCCATACAAGCCCCCATGACTGCTCAATTCACAACTCCGATAAAAGTCTCCAAGGCAGGAAAAGTTGAGGGAGAAACTGAGCCAAAATGGCGATGTCAAGTCAGTTAAAGATAAGAAACGGAAACACTATTTTTCTTTTCAAAGTAAAAGCTTGGTCACCATTCAACCGTTCGCAATTTGCAAATTGTTCGCTTAGTAGTGTGCTTTTTCTAAATTTAGTGTACGAACTTAAGACGGAAAAAATCTACAAGCAAAACAAATAATCATTGGGTGTTTTAAAAAGTATATGGCATTGATGAATAGCGTTTTCAGCTTTATTTTGTAGATGAGATCAATCTACTTCCGATATTTTCTTAAACTTGGACAACTACTTTCTGCATTGCATGGCAAGCTAGGGGCGTCACTTAAATATGCCTCTATTTTTCCTGAGACCCAGTACAGGTTATTTACAGTTGTGAGGGACCTTAAAGAGAGTCCATATTGTCTATCCATGGAGTTTAGAGTCGTATATATTGATTCAGCCAATTATACTTCATGACAGCGACAATTAAGAGGAAAAAAGTTAGCTAAAATTGCTTTGACATCAGGCCAAAAAGACTCCTGACCAGTTCAACTTCCCCTGTCCAGGGTGCCCATGTGGCCATTTTCTTATTTAATTGTCTCAATCTTATAATGACTTCTTTAATGTTTTTCAATACAAATTCATGAATATATAATCAATTACTGATTATTTCCTATAGAACCCCCAATTAAAATATCTAATTCTGTGGTTGACACAGCTGTTAACATGCATTGTGTTGGCTTAAATATATTACCCAGGGTAACTGACTGTATAACTTTATTCGCTGTCCTTTCAAAAACCCCTCACTCCTTTCCAGCATCATCCCAACATGTCCATCATCTATACACTCTATGATTTCTACTCCTTTTAAAGTGCAGTAATCTCGGTTTCTATAGGACTAATAAAGGCTTGCTTCTCTTCAGATTGGAGGAAAATGAAGGCACAAGTGAAGGTACAAGCTTTTATCTCTGCGCTGAGTATTCACAGATGAAAACCTTCTCTTTATTTCAGAAGGTCAGACTCAAACAGATGGAGGTTTACCCCCTGCTGCTTTATACTCACTTATAACCTTCACTGTCACACCTGTTCACACTGTGTGCTTCTATAGGTGAAAGTTAATCCATTTTTATCACTGGATATGTATCCAATGTTAACTTTGAAATAAAATCTTTACAAAGGTGGAGGAAAAGAGCAACAGTGAAACAAAAAGAGAAAGATTCAATATTCAGTACAAGCAATTTATTGGCAATCTGGCTATACAAGGACACTATTGCCTGAATTTCCATTAGGGAAAATAATCAATATAAAAAAATAAAGTATATTTCAATAAACTGATAAGTACATTAAAAAATATTTATATTGGCAGACAACAATATACAAAAGTGACACAAAGGGTGGGACAAGGGTGGAGCTAAATTTTGTGACAGCATCTGATACATCTTAGATTTGGCAACAATTACATTAAAGGCTTGAATTATCCTTTACTGCATCATATTTCATTATAGCAATAATATCGTATCGTCACGGAGAAATGCTGCAGTGTAAATCTAAAACATAGTTTTACTTAAAATAATGTGTTTGGCTGAAGATAGTATGGAATATATTTGACTACCTGCACACACACTACCTGCACATATCTTAAAACAAGTGGTCTCATTCTCCCAGCTGCCTGTCAGTTTCTCTGAGAGGAAATTCAGCTGTAATGCTGATTTCTACGCACATGCCTCCACAAATGGATACAATTATGAGAGACACCGTATGAACCATCAACCAATACAGCAAGCAAATTACACCTGAAGGCTGAATTCCTTTTTTTCCTTTATCTTTAAAGTCAATCATCCCCAAGGCATTGACTACGTAACAATATGGATGTTGCACCTCTATCTCCTATCTCCTCCTGTAGTAAGAAGTAAAGCAATAAAACTCCCCTGATAGATGCCGACATATTGCACCAGTTCTGACAAGGCATATATGCAGGAGCAGTCTTGGTGTTGGAGACATGAGGATGATGTCACAAACTTCTCGCTAACCAATGCACAAATTAAACTGTCTGAAAATATGTCAGAGATCCCTCAGGTTGGTAAAGTCCACAGCCAAACAGATTCTTGTGTTGATCTGAAGTAGACGCTCATGGCTATGAAAAGTTCAGTGACTATTGTGTTGACATTTGTTATGTTTTGTCTCGCTGTTCTCCTTCTGCTCAGCTGACCTAGTGCGAAACACTGCAGGAGCCTCATTTATCAATAGAGCTGTTGATCAATTGACCTTTTTTGATATTATTTTGCCTTTTTTTTTTTTACATCTTTATTTGAGAGGAAAGGCCAGTGGACTGAGCAGAAAACACAAAATAAAAAGTTCTGGTTAAAAGATTTAGTGATATGATATGACATGATATTGAAGATATGTGTATTTATCATAATTTTGTATTATGGGTTTATCACAGCTAATCATAAAGGCAATTGGAGCTGCATAGAACTAAACCAACTGTGACACATTTAACAGGTGTATCCATGGTTTACTGGCAGGCTTAAATTTACTTTTTTCATCAATAGGTGCCACTTGAAGAGCTGAACAGATGAAAGAAATAAGAAACAACATTACAGACTCGCTTGTTGAGAGAAACAGTCTTAGCTTGTGCTAAAAACAATTGAATGTGCTTTAACTTGACCACAGTCCTTCTGTTTCTACTATGAGGTGGTTGAATCTGCTTCCGTTTTTATCACAGTAAGGAGAAAGGGATAAAATTGCTAACCCCTGTAATTGAGGTGAGGGGTCATATTGCTGCCTGATGAGATTATGTTAGATGTCAGGCGAAAAGGCAAATACAGCCTTCAGTTTTTGGAGATATTGCTGATGAAGCACCCCTGACTGAAAGGACAGTGGTACAAGCCTAGGAGCAGGGGCAAGTTAAAATGTTCAGACAGGAAACTGTACTAAAATAACTTCAAAATAAAATCAATATAGATCTGTATACTGCATTACCCACAAGACTTTTCTTCATAACTTTTGAGAAGAAAACTACTAGATTCAGTAAATGGTTGGTGTAATTATTTGGTAGTCCTGCTATTAATATAAGAAAAAAAGTTATGCAAACTACACTTAAAATAAAACTAAAATAAGACGAAGACTGAGTCAGCACAGAGTATTTTGGTTACAAGAAGGATGTAAAAGTCTTCTTGTGGTTATTGTAGGTTTGGTTAAGCTCAGAAGGAGAACATATTTCAGCAGACTATCTGTCACTTACTGGAATACTGGTTTACACCTCCTCTGCACTGTTGGGTTGAATTGCATGTTTACAAGGAAACCTGGCTTTTCTTCATCAGGTTTACCACACTACAGGAGAAATTGTATAGCTCACACACAACAGTCGTCTCTCACCACTCTGCATACAGCTGAAAGAGCGCTGATTACAATTGCTCAAGGACTGTCAATACTCACGCACAATGTGGTGTCTGATGGGACTGGCTGATTGTGCATTCTCTACACATGGTGGCATGCTCATGTGGTCATTGTGGTCAACCATTTATTGACAGAGAAATACTCATAAACATCTCAGTGATCAGGAGACACACCTAAATTTTCAAAACAGGGACAGGATAAACAAACAAAAGAAATATTGTGTCTGATTGAAACAAATTACGAAGCAAAACCTTTCTTTATCAGCTTTTTAATCTGAAACTGGAGAAGAGTTAGCATTTCAGGGTTCGGGTGTGAAAATATAATAATTCCCTAAACTGTCAAATAAAGAGATTTGAGTCCGACAGAAAAGCAAAGATGAAATGATCCAACTTTAATTGCAAAGATACATTCAATCAAATACATAGACTTTATATAGAATGGACGCCTTCTGCTGGGTAAAGCCACTCCGAGAACAGCACCCTCTGGTGACGGGCTGCAGTATAGGTTATAAATCCCACCTCCGTCAGCAATCCCTATAGAGCTGTGGACAAACTTTAAAAATTTATCAAACAGAATATAAATTTTTCTCCCCCCTGCTTGCGGTGTTGACTTGTAGTTACTGTAAGACTGGTTTGTGCTCAAGTCCTCATTTTTCTGAACAGCTCAGTTTTTAAAAGGTATTAGGGGGTTCATGTTTTTAATGATTGACACTTGATACAGCCTACAAGCGTACAAGGATTGCGTAGCTCACCCGGGGGGGCGATATATATATTTTTTATATACAATCCTACAAAAAAACATTTCGCACCTGGGGGATACGCTGTTTGAACCGAGTGTCATCACAGCGACTCTTGGCGACTCTCCTGCCGAATGCGTACAACGCTACTGCGCAACATTGGTTTTAGGAAATGGAGAGAAATGCAGAATTACGGAAAGCTTCCTGGCTTCGAATCTGTATACTGGCAGAAGGCGGAACCAAGTTGTCCATAGTATACAGTCTATGATCAAATATTGCTGAGTTTTAATGTAATTTCTATGTAGGTTGATCTATAAAGATATATCCAATCACTGTATGTAATAAAATACTCCTTATAAGTTTACCCTATGAAGATTTTCGCCCACGTTTGAATGGACGAATAGAAAAGATACTAGGATAACTTCTCTTCCTTGACTTGTCTTTTGTTTTGAAGGCGTAATACCTTCTCATCCTGCGTCCTCCGGGTTGCGCATGTGCACATTGACGCTCCTCCCTGTTGCTCACACACAGTCAAACGCTGAGCTGTGAGCGCACTGTCTGTTGTCCTGTGAAGCCGAGGGTCCGGTGGTGTCAGCTGTAATGTGGCAGTGTGATGCGTGGTATCGGACGGACCCGCTGACACTCTGTTCTTCCTCCTCTTCTCCTTCGTCTTCGCTGCTGAAGATGGTGGCCGGCGGCTAGTGCCAACTTCGGACTACTTGGTGATTTTTTTTCCCCCTCTCGGTGAAGCGCACAGAAATCAGTTGGTGAGTGCCCGTCGTTGCGCACATAGACTGCTCTGTCACCTGTTCTGTTCCACAGGTAGCAGGGCAGGTTGTGCTGTCCGGTGCAGCTCGTCGCGTTAGCAAACCTTCAAAACAGGGAAAGGATTCAATTGTGGAGAGGCTCTGTTTCCAGCAGATTAACTGAGGCATGCTGGGGCCATGATGCACCCAAACTCGTTTTTACACTATTAAAACAACAGAACCAGAGGATCAAATGCTCTGGTTATTTCTGGCTTTACATTTAACACCACCTTTGGAGAGCATGCTAAAATCAGGCTGATCCGAGACAGTCAGATCCAGCAGCCTACCTGTCAACTCCATATGGGCTCACAGCATTGTGTGTATCAGCTGTTCAGTTGAAAATGTCACCGGCTCCCTACAGAGAGCTCGATGGCAGCTGGATTATCAGCTTTGGTTTATTAAAAGGTGCGCAAACAATGACCTTCTGATGCTGATCAGTCGAAATGAAACATTCAGTACCTCACATTTATAAGGGGCGTGAAAAATCAACACTAACTTTCATATAGGTTGCATCTTAAACACCCTTCAGACACATACATTTTTGGTTAAAACATGGTCAGCATTGCTTTTAGGCCTAAAATAAGAACCAGTGGACAGTGGCCATCATGAAACCAAGCTGCATTAAAAATTTAGACCATCATGAGATCTTGAAAAAGACACATTTCAGTGAAGAAAGAAACACATTTCACAGCCATGTTTAACTTCTTTAAGTTGAAGTTTATCAGTGTGTTTTAAAACATAAAGAAGTTGTGTATTTGTGTACATATAGTATACATATAGTATGTAAATGACATGTTTCATAAGATTATAAACGTTGCTGATTTTGAGATAGCTTTGTCTTCTTGATGATGTGGGTATTATATGCTGACAAGCGGTTTAACTTCCTTTTTTGTTACCATCACTGAGACGCTCCAGTTCAAAGTCTGTTCATCAGATGGCTAGTTGCACTTCCTCTTTTTATGTGTTTGCCGCCGTTAGATTGATAGAGTTGTAAACCTCTTTTACGTTGGTATCAGATCTTTGTGTTTATTGATGCCTGTGGTGTGAACAGAGTGGAAAGTGGGTGGCATGCATGGTTGAAAGTGTCAATGCTTCTTGATGTCCACTGATGGAAATAGAGGTCCAGTAACTCCGTTGCAGAGAATCTCTGAAAGCATGTGCAATGTTGAAACTTTCAGACACATATAGAAACAGGGCTGGGCTTAAAACATACTTGACTATGTGGAAAAGAAACTCAGGAACACCAAAGTTAAACATGAGTGAATTTTACCAACACAGCAGATCTAAAATCAGTGTTTACGTCCTGAAGCAACTTAATATCCCACTCGTTTCAATCTACTCAAGGGTTTGCGTGAACAAAGTGAGAGGAAAAGTCCTCACACTTCGCAACAATTAAAGAGCGTGTGCAAAACAAAGTGTTAAGTAAAGCGAAAAACTTGATTATTCCAAGTTTGTTCAATACAGGCATTTTCCCAGGCATATTCTGACGTCTTTCATACTCTGTCATTGTATAACAGTGAATTCATATCATGTGATTATGTAGCACCATCTTTGAAATTCTGCTCCAAAAACAGACAAGTTTTATAAAAGACCAACTTCAACAGTGAAAACCCCCCTTTGAGAAAACTACTCTTGAAATGGTAAATTGTAAGAGTAGGATATTTTGGACTATTGTGTTTTTATCCTCTGGAGAGTAACCATTCCCATTCACACAAGTGCCTCATCCAGGGGCCTTTGAACAAGCCTCAGTCTTTTGGCTTTTGGTGAATGGGGAGCAAGAAATGTCCTAGAAAAGCACAAAAATTCAGACATTTAGGGTGTCTGTGTGTAGTTGTTAGAGCCCTTATTCTCTTGGATGCTCTCACATTGTCAGCTATAAAAAAAGAAGCTTGAGTCCATCAGGGTATCAGCAGCTCCTCTCTATTTTTAATATTCATTTTAGCTCCGAGGCTCTCCCTTTAATTTAGTGATTTCACCCTATGTTAATTACACATCCATGAGGTCAATTTAGGAGACACTCTCATTTCTTGGCTGTAGTGAAGTGTAGTGTAGTGGCTGACTGCTGTTCCGTTTCAGCTGTGTAATGCAGCAGTCACCTGTTAGCCTAATATTCTAAGAGAATATAACTCTAATCGTTTCTGCGCAGGAAATTTGGTGGCTTCTCCATACACCTATGATGTCTTCCACTGCTCAGTCTAAGTTCTGTTATTCTCTTTTGTAAACCCAAAAGGAAAGGAAATTATGTAAAAGAATGATAGAAAACCTCCTGTACTTATGGTGCGTTCGAGTTACCTCGGAAGTCAGATGTCGGAGTTCCTAGCATTCCAGTTACCAAATCGGAAAAAAGCGAAATCGGAGGCTGAAACAAGATGGCGACATTTATGAAAGTAATTTTAGTGCTTGCCTTGTCCAAATATAAGGCAAGCGTTAAAATATATTTCATAGATGTAGCCATCTTGTTTCAGGCCTCCGATTTTGCTTTTTTCCGACTTGGTAGCTGAAACGCTGGGAACTCGGGTGTGTCGTCATTTTCAGCTCCGACATCTGACTTCCGAGGCAACTCGAACACAGCATTAGTTGGTATCTTCTAGCTGAATTAAGGTACCTTATAGCATAGCTAGAAACTGGCAGAGAGCTGGAGGCTAAAGCTTTGCTAAGTGGCAAACAGCTACAGCGCACTCGTCTGTCATTCAAATCAGATCGAAACTCAAGCATTTGAAACACAAAAAATCTGTTAAAAATAAAGAAACAAGGTATAGAGACTGAAAAAATACCAGGCTGTGAACATGTTTATTTCTGCTGTAAACAAGAGGATTTTAATGTTGGCACTGATAGCGTTTCCTCAGCTTTGGGACAACCCCCTAGTGGCCAATACCGGAACTTTTCTAACACCAGAGCTTGCCAATTGGTTTTAGCCCTTTAGGGTTGTCAAACCAACTGCATTATAGTATTTTTACCTTGAAAATTTTGACTGCAATTTCTTTTCTAGGCAGTTGGACAACTTATGGAACTATATGAGGTTTTCAGTTTGGCCGCTCAGTCCTGTTTTGGTGTCCATCAACACTTGATAAATATATCAGTCTAACTAAAAGCTAAATGCTTACACTATTTTCTGTTTGGTGCTGGATGTGTACCATTCAGCTGGTTTATTGGAGTTATTTTTTCCATCTTTTTGATAAACATCTCCCTTGTGCAGAGGCCTGGATATGAGGCAGATTGGAGAGGTAAAAAGAAATGAATCTGTGCATTTGCAGAAATCAATGTCACCCACTGGGGATTATTGGAACTCAATTTCAGTAGCCCTTACAAACACAGATGACCAATTGAGGAAGTGTTGGGTCGCTTCATCATAAAGTGAACAGTCCCTTCTACACACGCTCCTTATGGTTTTATTGCTTGGTTCATGCAGTGCCTTTAACACATTCGCAGCAGTATTGTTGTCACAGGATTAGTCAGGCAGTTGTTTTCATACAAAGCTTTAGTTAATATATTTGGATGGGAAGTGAGGGTACATCATCTTTGCAGGCAGCGTCTGCTCTGTCACTGCTGGCTGAATCATCTGGCTTCCCATCATCTGTTCTCCTTCCTGCTTCTGCTCAGACATTGACATCAGGCTTCGTGTCACTGTGCGTTAGCAGAGATAATCGCAGACCGATGATGACATGAAACCATGTGCCCTCTGCCCACCCAATCTGATCCTGAGTCCCAGAGGTGATAAACATGACCTGCAGTTTGATTCTTTATCACTAACCTGTCCTGCAGCCTTTATCGTTACCTTTATGCAAGGGACAAAGGCTGCCAGTGTGATCTCTAAACAGATAACGGCTCATCTATAAAAATCTGTTTAATCTGCAGCTTAACTTAACACCCTGCTAAACACTTTCCTTTATTTAGAGCCAAGATGGACACATTCACTGGACTGATATTATTTGCCTCGACATATTGTACAGCAGGGATTATTTGTATTTAAAAATATAAAGACTCTATTAGGGCTGCACGATATTAGAAAAAACTAACATTGCAATTTTTTTCAACCTTGTGATATTAAAAAATGCAGGAATTTTCACCAGATGACCTGAATAGCACTTAATGTTATTCTGCACTGCTGAAATCTTGTGGACAGTTAACCTGCACTGATCTTACCTCTTTTTGTGAATGTTAGTAGAATGGCTTCTGTCTGTCTTGGAGATATTTTTAGCTTTTATTGTGCTGGGACCTTATTGTGGCAACAGATGAACACAGAACACGTGTTTTAGTCGACATCATCCTTGTTGTAACCGAGATAATTCCAGATAACTGACGTTGCTTTTCTTTTTGGCAACAAGTCTTCATTTTTGGTGGTTTTCTCTTGTTCGTTGCTTATTTTGCAATCGTTGTTGGTGTTACCAGCATGTCGCATGTCAGCTGAGAATTGCATGCACCTCGCAAAACGCACACCGCTGATCGTAGTGGTCCACGGAAATGCACAATTTAAAACCCATACAATTCTTATTTGTTGGGCTAAACAGTAAAGAGTAATGTTCGGAAAGTAATTCTCGGCGGGCATGTGTTTCTCGGCAGCGACAGCAACTTACTCCATGTGCAGGGGCGTGGTTTCCTCCTCTCTGATTTTGAATGACAGCTGGCAGGGTAGTCTGATTGGCAACAGAGTAAAGAACGAATGTGATTGGTGGATCGCTGCAAAGCATATGCAGAGTCACATGCGGTGTATCTCAGTCAGCTACCCTTGAAATTCGACGAGTTCATTCGCCTCCTACATCGCAGGCTCTGCAGTGTGACTGTTGCGCACACGTACATCGTGATGACGATGCTCAAACGATATATCCTGCAGCCCTAGACTCCCAGTAAATTCCATAAATAAATCCACTCATTATCATTTTTTCTATTATCTAGTAGCAAATCTGATTACTTTCAAATTCAGTAATGTCACAATTACAGAAATTTGGAAAGACTCCTCACTTTACACCAAGATTGATGATCTGCGTCTGTGACAGAGCATCTATGTCAGTGCAGTAGCATCCTTGGAGTAAGAATATCTTAAGCAGTAAACAGACAGATTGGCTTTTATGACTCAGCTTTGAGCAAACAGTCTTAGAAATAGCAGAACTATTTCTTCTTCTTGGTGTGACCGATGTGTCTTCTAAGCTAGCTGCCAGAGAAACCGGCATTGCGGACACCGGTGACGCAGGTGCTGCTCACTTTATCTCTGCAGACACAGGAGGGGCCACTCCATTCAAACAGCCAGGGCTGGACATTGAAATACGGGGTGTTGAAATGGTAGTCTGTAAAAGCAAGGTGTTCTTTCTAGTTTTTCAGCTTCCGTTTTTTTCTTTTTAGTTGATTCCCAGTAAAAATCTTGTTAAAGATAAACACTGCAGGATAATTTTAAGGTTTCAGCCTGTGAAATCACCAATCTGCTTCTTAATTACTATGTATCTAATGGCAGCCCCCGAAAAACGAGTAAAGATCATACTGGCAAAACGCGAGTCGACGCTGGGTCTCCCCTACTGATGATTTATATCATCAACCTTTAAAGGGCAGCCCTAATTAGAGGTATCAAAAACTGCGCTCATTTAACTATCGGTCCCACATTTCAGATATTATGTCAGCATTTGCATCAAAAAATGTCAAAGGATTCCCTGGTTTACTCCTCCCCGGTGCAGGCTGGTACTATTTTTGAAATAAAAAATAGAGGAGCACATGCTGTTTGGGGCCTTTGCTGTCTGCTTGTATTTAATGTCGTGAAAGGAAAAGCAGAGTTCTTTGTTTTTCAAATGTGCCTTTTCGCAGCGAGATAAATGACAGCCAAGTGTCGCCTGTCACTTACAATTTCACCACCCGGCACCAAATCCAATTCCCATTGATTGCTGGGCTGGGCCACTTTGAAGATGGAAACAGTAATTTCCCGAGCCAAATTCAAGTCATTCATTATTCCTCTGTATTGACCAGTGACCTAAAGAGTTTAGCTCGAGCTGGTGCCTCTGTGGATCCCATTGCCCTTTACTGTGACCTATGGTTACTTTTATCTTCCTGCCATTAAAACACGTCAGTCACCTGGCTCAGGAGTGTGTATAAGATGGCTGGTGTTTTTTTTTTAGAGAGGTAAGAGAAGGGGCATCTTAAAATTTCTGACCTCAGCCACCATCAGTGGACGGTTTCCCAGCAACCAGGCCCAAACAGAGGCTCAGAGTGGGCAGTGTAACTCAACAGACCTCCCCCAGCGTGCCTCTGCCCACCTCTTTGGGAAAAGACTGGTTCGTCAATGTCATCCCTCCATACTGATTAGATGGAAAAGGGAGCAGTAAGTGAGGTGGGCTGGTTCTTCAACGCAAACAAAGGCTGCATTGTAATTCCAGTACACTCACTCCACAGATCAGTGACCTTTTCACTATATCAGACCAAACAATAGAATCAGCTGCTCTGTTTCCCCCACGGTAATTACAGCGTGGAATCCCGTCTGGCCTAGAAACAGGCACGGCATCTCCACATGCTGCCAGACATCAATGATCTGAAGAGGTTATCTTGTTGATTGGCAAATGGAGAGGTGGGTGGAGGATGAGAGGCACAATTGCCATTTAAATCGTGCTTCAATGGGACCAGGAAACATGGTTTTTAAATGAAGACACCTCTTTACAGCTGGCTGCACCTGGCAGCTTTGCACATTTGCATCTTCAAATGGAAGCAAGAGGGACGTATTTTAATATCTGAGTATCATTAGCGACAGATCAAAATAATCCTTGGTACTGCTGAAAACCAGGTTTGCTGTAAATTAGACCGGTCCAGAGGGAACAGAGATGAGCTTTGATAACTGAAGCCCATTAGCGAGATTTTAAGCTGCTTTAGTTGATATTTTTGTAGAAATAACATATCATATAATAAAGCACAATCTTAATGGCATGTCTCATTCTTGAAATTTGGCAACAGTTACAACCCAAGTCTTGTTTCTGATAGTTTTTTTTTTTTCTGCTTTTTTTAACTTGTTTTTTTCCTTCTTGGCTTGTAGCTCAGCTTTCATTACCAGCTGAAGACACAAGATTTCCTCACAAAAACTGGAGCCAAAAAGATCTGAAACACTCACAGTACGCTACCTGCCAAGAAATAAACAACAGACGCAAAAACCAGCGAGTTATTAACAGAAAACTCTGATTGCTGTCTTTAGATGCATAACTTTGTTTTGAATTAAACTTGTAAATCCTGGTTTGAAAACCTTTTGGTCCCAATGGACAAACATGTTTTTTCATGACAAACACACAGGGATGAATTTTTCTTAGAACTCGCTCATTAGAATTGGATAAAGTTATATTTTTGGGACATTTTGCTGAGAGACAGGAAACGTGGGGTGGAGAGAACTGGAAAATGAATATATTCTACATTTATGAAGATTCTACATTTTTCAATACAAAACACTCCATTACACCACCACTACCTACTACATCCTCAATGACAAATACAAGGATGTTAATGCCAGATGAAATCCCTCTAGGGTTGACAAGACCCTTGTACCACCCTGTTGACTTTCCTAAATATGCATTTAATTGATTTGAAAGTTAAATATGGGTTAAAAAAAAGTTTGTCCCTTCCAGTCCACTATTGGTATCACTACCATGACTACAAATTTTTCTAATTAGTCTACTTAAATGTCATAAAAAATAGGTCAACTTGAAAGAAGGTCCAATAGTAGTTCATAACAAGCTGAAAAGGTGCACAATGCTGCTTTTATTAGAAAAATCAAACATGCTGTTGATAATTTCCTTGCCCAGTGCTTGCCTGCTGAGACAAGGCCAGTAGGCCAATTGAATTGAGCCGTAACTATAGCTCAACGTGACTGTGCATGAACTAAAATGAAGCTGAAAAGAGTTTTCAATTATTCCAACCTGAGATGAATAGTTTTTAAACCTGTTCATTATTTTAAACTACTACAGAGATATCAGAGGGACAATATGCCTAAATATCAGTGTAATATTCCCCCTTATATCCTGACTACTCTAAATAGGAAGAAATTCATAAAATATTTATCAATAATCCTTACTTGATTTCATATTTTTCTCTGAAACTCCTTTAACACTTTTCCTGTGTTAGGGTCTGTTTTTGATTTTAAATGTGTAAAAGAACCACATAAAGAAGTTTTTTTTGCATCAAGACTTTTTGACTTTGTCAGGAACCTCTATTTCAACAAAATAAACATAAAAAATAATAAATTGACTATATTATAAAACGCTGTTATGAAAATTATGGCACTTGTCGTGTTAGATCAATATCTAATAATTAGAGCAAAAACTGAAATCACAAGTGCACTGTCAGGCACCACACTGATAGTCAGATCCTCTTCCAATCATGTGAGATTCAGGAAACTCTCATTTTGCCATGTTTTTTCCATCCTCAAAAAACTACGTCGGGCATGTCCAGACATGTGGGATCAATTCAGTATAGATGTGTGTATGAGGGGTACACTGACAAAGAAAGGCCCAGAGACCCACTACAAAAATTATAAGTAATATTTTCAAGGATAATAATGAAGCCTAACAAGGTAACCTAGAGATGAGAACCAAACTGGATGATAGAGAATTGCTTTTAGTGTAATTTACAGCTGATTTAAGACACGGGTCAAAACCGACCATTTAAATGGTGGGTGCGTAGTAAAAGCTAACACAGGAGGAAGGATAAACAGAAAATATAATGAACTCCTGGTATAAATCCTCTCTGGTTTGGATCTGTTCAGGATTCTCCTGCAGGAACTGAAGATAAAATTTGGGGAAATGAATGTCAGCCCTCCTCTTATAATTTTGGATCAGTATAAATGTTTGAAAGCGGATGGATGAATAGATGAGTGCATTCCCTTGGTGGAGATGAAATCCTCATCTGTTGCAGCTCCTCTTTTATCCCCCTTGCCGAGTGCAGCTTTAATCGCAAACACAACACCAGAGTTTGACACTTCAGCTGATGCATGGTGGCAGAGTGTGTGTTGGCTTTATAGCATTTGTTGTGTTTGTGTGTGTGTGTAGTTATGTGTCTCAGGCGTCGGAGTCTGCCAGGGGCCTACGGGTGGTAGCCAGCGTGCAGGAGCAGCACGTGCAGCTACAGCCACTCAGGCTGCTTACTGTTGACTCGATGGTCTAGTTGGTCTAGATGGAGAACGCCCCGGGTGGAGGACGGCCCGGTCACACTCTCAAAACAACAGGCTTGGTGCTGAAATATTGATGTGACGGCAGCAAACATTGTCCTCCCGATGTCACACATGTAGCAGACATGTGTGACACATAAACTAGATTTATCCTCCTGGCCTTCGCTCTTGATTTGAGGTTGCAGCTAATAAATGGAGTCTGAAAAGGTGCTACAGCAAATGTTGAATGGGCTGTTTTTGTGCTTCATAACATTGAACATTTCAGAATTTTCAACACTTATCTTAAAACACTTAAAATTAAAGGGATATTCCGGCGTAATATTAAGTGAGGTTTATGATAATTACTTCATGGAACTGCAATCAGACAGACGCTAAGGCAGAAGAACTACCACATCTGCAGTGCAAAATGATAAATATGATGATTTTTACTTAAAGGAAATGATAAAGAAATGATCATAAATGTTCTTCCTTGAGCCGCGTCACACTGCTGCAGTCGCTGGACTCACCCGAGATCTCGCTACAAACAAGCAGCTGCTGGAAGAGAGTAGGTGAGCTGTATTTAGTCTCTTTGCTAAAGAAATTAGGCAAAGTTAAAAAGATGTTTGGTGGCTAGTACTATGGCTGGGACCCTATATGTACTGTTGATGAAGTTAGGTGCTGTTCTGAGCATTATTTGAGGCTATAGAGTGGCGTTTTGGTTGAGTGCGTGGCTTTCCGCATTACTATTGTGTGGTTGTTACAAAAGTTGGTATAACTAGAGAAGCAAGCGGTCGGCAACATTCATCTCTTGAGGGGGTATCTAACTCGGTGTCACGGTGTGTTTGACCCTTACTTAATTATCCCTTAAAGTCAAAGGTCTGTCTCTGTATATATCATTTCTGTAATGTTGTCAGACACCTGAGGTAACAGCTCTACCCTGATAGTAGCAAAAAAAGCACTTTTATTGGCCCTACTGTACGCAGATCAACGCATTTACCAGCGTCATGGCCAAGGGTTGATTTAATCTACTGGATCAAATCCAAAGTGACTTCAACTTTATAGTCCCTGCAGTAAAGCAGTTCCAAATAGGTCTAAGATTCAGTGAAGTTAACCCTTCAGTGATGCTTCTGCGGAGTCCAGGAGGACTTTAACAGTTTCACGGACTGACCAGTGACAACAACTATTTTTCAGCAAATTCTGCCGCTTTTTAACATCACTTTGAGTGACTTGATCTTAATATTTTTGGATCATGTGTGACTGACACATTTCTATAAAGGTTTCTTCTGTGTATTTATGTCACCCTTATAGTATCAAACACTTAACTGCACTGCACAGACTTAAATCACTTTACATCACCTCTTAAGTGGTTAAACTTCTCATGTCTTGACCTTGGCTGACACCACAAAAAAGTTGGAAAGTTCCTCTACAATGTTTCCATGCTCTACCTGTGCTTCTTGGTTAATTATTTTTAGCAACAGCTTTAATTTGACTTCCAGTTAAATGGCTTTGACTTGTGATATTGTTGGCTCTGTAGGTTTGTACTCCATGTCACAGCTTTTCTTGCATAAGATGTCCAAATATAGAATAATCTTGATCGATTTGGAAGCAGAGCAAAGAGAGTTAAAGATAATGTAACCAGATGAAAACAGAAACAATGATATTTCATTATAGTTACTCAGTTACATTTCCAAAGGCTGCTGCATATTGCCCATTACTTATTAACATGCTTGCAGATAAGCGTAGATAGCATATTGTAAATTATATAGTATATGGATTACATATTGTAAGATCAGTTTGATAACATATATTCATTGACGTCGCTCTATGTCAAAGTGTTAATATTAATATATCCCCAGGGACACACAGATAACAGGTTGGTTGTCTTTCTTTTCAGCCTGATATGCAGTTATTATTAATGTTTCATTGTCTGTAACTCACTCTTCCATCTTTATTTCTTGTTTGACAATGGCAGCTTGCAGTTCTTGAGAGTTGAGAGGAAATATTTTGAACAGTGTTTCAGCAACAGCCCAACCCCTGCAGAGTGATGGATGTCACTTCTGATTAATTTTAAGAAATCTTTCATCAAAATGAAAAAAAAGATTAGTCTCTCCAACTCCATAGTGACACTACGAAAGGCAACTGATTCTTGCAGGATGAATTTGCATAAAACTACAAATTCAAGTTAAAACATTGACCTGCTTATTTAACACAATAAGTTACATTAAGTTGAGAAGTTGAAGATAACATTTGACAAGGTGAACAGAACTTCTGCAGGAATATTTAGATCCCCCACAAATATGTAAAACATTCATAATCCATCCTGGGTCAATATGATGAGAGATAATAAAAACATACCCTGTGTTAAACATCCGTTGTCATGGCCACTTACTCACCTTTGGAAAAAAAATCTATCTTGACCCTTTTTTCTACTGCACAAGATCGCATTATTCTGAGGATGTGTGGGTGGCTTGATGTGTTGCATTTTGGCTCTGGAGTTTGGATCACTTCACAGAAAGTAGGATTTTCAGCCACACTATCGAGTCACATTTCTATAGATAAATCTGGAGATGGATGCCAAGATAGTTTTAGCCCTCTGAAAGTTTTGTGTTTGAGCAAAGACAACAGCAATGCCTGAGACTTCTTCCAGGACTTCTGTACCAGCTGTTGTGGTTGGAATGCTGGTGTCCAATGTGTCTAACTTCACCTCTGCGTTCTCTGCAAACATCTGCCGACCCATCAAAGCCCCAATTTTATAGAAGCTAGAATAAGTCCAAACTTTAGACTTCAAACCAGCTTGGTTGATAGTTTCATGCTTGATAGCTTAATTTGCTTGGCTTCTCTCTGCTAGAAGCCATCATTGCACTGCTGGTGAATGCCCAGAATGTTGCACAACAGGAGATTGATCTGATTGAACCCCTGACTTTGTGGCCATTTGGATAAAAATGTGGAAAACTGGACACTGTGACAAAAACAGTGGGTATATTTTCTGATGAGTTGTTGCAGCAATTCTCCTTACCTGTAGTTGGAGCCCCACTATGAATGCACACAGAGGGCTCTATTTTCGTGCCCGCCGGCAGCGCGGCGGAGGGTTGCGCAACCCGCACAGTGGTATTTTCGTCTGGCGGAGCCTGACGCACAGTCAGTTTCGTATTTTCGAGGTCCGCCAAGCCGCGCCTGCGCCAGGCTGCCAGCGAGGAAAAAAATAGAGCCCAGAGTCTATGTTGATAATTGGCGAGTTGAACTCTTTTTATGCCTTCATAAATTCATATGTTCTGTAGCTTTGCAGTACCATCACACACATCCAGAAATTAGCTGTGGAAAATAAATGACATAGGGATAAAATGCATTGGGTGTTGCCTTTGCTAACAATGAAATAACCAATCACAGATTAGGGTGATTTATAAAATCCTTCAAACTTCAAGGGTTTTGTTTGGCAGTACTGAGTTTGTGTTGCATCGACTGATTTAGAAGTGTGTAAAAAACACTTGACCCAACCTGAAAAACTCTCAAAATTTACAACGCGCAACCCCATGACTCCGCCCTGCATAGTAGTGTCCTTTTTTGGGGATCTAAAATATGGTCACCCTATCACTGATAATGCTTTGAGTTTGCATCCCTTGACTTGACCAATCGGAATCAGGTATTTAACTATAGGTAAAAAGCGTATTCTCATTTCCTGACTATTAAAGCAAGCCAGCTTTATTTGGATGGCTAAGTGCTTAACATATAAATAAAACAGAATACACAACACAGATTTATAGTTGAAGATTTAAAGGTCATTAAAACACTTTGTGACTTGGAAAATAGCACATGTACATTCACTGAAAAGTGATCTAGCTTAAGCACCTATAAAGGGTGGAGTTCCCTTTTATAATAAGATTAAAGCAAACAGGTAGTCAAAGACTCACCCTAGGAGTCCAATTAGAGTGAGTTAGAGGCACAACAATAGCAACACTTGTGACTTACGGTCAGGCATGCTTTATTGTATAGACAATGTGGTTTTCCTTATATTCAGACTAATTGAAGAATTGTTGAATTGAGGATTAGTCAATTATCAGAGTTGGAAAAGAAAATAACATGGAAGTCATACATGTGCCCAAACAGCCTGTTCTTACTCGACAGGCTCTATTCTTCAGATCGTTCCTGAGACCTCTGCCAACGCCGCCGCCTGCCAGCCGTTCTCTACTCTTAATTGTGCTAATTGCTGTAAATAGATGGGTGCCGTGTTCAGTGATTGACCCTTGTGAAAAGCTGCTCAATCTGTCTCATATTTGGCAACATGGAAGGCGCTTTGTCAGCCCTATTCCTTATAATGGCTTGTTGTTATTGCACATAAAACATGGGTAATCACAGAGAGGGCAGCTGGATGAAAAAACTAAATAAAACCAGGGAGTGTTCATCGCCTCTTTTTAGTGTAGAGCTGGGTTAGGGCTAGGTGATATGGGAAAAAGTTTATCACAGTATATTTTTTCATATCAGTCAATATCGATATCACAATATAAAAAAATGAAATTTAACACTGCTTATTGGTAGCATGTCTTTTGCAATACAATAAGCTACTACATCTGTGAGGTCTTTGTGTCTCTTCAACATTTTGTTGTAAGACATTGCGCTGTTAAAGTGCTATCATTGTGTGTAGCTGCAGCCTGCTACTCCACAGTTGTTTGCTACTTGGTGCTTATTCAGCACGATTGGTTCAGCGTGAAGTGGACCCGGAGAAACTCCCCTTTTCATTCGTCATTCGTCCTTCCGTCAACGAATTTTCATAGTTTCCACTGGAGATAGGGCTGCACACTTCTTCATTTTTAAATCATAATCGGGTTATGTGATTATGACGATGTTAAAAAAATTAAAATCATCAAATTGATTTCCTCTCTATCATGTCTTGAGATATGATACACAGTGCAACTCAAATATGGCGCCTATGCATGTCCAACACAACCTTTATACTAGTGCTGGACGATAATTCGATAATAATATATATCGATCGATAGACGTGTGGTGCGATAGAAAAAAAACGGGTCGATAAAAAGTTCGATAGAAAAACACAGTTTCCCTTTCTTTTTCATCATAGCCTATCATGTAGCTTTTACTACAGCCATTACTTCCTCCCAACCAATCACAAACGCAGACCCATGTACGCTACGGCACCAAGCCCAGCCCCTATCAAACCACAACAGACAGCACGTGTATTAGAAAAAATGTTACAGCAAGGAGAAGCGGAGGAAATTGCCCCGAAAAAAGGTTTCGGTAGTTCACCAGCATGGCAATGTTTTGGTTTTTACAAGTCTGACAAAAAGCGAACAGCGGTCGTTTGCAAAATTTGCAGAGAATTAGTAAAAACGAAGTCTGGTAACACAATCAACTTGTTTTACCATCTAAACCGAACGGTCGCACCCGCAGGAGTACGAGCTGTGTCGGCCGCGCCGCGGCTCCACGTCATCGGAGGAGGAATCCTCTGGAACCGCTGCCAGCACCAGCACAAAGCAAGTGAAGCAGACCAAACTGGACTTTGTTTCTTGCCAAAAATACGACAAAGCGTCCAAGCGGCATAAGGACATCACCCATGCAGTAACATGCTCCATAGCGAGGGACATACTGCCAATAACTACCGTTGAAAAGCCTGGCTTCGACCAGCTTCTAGCCACTCTCGACCCGCGATATGATATGTGCCCGGCCGCAAGTATTTCTCAAACACAGCGCTTCAGGTATGAAAATGGGTCAGGGGTTGAAAAGGTGAGAAGGGTGCGGAGGAAAATGAGCTCATATTCTACAAAGACGCGAGTATTTGGATCATGACTACTAGCAGGGGGGGCATTCGGCAGGGGTGCAATCTACGACACAACACCGGCGTGGATAAGTCCTGCTTCTCGTGCTTAGTTTGTGTATTAAGTCAATCACATGATAATTAAAAAAAATAAATCTCCCGACCCCGGGAGAAATATTTCAGTGTTCAGACACCAGGCTGTGGGCAGTTTCCCACACAGTTAAAACTGGTAGTATGCTATTCCCACCTAAAGCTATTCTGTTTATTTATATATTTGTTTATTTTCATCAAAAGACTATTTAAATATTTATTTATCAGATTTTCTGGTCACTTTAGTCTTTATGTTTGTCAGTATTTACTGACGTCACTCAGGCCACTTAAGTTGATTTCTTTTTTTTTTAGTTCTTTTTTTAAAAAAACTTTCAGTTGTGGTAAAATAAAAAAGGTGGTTGAATAAAGGTTTGAATTTGAATTCAGTGCTTGTGTGTTCTTAATTAAAAGTAGGTCATTAAGCAATAGCATAAAACATCCAGGGCTACAATTAAAATATATGTTAAATAATTATAATAATTATATCGATAATTATCGATATCGATCAATATGAGTTATTTTTTACCGATATGCTTTTTTTCTATATCGTCCAGGCCTACTTTATACGCATGCTCTGTACTCTTCTTCTGTCTTTTGTGCTTTTCCTTGGCAGCATTACAGCGCCACTCACTGGCTCGGCATATGCGCTACATCGTTTTCAGTGGTTTCATTTTGAGGGATGATAGAAAAACGTATTAAAGTGAAGTTTGGTGAAGTTGTCACTGAATAAAAAAATCAAAATAAAAAAAAATCAAGTTTTCAGAGAAAAAAAAAAAAGGATTTTATTTTTGGCCAAAACTGTGCCGCCCTAACTGGAGAAGAAAAACACTAATTTAATATCTGATTTTTCTCCAACTTTTTCCTGCCCTGAAACCAAAACATGGTATGTTTGAGATGAACCACTTTCATTCCTGCTTCCTTATAAAAGACACTCTGTCTGATGTTTTTATTTTAAGGTTACATTACAAAGGGGGGTGGGGGGGGGGGTCTGTGTAAGAGTTTTGAATTATTTATTTTGACAAGAAAACATGAAGAGCACAACATTTGGTTCCAGAAGAAGATTTTTACAATGCTGGTGGCATTTTTATACAGCGAAAGAGCCCTTACAGAGTCAAAAATCTGAATTATTCCTGATAAAAAATCTTGAAAAGCTTTCAATGTAGGGTCCTCACCAATCCAAAGATTCACCTGTATTAAACTCTACCTGCACAGACCTGTTAGCATAAGAACCCAGAGATTTTTCTTCAAAGATCTCGCCTCCTCTGAGCATATTATCTACAAAGTAAAAGCCTGTGCTGATCCCTTTTTGTCTGTGATTCCTGGTCTCTGAAACATGAAAGCAGGCAGCTGTAGTAAGAAAAAGAGCTGTGTGTGTGGATCAGCAGAAAAGACGGAAAGATGTGCCCGGGATGTTTGTGGGATCTGAAGGGAGGCTGTGATCACGCTGTCTCATTTGATCAGTCTCATGTCTCTGCTTTTCCCCTTTCTCTCTCTCTGCTACTGCTCAGGAAAAAAAAAAGAAAAACACTTCTAAAACCAACCTCTTACATCCAAGTCATGTGTCACCTTCCTGCCTTTGTGCATATTATATATTTGACCTCATGTGCACCTGTTCATATAAAAAATAGCAGAAAAATCATGTTTTGCATAGACTTGATATTAAAGCGCTGCATATATTTCATCCTGCTTTGATGTCTCACCATAAGAGTTGCATTTCTCATTAATCTCCTTGTAGTTCAGTCTGAAGTTAGGATATTGTCTCATTTATACCCACCCACATAATGTCCTTGTCAGTACATCATCTCTACATTGGTAGTATTCTGCATGCAGGTTTAACAGACTTATTTCCAACAACTAATATGACGTAATTTCATCAAGACATGTCTCTGAGCAGAAAAAAAATATAGAGCACTACAGAGACAGTCTGCTTCTTACTCCTTGGCTCCCCTCCTCCACTGTATAGCCATCTTCATAACAATGGTGCTGTTTCCATGGCAGCTGGAGCATGTTAAGCTTTAGGATAACAGTGAAAAAAAGTGGGGAAAAGGACAGGGAATAATCACAGGGTATGAAGAGGCTAAAAATAGCAAGGAAGTTAATCCCAGGCATTATTTATTCATCTAAAACTTCTAGTGTCTGTGCCAGCTGTGTAAACGTCTTTTTCTTTTTCAGTTTCTCGTTAAATTCTGACCTCAACCCTTACAGTCTCACAGACTGACTAAGATGAGGACCGCAGGAGTTGTGAGAGAAATACAACACTCTGGAGGATTCAGAGGAGATGGATTTGTTGTGGTGTGGCTGTCTGAGGAGGAAAACAAGTCTCGGATTCTAACAAGGAATTAAATATTCTTATTTACCACATTTATGAAATTTTGCAGTGGTCCAACATTAGCCACGTTTACATGTGCAAAATTTTTTGATCTGATTAAAAATTTTAGGGATCGGATAATCTGAATCCACTATTTATATGGGTGCAAAATCAAATAATCCAATCATGACTAGCGTATACATGCACCAAGATTTATTCAGATTAGAAGCATTTGGACATGCGTAGAGTTGCCTTATTTCGCTGAAACAACCGCAGAAGAAGAGTTGTATTTACGCCTGTGCTGTCAACAAACCAACAAACGCAGTGGTGGTTCACTCCATCCAGTTCAGTTTTCCCCCAGTTAAATGTTGTCACTAGATGGCGCCCTTGTGTACTTATTTTACTGTTCTGTCAAAGGTTGCACTGTGCTTGCAGATGTGACATCATTAACGCTGTATGTACGCCTTATTATGTTATTGGAGGAGCAGACACGGCGCCTGTGTTTGTGTTTTATGCCAGAGTGTTAATAATGAAACCTCCTGTACTGGCCTCAATAAATAAACCAAAGGCTAAAGAGTGAAGATCGAGTCAGGTAAGAGAGTCATGATTGGAATAAGTGTTTACATGGACGTGTTTCGGAATGACAATCGGCATAAACCACCCCTCTTGATCGGAATACAATTTCTTTCTGATTGAGCCGTATCAGATCAGAATCTTCCGATCGACATGTTTACATGACGCATTTTTATTCCGATCGGGCATTTATTCGAATTATTTGTGCCCATGTAAACGCAGCTAGTGTCACATTGCGTATGTATTAAACGACCTATTAATATGATGTAGGTCCCCTTACTTTGTTCATCCAGTTTTGCTGCCTTGGTGATACATCTTATCAAGGAATATATGACACATTTGGAAAAATAAATAGATAAATACAGCAAATTAAAGAAACACTGCTGTTAAAGAAGCCTTAATTATACAAACTACTGATTCAGACACTGACAGATTCTCTTTTTTCATTTTTGAGGGCTTTCAGATAATGATCATAGATCAGACTGCATGAAAAACCATCACAAGTTGTCAACTTTTTGTTGTACGTCTCTCAGAATAGTGCTAGAAAATACAAACATTTGAATTTGATAGCAAGCTTGTGTATTTTATGCTCTGATTGGTAATGTTTGGAGCATAATGAAGCTGTAGTGTGTGCTTTGAGAGCGTGTGCAGCGACAGCGTTGGCAGTATGTGTGTTTCTGTGTCTGTCACACTGAGAGTGTTAGACTGATGAAAAGCAGAATAGAGGTCAGCCTCAGGCAGCAGGCCGGCCAGGCTGCTTGGCACTGAGAACAGATATCAATCATTGTCGGTTGTTTGGAGAGCAGAAAACTCTGAAGGCTTTTGAAAACTAAACATACTCCTGGTATTTTTGTCCTGATGCCACCGTTGCTGTCTTTGTGCTCGTAGAGTTTGAGAGTTTCTGACTGATTCATGCCTGAAATGAATTCAGAATAATAAAAATGTGACATTTTGATATCCTCTTAAATACCCAGACCTTATGAGACCAAAAATTGCAGGTCTATTGTTAGGACTTTTATCCTAAAGATTGCAAAAAAATGTCCTGGGAGATTAACATTGTGCTGAGTCAATTTTGGGTTATGATTATGAAATGACGTGAATTCGGTACAGTCGTTTAAGTTTGTTCTTGTTTAGTCAGAGCACAATAGAGCTTCTCAGGCTACAGGCACAAAAAAAAAAAGAAAAAGTTTTTTCCCCTTTTAAAATGAGGAAAATCTTCCAACCATGCTTTTTAAATAATTGATGAAGCCTAGTCCTGACTGTTGTTGGTTTTATAAGCTGACTGGAGACATGCAAAAGGTTTTGTATCACAAGGAGGATTAGAAACTATTTAAAGAAGACGCAAAGATACAGCAAAACAGGCGCCAAAGGGTGTGCGCCCTGACCGGAGCAGTGACAAAGCATTGACTGAAAACAGCGCTCAACTTTAGGTAAGACACGATGGAAACTGTTGTATAAGCTCATTGTAAAGTAACATCAAACCTGCCTTAGTTATGAAAGGGAAGATTTCTTTGGATGATCTGTTTGGTTTCATGTTTTTGTCACCCCCTGATAAACTCTTTCCGTGTATGTTTTAGCAAGAAAAGTAGTTTTTGGGAGTCAGAGACTGGAGTTTTTTCTCTGACCTATTTAAAGTGTGTTTTTCCTCAGAGTTTGTCCCCGTTTATTTCACGAAGAAATTCTGTTTCCTACAGTTTGAAATCACACACTGCGGTTTTTAGTTTTCAGGGAAAATGTCATATCAATTCATATTGGAACTATCGACTTCAAATGGACATGACATTTTCAGACAATCCGTCTATGCAATTTTCATTTATTTATTTATTTTTTCTGCAGGTAGAAGAACAAAACTAAACCTTTCATTAGTCAGAAATGATCCATGTACTGTATTGAATGGTCATCTGATGGTGATATGCAGCAGTTTTTCAGCCTGAAAGCAGTACCAACGTCCTCATTACAACCTTTAATAAGAATGAAGCTGCATTTAAAAGCCCAGTTTAAAAGACCTTGAAATCAATATTTTTTTTATCAGATTTAATCCTATTAATCATAAAAGCTCAAACGGCCACTGGGACAGTGAACAAACTTTTTCTATCTCAGTTATACTGATTATTTTGCCGTCTGTTGCATCCCAAAATTGCTAAAAAGATTTTAATTGACTGTCACCTCAACCTCAGGGTTCAACTTTTATGCCCCTGCTAGCTGTTTACGTGATGGTACAATCACACTCTGGTACACAGACAGAACACCGTTGTGGATTTATGGATAGCCTATAGAGATGATAGAGCTTTGATACAAAACAATTCTAGACTAAGGCTGCACGATATTGGAAAAAAATAATATTGCGATTTTTTCAACCCTGCGATATATATTGCGATATTAAAAATACAGTATTTTCACCAGATGACCTGAATAGCACTTAATGTTATGCTGCACTGCTGAAATCTTGAGGACAGTTAATCTGCTCTGATCTTACCTCTTTTTGTGAATGTTAGTAGAACGGCTTCTGTCTGTCTCAGAGATATTTTTAGCTTTTATTGTGCTGGGACGTTATTGTGGCAACAGGTGAACACAGAAGACCTGTTTTGGTCGACATCATCCTTCTTTTAACCGAAATAATTCCAGATAATTGACTTTCCTTTTCTTTTTGGCAACAAATCTTCATTTTCGGTGGTTTTCGCTTGTTCGTTGTTCATTTTGCGATCGTTGTTGTTGTTGTTAGCGGTGTTGTGCCGAGAAACGCATGTCCTCCGAGAATTGCATGCACCTCGCAAAACGCGCACTGCTTATAGTAGAGTGGTCCACGGAAATGTACAATTTAAAACCCATACAGTTCTTATTTGTTGGGCTTAATAGTCATGAGTAAAGTTCCGAAAGTAATTCTCAGCGGACACACGTCTCCCTCCATGTGCAGAACATGTGCAGGGGTGGGTTTTCTCCTCCCTCATTTTGATTGACAGCTGGCAGGGTAGTCTGATTGGCAACTGAGAAGTGAGTCTGATTGGCAACTGAGTTAAGGACGAAGGCGATTGGTGGATCGCTGCACAGCACATGCAGAGTCACATGGAGTGTATCTCAGTCGGTTACCCTTGAAATTAAATGAGTTCATTCACCTCCAATATCGCAGGCTCTGCGATGTGACTATCGCACACACGTACATCGCGATGACGATAGTCAAACGATATATCGTTCAGGCCTATTATAGACTCAGAATAATTTATAAAGAGTCTATTCATTATATTCATGCTTGATAGTTTGGCCCCGATAGACCGACAGTACATGACCAGCGCAGCACCAAACTGTAAACTAAATAAGCTGGTAGGGCTGGGTGATAAACCGAAAATTTACCAATACTGAAATTTACGACAATAACCAACGTCATTTTGCTCGTATCGGTATATTTGGTGTCAAAAAGATAAATAAATAAAAGTTGGTTTTGGATGTGTGTAGTTGGGCTATAGTCTCATGTCCTTTTAAAAGCCAGTCAGTAACAAAGAGGGAAAGACAGGTGAGGCGATGGAGGACGGTTCAAAAGTCAGCTGAAGTAGACAAAGTTAATGTGGTAGGACATGAGCAGCTTGTGGAGTATCGTCCATTTATCGTTATCGAGGTGAACTGCTCAATATCTCGTGATATTGACTTGAAGCCATATCGCCCAGCCCTATAAGCTGGAGTCATGAACATCTCAGAGAAGTATATTTTTGGGAAGAGATGCAAGACCACAGTGGGCATAAATATCTTATCAGCTGAAAGTGAGTTTTTGAAATCCACACACAGGGAAGGTGTCAGAGGGACTAATTTCCTGAAACAATCTTTGAAAAAAGAAAACAGCAAGAAGTCTCCAGACTAGGGAAACAATTGAGCATTAAAAGGTAGCAGGATGAGATTTTTGTAGAAAACACTTACAGAGGAGAGAATCAGCAGCTTTGTCTACAGGGGGCACATAATCACCACAAATAAAAGTTCGACTATGACTATGACTGTTTTATTTTACCAGAAGTCCAGCAATCAAATCGCATACAGCATTTATTTTCACTGTGTAGTTGGCCAGCAACTTTTAAAATGTTGTTGAAAGATAAATGATTGTCTCACCAAGATTATTTGAGCGTTGAGAGTGAAATATATGCAAAATTTGGCACCAAAAAAGCCATGATTCAAACAATGCCTTGGCCAAATTATTGCATATGTTTTGACACTTTAATATGCAAAAACTGCACTTATTTTGGAGATGAAATGTTTGTAGCAGAATTTTTGATAAACCAAAATATAATGGCAATTTAAACCAGTCGAATGCTTTTAAAGAGATTTGATGCTGTTTTTGAATATTGTCCAGCCAGTCTGCAAGCCGTGCAAAAAGGCCAACAAATACATACCTGCCGAGTCTTAGAGTAGGGTTTGCTCTAGCTGTTTAAAAAAGAGAGGGCAGTATGCTTTTGTTGGTCAAAGCCAGATTATGGAGCTTTCTCTGGGCCCGCCGCTGTCCGTGGTGCTGAAAGCTTCCATTCATTGACAGTGTAAAGTGTCTGTGCAGAGACGCATTCTTACTCAGGGTCCTTGGACTTGTATTTTCCATTTACAGGAGCAGGCTCTTAGAAAAAGCCGGCAAGGCTCCTTCTGAATAGAGCCGCTCTCACCGGCGCTGAGAGGACTATGAGGTTTGATCATAGACAATAACACTGTGCTGCTGTGGACCAAATTACCCTTCAACACTGAATGTGATGGATAGTTCAGGTGCGCAGATACAAGAGACCTGAAGGAGACATGAAAGAAAAGGCTTTTTTAAAAACTCATGTCCAGCTGACTTGATACGTGAGGATAATTTTAGCTGCATGATTATTTACACAGTGTCCCTGTAAGAAAGATGATGATTCAAGTACAAACTGTAATTTGCTGCTAAATTATAGAGGCTTGTGTGTTCGGGAGAAGGCCAGGTAGTAATTTGCAGCATCAGTGAGCTTTTGTTTGATTCTAGAGCTGTCACCTGTTAGCACCTCCAAAGAAAAACAAGAAGAAAGCGTTTCGGTCCTCTAACTTTACTCAGAACCATCTCTGTAAACAGCTCTGGACCTCTGACATTACTTTACTCAGAAAGGCTTTCATAACCCTACCTTGTTACGTAACACACCTGCGGCTGTATCCACACTGAGCCTGAGTGGACATCAGAGTATCTAGGTCAATTTTCCTGACAAGCTAATCCTATCTGAACAGTGGTTGGATTATCAGCTAAAATAAACTTGTTTAGATTTGGGGGTCACTGAATGTTCTGTGTTTAGTCCAGATGGCTTAATGAAAGTTACTAAACAGATGTTCTAATCAGGATCAGACTCACGGTGGAGGTTGATGTTGATGATGCACATTTGAATGACTTAATCTCTAGCATTGTCCTTTTGTTCAGGCTTTTACCCATACCCTATATATAAAAGGTATGATAGGATAATAAAAAAAACAAAATATAGTGTTTTAAATCTGTAAAAAACTGCTTTAATGCACAAGCTCAAGTGATTAATAGTAATAAAAAGATATGAGATGACCATGTTATAATACTTGTGATATTATATGTATATTGTTAATTTTCTGCTTTAGAGTTTAGTTTAGTTCATTAACTAGGCCTATAGTTGACAGTCTAGTTAATGAACATGCTAGACCCCACAAAAAATTGTAGCCTTCAAACACCAGAGCCAAAGATTTGATTTTTTTTTCTTGTAAATTTACAACTTTATCCTCAAAATGCTCGACTTTGTTGTGGCTTTTATATTACTTTTATAATACTACCTTTTCACTATTGTAATATTGCAGTCATGTTGCTCTGCAGCAACCAATGAAGACAGCGTTATGGTCCCTACTTACATCAATTAAATAAATATACATGTGATTAATTAAATGACATATTTGCTTTACATTTCCAGCTGGTTTCCAAATGTTTGAGGTTCGATCAGAGCACTTTTTAATCCCCTGTCACCCGCTTTGTTTCATCACTGCTGCTTTTGTAACCGTTTAATGGCATCAACTGTAAATCTTTTTGCATAACAGTAGTTGCATGATCAGGTCAGATGGATTTCGGGAACCTTCCACCTGTGAGAGTACCTGGCACAGCATGTATTATGAATACATTATAGATCACAATGTATTCTAGTTTTTTTTAATTTGATGGTTGTTTTGAACAGAGAGAGTCTGTATCCACCTTTACACTTTTTGTACTCCGCTGTAAAATGAGTACTGTAGATGTGGGCTAACTTATCATCTAAACAAGTTTATTGAAGACATAAAGGTACAGAGGTTGAGGCCTAAGTGGGCTCTACATCTGCTTTAACTCCAGGTCTTTGAAATAAAGTGCTTGCAAGTGAGCCGCAGCTCTTAACTTGGACATTACTTAAAGGCGCCTCAGTGAGCCAGAGAGCCGAGCCAAATTTCCTTCTCTGGCTCCACATGACAAAGCTGGTCCCGGGTCAATTTCAAACCCAACAATAGGAGTCTAATCGGCTAAATAGGGTGGAGGCCTTTCCTTCCTCCTTCAGACCCACAGGCTGGTTACGATTAACAACTTATTATCAATAGAAATCCTGGATTGACTGCTAATCTGGATAATTAAAGCTACTACAGACACAGGCTGGAGTGATTCCAGGTCTATGTTTACCTGCTGTTTGATACCAGATACCTCACCACCTGCCCGCTGAAGGGAACACTTCTGAGAACAACTTTAACGACTTTCCTTTAGCTGACTAATGGGTTTTATCTCGTAACAGTCAGTCGTTGTTGTTAGCTTGCTTGTCTTCATAATACACTTGACTTCCTGTACAGTCAGTTGGGGTATTTTTAAAGACATTTATATTTGTATTACTTATCAAGATGCTTAATATTCCTCATTTGACCATAAAATTAATGGGAGGGGAAAATAAGGATTTTAGGGATAGCCTATGTAGCGTAATAACTTCATCTGGGTCAATTATCTTTTGTTCTGTCGTGTAAAGCTAATTTTGTTTTCTTGGTTTTGGGTGTTTTTTTGTCCCTCTTCATAGCATGACTGCAATGTTGAACAATGAAACAGCATTTCATAACATCATGCACGCTAGCTATTCCCCTTTATATTGAACGGCACCATGAGAAAGCTACAGAGTCATTTTTCTTTTTCTCTCTTGCCTGTTTCTCCCACAGAGTGCAGAGTCACATTTACACACATTGATTTATTTTCGAAAGTAGGCCACAATGCACTGCTGTGGCTCATACAATAGCTATGTTTCAATGGCACTTAAGGGTAACAGATGGCTAACCTGTGGCCCCCTTTTTTTTCTGGAGATCTAGATTGTGCGGCGTGTGGTGTGCTGTGTTCGCTATTAGTGAGTTTAGAGCCACATTACCACACATTCACTCCTTTTGTGAAGAGACGGTGACACGGAACAGGGTTGGCTCCACAGGATGAAATTTAAAGTGAGGCCACACAACAAAAGAAGAAAGACTGAAAAGCCAAAGTGAGATAGCGAGAGGATGGATTTGACTCATATGTTTACCTGCCAGTCGGGCTTTTTCTGCATTGTTGCCATAGCAACTGCGACTCGCTGTATTTGTGTGAGTGCAGTGTGTGTGTGGCAAGGGATGTAATTCTGCCTGTCACCAGTGTAGCCTAGAGCCGGCTCCCCAGCTGCTGGTTGCCATGAAACCAGACAGACACATCCTCCGCTTCAGTGATAAATTCTTTCTCCTGACGCTCAAAAGACTAAAGAGATAAGATGCATTTTTAAAAATGCCATGATGAATGATCACTGATGTCCTCTGTATGATACAAAATGTGTTATATCAATCATTTTAAAAGTAATGTTATAATGTCACTAAAACAAACAGGAGTAACCATTTCTTGGTTGCATGAAAAACATCCCTTCCCCCGTGACTGTGGCACTGCTGCATTAAAATGTGCTGTTCATATTACCCTTGAGGTGAAACTCAACTTTTGTCTCTCTGTGTCTATTTTGATTCCTTTATTTTGTTATTCATTTTATGTTAAAGGGATATTCCAGCGTAAAATTAAGTTAGGGTCAAACACAATATAACAACGAGTTAGACACCCCTTCGAGAGATGAATGTTGCCGACCGCTTGATTCTCTAGTTATACCAACTTTAGTAATGACCGCACAATAGCAAAACAAAGAGCCACGCGCTCAACCAAATAGCCACTCTATAGCCACAAATAATGCTCAGAACAGCACCTAACTTCATCAACAGTACATATAGGGTCCTAGCCACAGCATTAGCCACCAAACATATTTTTAGCTTTGCCTAATTTCTTTAGCAAAGAGACTAAACACAACTCACCGTCTCCCTTCCAGCAGCCGCTTGTTTTTTGTGAGACCTCCGGGCGAGTCCATCGACTGCAGTGGGAGGACACCGTTGAAGGAAGAACTTACATTTAGCATTGTAGCGACAAGTAACTACAGTTGTTGCTTTCCTGTTAGCTTGTTAACATGAGCTAGCTTGCTAAAAAAATTGGGAGAAACAAAGCAGTAACGCTAAAGGTGTAATACAAAAAACAATATCACAATGACTGACTTACAATTTAAAGGAAAAGTAAGAATATAATATCCTACTCTGTCCTTTGTGTTGTAGAGTCATCCTGAGATGACGGAAGTGGAGCCAGTGTTGGACTTTGCCTCCTCAGGACGCTCAGGTAGGAGAAATGCCCTGCCTGACATCCTGGGCTCTCCGGCGGGTGTAAATCCTGGAGACCTGCCTCTGAAGCTGGCTGAGCTGTCCCTCAAAGGTAAAGAAACTAATGGCTTCCTTTACTTTCTGATAAAACTGACCAGTAGACAAGTTCAAACCGTAGTCATCTTATCCTTTGAGTTTGTGGTGCAAATCTTGAACCAAGCAATGTAGTTTGACAGGATGTAAGAGTGCATGATGACATTATTAGAATATGTGATAGCGGAACTAAAATCACCTGTGATGCAGAAACTTATATAGAAATAAGTAAAATCATTATAAGAAAATTGTTAAATACAGGGCTGAAGCAGTTCAGTGATGCAGAATCCTGATAGTTTTTCAAATTAATGACTAAATTATATATAAAAAGTCAGATGTAACTAGGTAAATAGTCACTCTTTATCTTTCAGGACAATTTTACACACTAGGAAATTTTCTAACTGTACAGGACAAGGCATCACTTTAAATTCAAACTTATCCATTGCCAGAAACTATTAGCTGTCATTTCAGCTGTGCACACAAGGCTGAAGCAGTTGGTTCCTCATGGCTGCCTGATTTGGCACAGATTTAGGGCTTGAAATTCAGGGTTAAAAGGTAGCTGTGGTTAGCGGAAATCAAGATGGCTTTGTGAAAAGGTTGCCACTCGGGAATTTGGTATATCTCACTAATTCCATGCCTCATCACGACTCTGGCAACAGCGTGACTGTCATGCTCAGTGAATATAGACAACAGTTGGGATGAGTATTTTTGGCTGAAAGGGTAGCATAGCAAACAAATGAGCATGATGCATAATCAAATAGGCTTTAATGGTGCTGTTTGTCTTGAAAGATGAAAAATCTATGAAGTGAAATTTAGTTTAAAATGTCTTATTGACCAATTATAGGACTTTAATTTTTCCTTGAAGTGCATCTGAAAAACATGGGGTCAGTCTTTCAACAGGACATGTGTAGAATTAAGCTGAAAAGGCTTGATGGAAATGCAATATAGTATTCCTAAGTATGTTTAATTAGTGTTACATCTACTGTACATAAGGAGCCGATCCTCTTCACTAGAACTTGACTAATGGAGCATCATAGTTATCATATATCACAGGGACTTAATGTCCTCTAAAGCCAGAAATGATTCTGAAAATTTTCTGATGAAGTGATGAGCGAGGGAGAGTTTTTCAGTCTAGGATCTGATAGATAAATATTCTTATTTCAACTCACTGTTCCATTAAAGGGATATTCCAGCGTAAAATTAAGTTAGGCTCAAACACACCGTAACACTGAGTTAGACACTCCCTCAAGAGATGAATGTTGCCCACCGCTTGCTTCTCTAGTTATACCAACTTTAGTAACGACCGCACGATAGCAAAACAGAGAGCCACACCTAGCCTTGAGAGCCTCAACTAAAACGCCACTCTATAGCCACAAATAATGCTCAGAACAGCACCTAACTTCATCAACAGTACATATAGGGTCCCAGCCACAGCACTAGCCACCAAACATCTTAACTTTGCCTAATTTCTTTAGCAAAGAAACTTAACACAACACACCTACTCTCTTCCAGCAGCCTCTTGTTTGTACAGAGACCTCCGGGCGAGTCCATCAACTGCAGCGGGGGGACGCAGCTCAAGGAAGAACATTTATGATCATTACTTCATGGTAATGCAGTCAGACCAAGATGTTTGGGCAGAAGAACTACCACGTCTGCAGTGCAAAATGATTAATATGGTGATTATTACTTCAAGTCAATGATTAAACAAATGATCATAAATGTTCTCCCTTGAGCTGTGTCACCCCACTGCAGTCAATGATGGACTTGCCGGGAGGTCTCGTAACTCTATTTTAAGGACCCTTACTTAATTTTAGGCCGGAATATCCCTTTTAAAAGACAATATTTGCTCACAACGGTTAACACTGCAAACTTAGACAAGGCGATGATGCAGATTTTACAGTAAGATAAGGGCTTTAAATGGAGAAAAACGTTTTTAAAAACTCTTAAGCAGGGAAAAAATGATGGTGTCACAAAGTGTAATGTATGATGAACCCCAAAAGATTGTCTCAAAATGCAAGTCTGGTCATGTTCTGAAGAACTAGAATGGCATAACACCCATGAACAGATCTGTAACCTACACAAAAGGGATTAGGAACATTATTTTGAAGGTGTTAAAAACAACCACCTACCTCATAATATTTTGAGAGTTTTTTTTTAAATTATTTTTTATTAAAATGTTTTGTTTTCATCATAAAAAAATATATATTTTTAAAGTCTTGCAAAAATTATCTTGAAAAGGGGCTTGTCCTTTGACCACGGTGGCCTTATATTCAGGGAAAAACAGTTTTTCTGCAGTATTTTGGCAGAAAGTTGGAAATGTTTAATGTTCACTCACAAGGACTAGAAGTAATAAATTCTCCTTTTTACAAGTAGGTTTTCCCATTAGCTTGTGTTTTTTGGCTGTATGTCTGTCTCAATTTGTGTTAATGAAAGGCTAGGTGTGTAGCAGAAGATGGATTACAACACTGCCCTCTAGTGGTGTGGGGCTAAAAACTACACACAACACTCTACAACATATCCCGACATGCATACCTTCATTTAAAGAGTCAATTCAGTGGTTTAGAGAATCCAAACAGTGTGCACTACTAACATAATGCACAGCTAATAACATTTATTGCTTCCTGTATGTCATGTTTTTTCTGTGCTTGTGTCCAGATGGTCCAGGAGGGGCCCAGTCGCCCTCATCTGAGGGGCCTCCAGCGCCGCCGGAGAGTACAGAAGGGAGTGAGGGATCTTAGGGACTCATTTATTTTCCTCCCCCGGAGACCTGCAAAGATAACCCGAGAGACGGTTTGAGGGACGAGAGAGATAGGGCACCCTGTGGGAGAGAGAGTGATTATCTGTGGAGAGTCAGTCTGTTTGTGAAGCAGCTGAACCACGGAGGGAGGGAGGAAGGGAGGGTGGCGGACCGACTCCCCCAGAGGACTGGAGCCAGGAGCTCAGGACTATTTGGCACTCAGCGATATCTGGAAGGAGTCAGACGTCATATTAGTTATGAACCAGTGATTGTGTGTGTGAATAGGTGAGCAATACACTCACCATGGACACTGCACTGAGAATCAAAAGGACAATGACAGATTGTACACTGCTATTTTTGTATGATTTAAAATTAAAGGACAACGTGGACTGGGAAATCAAACTGTACAACTTCTTGACATTTCCTGCTGACTTTTGTTTAAGGGAGTCTGATAGCAGCCTGTAGCGGTTTGAAGCTTTTTCATTAAGGTGGATTCAAATTAGGTTGTGACATAAGAAAACACTTAATCTTTGACAATCCAATCACCAAAAAGTTGGATACTGTGTAAATTTGAGGGTAAGAATAGATTTAATGGTTTGCAAAACATGAAACCCTTTAATTTGATTTGATTGAAACGATGCAAAGACAATATATCAAATATTGAAGCTATAAAATTGTCATTTTTTTATGAGAAACATATGCTCCTTTTAAATCTGATACTAGCAACATGTTCCAAAACAGTCGATAGAGAGGCGTGTTTACCCACCTCTTCTTTTAGATACTCTGTGTAAACATTTGGGAACCAAGGAGACCAGTGTCTAGTCTTTTGAAAGAGTATTGTTGTCTCATTTTTGTCTGAAACAGGATTTCAGTCTCTCAGCAGTTGTGGGTCTGTTTTTTTGTTGTTGTTTTTGTTTGAGTAATGATGCACCAGATGGTTTCACTAGGTTATAATAAGTCCGTACTGCAGGCAGGTCAGTCCCTTCCATTACAGAGCCATGCTGTTGTAATGTGTGCAGTATCTGGTTCGGCATTGTTTTTCTGAAATATGCAAGGTCTTCCCTGAAAGAGGCATTATCTGGATGGCAGCATATGTTGCTTTAAAACACGTATATTGTTCAGCATTAATGGTGCCTTCCCAGATGAGTAAGCTACCCATACCATTACGGATGCTGGCTTTTGAGCTGTACGCTGATATCAAGCTGGATAGTTTAGTTTTAGGTTTGTGATTTCCAAAAAGAATGTCAAATTTCGATTCGTCGGACCGTAGGAAAGTTTTCCACTTCTTAGTCTAAATGGGCGAAGAAGCTGCTGGTGTTTCTGGATTATGCTAACATACAGATTTCATTGGAAAGCCTTTTTAATTCCAGACAGTGGTGGAAGCCCATGCTGTGATTTTCAGTACAGAGTAATGTCTGTTTTCAATGTAGTGCCACCTACATATCCAGGATCATATCCATCCAATATCTGTTTTCAGTCTTGCCTCCTTTCTTCAGACATTTCTCCAGATTCTCCAAAGTTTCAGTCACATTATGTATTATCAGTGATGAAATCCCAGAATACTTTGTAATTTATGCTCAGGAACATTATTCTGGAACTATTTCTTGAACTATTTGCTCATGCAGTCTCTCACAGGATACTTCACAGTACGGTAAACAAGTTTTTTAGAGTTTTGTTGTTCCTATCCCAACTTTTCTGAAACATGGTGGTGGCATCAAATTTAAAAATAGGCATCTGTTTTAAAAAATGAAGTGAAATTTCTCAGTTTTAACATTTTGTTTGTTTTCTGAGCACCATTTCTAAACAAACATTATGTTTAAATGATATGCAAACCATCAGAATCTGTTTTACCAACATTTTACACAGATTCTCAATTTTTGGGGAATTGGGGTTGAACACTAACATGTATGTTCTGCTCATGTTTTCAGATCTTGGGATGTTTGTACAGGTAATCTACATCGTAAATGTACAGTTTTTATCCCTTATCATCAGACTGTTTGATCTTAGCAACTATTTCCAGGGATTTTTTCAACTTTTCGAGGTGTCCATATCGACATTGACGAGCTCTCTGGATTTTGTGACATTCCTTGAGAGAAAAGTGACCCACTGCCAGCAGTTCGCACTGCTTCATTATAATTTAAGACATGTAAGAGACATGCTTTTTTTCAGCTTAAAGCTGCTTTGAAAAGTATTTTAATTTCCAAACCTTTTACAAAATGTGCCTCATGGCAGTTCACAACTGAAAAAATGTGTGTTGTGTTCTTTGTGATGTACTGTTATTAATGATTTCGGGCTGCTGATATTTCCTGTTTTTCAAAGGAGGTATCACAACACCTCTTGTCAGCCTAAAATGTAAAGGGGAAAAAAAAACAAACAAAACAAAACACTTTTGTAACATCCTGCAGACCCCAAGCTGCAGATCCTACTCTCTTTCAGGAAAAGCATTCGATTTTTTCGCTTCATGCTTCTTATAGCAACTGCAGCATATGCCTGCTGACTGGGGCATGGGAGAAAACCATCAAGCAGTGCCGCCACCGCAACACACAATGTGTTTCCAGTGACAAAAAAATGACACACACTCTCCGCACGAAGGAAAAGCCTGTTCGCACTCATCAACACGTACGCAGAGCCGTGAATAGGATGCAAGACGGGGAGCGAGAAACACATGGAGAGTCCACACTTGTCAGCTATCCCTCCACTGTAAATAGACTATATTGTAGTAAAAACCTGTGTGCGTCATACATGCTGCCTTTACCAGATTTAATCACATACTGTACCTGCAAAGAAACAATGTTCTGTAAATGTCTCTATTTGAAGATGTGTTGCCGGTAGCTGTGTCTATATGTGGATGTGTTAACAGATGCAACAAGGAGAGCCAGATGTACTGCTGCCCAGGATCTGTTTCTGATGCTGTACTCCTAAATATGACAAAGGAAGCATTCACTGTTAATCAGAGGCTGGATGAGCAACACCTTTATGGGGGCTGATGGATCACTGATGTATTTTGTAGTGTCCTGATCTCTTAGTGGTGCGTATATTTTATGTAGCTGGATTGAATCCCACGTGTTGATTCTATCTGGTGGTGAAAATTGCCATATTAAATCCACAAGATTTACAGAAACACCAGTGTCTTGAATTGTGTATCTTCTGAGATCTGAATGTCAGAGATTAATGTTAAAATGTTAGTCTTTATTATTCATAGTGATTCCAGCTCTGATGAGAAGCGACATAAGCAGCAGACTCTGGAGTAAAACGAAGCAGCTCGCTAACAAAGTAATGGATTGAATTGAAATCGGAAACCAGTGTTCCCTGACGGATGAACTCCACTGAAATCACCTCTGAGATCATCTAATACTCAAATCTCTTAACAAAGATATGCAGTAGTAATTTAATTGGCCATCAACTGGTGCTATTATATACTCTTGGTACTGATAAGCAAGAATAATAATGCCAATATTCTTAACTCAGCTGCCCATGGAAATCATAGCAGGTTTAAAAGCTTTTAACCTGCTATCATAACGTTGTTAACCTTTTCATGCATGAACAACAGAAGGCAGAGCAATGCATTAAAAATGTTATTTTTCACCAGAGTGGACGGAACGTAATGCTTAAATTTACAGCAGATTAAATGATAATTAATATTATTCCAAGATCAAACTGCCTCAACATTTTTTTGCCTGAATACTGCCAGGACAGACAATTTATGGGACAAATTTTAGACTTGAGCTTTACAAATGATGGATACAGACATGCTAATTTTATGTTTTAGGTGTTATTTTTTTTTCATTGTTATCTAAGAGGTAAAACTGGTTGTACACTTAAAATTTTAAAGGCAAATATTCAATCAATCAATCAATCGATCAAACTTTGTTTTTAAAGCACTTTTCATACACGGAATCTAGCACAAAGCGTTTCCACAGATGACCGAGGAAACACTATCTTGAGTTTAAAAAAGATGAGGAAACACTGGATCTCGGACTAAAATGTTAAAACCATGATAAAATATAATAAAGGTGATAAAACTTTAAACGTTAATTAAATAAAAGTCTTAGAATTAGAAAGTAAATTTTAAAAAAGAGGTAATAAAACACAAAATAATTACTCTGGGACTAAAATAGCGTAAAATCACATAATGCAGATTAAAAGATTGAAATAAAATTCAACTAAAAGCCAGAGACAAGAGTTGCACTTATTATGCAATAAGAAATCACAGCTCAAAGCACAAAAAAAAATAAAAAATAAATAATAATAATAATAATAATAACTTTATTTTTACAGCACTTTTAAAAACAGACATTTACAAAGTGCTTTGACAAACAGTTGCAAAGCACAGAACATCAGCACATGGAAATAAAAACAAATAAGAAAGAAAAGCTCAGTTAAAACAAGTCCTCAGAATTGAAGGCTAATTTCATTTTTCATAAGGAGCCCAGACAATACAAGAACCCTACAACATAAAATGAGACCATGAAGACCAAAATAAAAAAATGAAACAGGTAAGAAAAAAGGAAAATGCAATTAAAAGGGGGGTAGAAAGCAGGAAACAGGATAGTAAATATAAAACGAGAATATTAATAATGATAATAAAATCATGACAAAATAATAATGATGGCAATATTAATGATAACATGGAATAACAAAAATGAGCAGGAAAAAACAATAAAAGGCCTTAAAGGTAAAATAAGAAAAGATTATAAATAAAACAAAGACGAGAAGGACAGTAAGTCGAAATAACTTAAAAGAAGCGACTGTCTCTGCACGTCTTATCTCCTCTGGCAGGTCGTTCCAAAGTCGAGGGGCTCTGATGGAGAAAGCTCTATCACCTTTAGTTTTGAGCCTTGACTTTGGAACGACCAGGAGGCCTTCGCCAGAGGATCTGAGGCTGCGAGCTGGCTCATAAGGTATTAAAAGCTCTGAAATGTAGCTTGAAACAAGTCCTTTAAGTGCTTTAAAAGTAAAATCAATAAAATCTTAAAATCAATTCTAAAACTGACAGGAAGCCAGTGAAGGGAGGCCAAAATTGGAGTGATGTGATGGCGTCTACTAAAACCAGTTAAAAGCCAAGTTGCTGCGTTCTGAACTAGTTGCAGACGGGTGAGTGATTTCTTATTTAAACCTGGATTTCTTATCAGTCAGAACTGTCTTTTAATACAAAATTAAAACAATTTTGGCCTTTGAGAAGCTGTCTGCTGTAATGAAAACTATGAATAAAATTTGACATACCTTCTCGACTATTTTGACATATTACAAGTGTAATTCAAAATGGCAAAATAACATTTGACAAGTGGATAGTCCTTTATACATATCTGTCTCTTATCTACCTCGCTTCATAGGCTTCTGAGCTGCTCAGACGAGAATGGCAGAGACATTTTGGCACAAAAATGATATTATGACAACCCGCTGTCTTCGGCTTTCAAACACTTCCTTGCACACTCATTTGACGTGATGCTGTAAGTCACCTTTTCCCAGCTGTTTCTCCAAAACTGCCAATCTGAGCTTTATTAGATGTCTGAAGAAAGAGTAAATGCCAGATTGATGTGAAGGACAAAGTAATTGAGGTAATGAATGATATTTGAGGCTAATGGGTACACATGCAAATGAGCTCTGTGTTTCACAAACTCTTTTTTTTATGTAATGTGTTATGACAGCTTATTAATGATTCATAACATGTTGTAACAATCTAATTTTAGACGTCAGCTGAAACAAAGCAGGAGGCGACTCAGCGGTGGGAGATGTCAACCTGAAGAAAACAAACAAGTTGCATGATACAACACACCCTCTTCTACTTGATTACAACCACCATGTGTGATTAAAGTATCTGTGATATTTTCCTTTAAGTCTTTGTACTTTTTTGGTCTTTGTCTTCGAGAGCATAGTGAACGCTTAGGGGTAACACAAGTCAAGATACACACTCTGTCTACCCCTGTCTGGAGGAGAGTGTTATTATACTCCTGTTACATAACACAGCAGTTTCTTTTATCATGCAGCAGATGGCGTCATTTACTAAATTATCATTCACCCCCATCGCGCTTTTACACCAACAAGGGAATTTCTTTGTTATGTCTGGTACAGAGAAAACAGATTAAATCTATACATATTTAAATGAATAAGATGAATTACATGTATTTGGCGACTAAAATCGTAAATAGGGGGTTCTAGCGTCTTACTCGTGTACAGATCTTTGAGATTTCAGCCCCATTAGGGATTCGACTTGGACACACCCAGTGTTGTCTCGATGTTCCAACTGCTGAGGGAGGGTTATTTGATGAAAACTAAATAAGTCATGGTTCAATTCCATCTAACAGTCCACTGATCCTGTAACCTGTAGAGTTGGAGGTTAAAAATGGAGGAGGTGTGTGTACAGTGTGAACCTTTGTGATCCTGCAGACTGGTTTACTGGCTGCATCCCAGAATCCCTGCTGACAGGAGATGAGACCATCCATTCACCCAAGGGCTCTTTTGTCCCCTCGGCGGACACAAACACAGTAAAGCAGTTGCATGTGAGGCCTTATGTTTGTTAGCTGATCTCCTTGGGTTATGTAACAGAAACATCATTTATTAAATACATAGCAGTGCCTCGGCTTTATGTGCAGAATTTATAAGTGAATGTTGAGCATTTGTTGGAGAAAAACAGACATGTGTAATCCATTGGAGACATATTGTTTTTGCTAAAATATCCCTGTTAGTCTCCTCCTCCAGTCTCAGGCTCCTCTTCTCCTCAGACTGATTCGACGTAGCTTGTTGCCAGGGTAACCTAGCCTTGAGAGAAGCTTGGGCCTGGTTGAACCGTGTTCAGTCAGGTTTTTTTTAAGAGCATGACGGAAGGTGAAGAGTTGATGTGGAGGTCTGGGCTGCAATCAGGATAGGAGGCATGTGCATGATGTCAACTGAGTACAGAAAGGTGTGCTGCCACGTCATCCTCGAGCGAGCGAGTGTGTATCTAAGATGCAGTTTATATTTACATCCCTCCCACCAACACCTGCAGAGATTGTTAAATGAAAACATTAGCAACTCTAAGTTGGCACGGCAGGTGAATCAGGCTTTATAATACTCCACTCTGTGCTTCCTTTGTCTTTGAAATAGGGCTTTTATTGTAGAATGTGATTTTACACTTGCTGTTTAACAGTACTTATCTTGTGATTTTCATATCCTTTATTGGTCAGTTATTTAGATTTTATTTACTGATTTCTTTTGTCTGCATTTTTTGTCAATATTTATTGATTTCAAAGCCCAATCAGGGTCAGGATTTGATGATTAATGCAGTCTGTAGCCTAAATAAAATGAAGTGTACTCCTGATTATTGCCTTTTATAGTTTCAAATAAAACAAACAAAATATTTAATTAGGACTGTAAAAAAATTACGGTGTTAAATCAAAAATGTAATTTTATTTAAATAACAGTTTTTTGTTTGTTTTTTCTTTTGTTTGTTTTTTCAGTCACATTTTGCTGGCCTATTCCTTGATTTTTTTGTTTGTTTTTCATTAATATTATTTTAAATTATTTTCAAAGCCATGGTTTTAATGTAGGCATTCTTGGTGTGTTTGTTTGTAGTTTTTTTTTTTCTTTTAAAGTTTAATAAAAGTTTTTAGGTTTATATTAACAGTGTTAAATTTTGCAGGTGGTGTAGTGGTTAGCACTGTCGCCTCACGGCAAAAAGGTCCTGGGTTCAAATCCGGGTCAGAGCGTTTCTGTGTGGAGTTTGCATGTTCTCCCTGTGTCTGTGTGGGTTTTCTCCGGGTACTCCAGTTTCCTCCCACATCCCCAAAACATGCCTAAGTGGGGTTAGGTTAATTGGCCACTTTCAGATTGCCCGTAGGTGTGAATGTGAGCGTGGATGGTTGTTCGTCTCTATATTTCAGCCCTGCGATGAAATGGCGACTTGTCCAAGGTGTCCCCTGCTTTCACCCGAAGATGCTGGGATAGGCTCCAGTAGAAAATGGATGGATGTAAAAAATTTTTGCATTAAGCTAGACTTTCTGGTGACGGTGGCAGAGAAGAGGACTATGGATATAGAAATAATAAAAGTAAGAAATGTAGGTGAAATAAAAAGACGTTACAGTCTATGCAACAGTTACCAATGGAGTAAAAATGCTTACAGACTAATTACTTATAAAATATAAG